TTTTTTTTAAAAAAAAAAAAAAAAAAAAAAAAAAAAAAATGAATTCTACCAGCAATTCGAATGTAAAGCAACGTATCGTTCTTTTCATTTGCCACCGTCGAGCTGGGAGGAAGCGGAACGAAGAGGGCAGAACCTTTGATGCGTCACAAGATGGTCGATTGCTTCGATGAGAATGTCAAGATTCGTGATCCGAAAAATTATGAGGTCGAGAAGAGACGTCAAAACGTGAGTGAGAGCTGGGTGATATTTTGAAAAAAGTGAATCCTTCAGAGATTTCTTACCTGACCGTTGAAAATACAGGAGGAAACGAGGATGTCTATAATACGCCATAAACGTCGTGCACGTTGTATTGTCAAGATGAGCGTCAGCGATGGTCACGTGCCCAGCAGCGACCCGCGAAATTTCGAAATGAAGACTTCGTACGAGATCAATAGGAAGGTGACGTCACCGCCCATCGTGCACTCGTACAACGAACACTCGAGTCACTCCGTGACGTCACCGCCCATCGAGCATTCGTACAACGAACACTCGAGTCACTCGGTGACGTCACCGCCCATCGTCCATTCGTACAACAAACACTCGAGTCACTCCGTGACGTCACCGCCCATCGAGCATTCGTACAACGAACACTCGAGTCACTCGGTGACGTCACCGCCCATCGTCCATTCGTACAACAAACACTCGAGTCACTCCGTGACGTCACCGCCCATCGAGCATTCGTACAACGAACACTCGAGTCACTCGGTGACGTCACCGCCCATCGTCCATTCGTACAACAAACACTCGAGTCACTCCGTGACGTCACCGCCCATCGAGCATTCGTACAACGAACACTCGAGTCACTCGGTGACGTCACCGCCCATCGTCCATTCGTACAACAAACACTCGAGTCACTCCGTGACGTCACCGCCCATCGAGCATTCGTACAACGAACACTCGAGTCACTCGGTGACGTCACCGCCCATCGTCCACTCGTACAACGAACACTCGAGTCACTCCGTGACGTCACCGCCCATCGAGCATTCGTACAACGAACACTCGAGTCACTCGGTGACGTCACCGCCCATCGTCCATTCGTACAACAAACACTCGAGTCACTCCGTGACGTCACCGCCCATCGTGCATTCGTACAACAAACACTCGAGTCACTCGGTGACGTCACCTCCCATCGAGCATTCGTACAACGAACACTCGAGTCACTCGGTGACGTCGCCACCTGTTCTACGCACATACAATAGTCATTCGAGTCACTCGGTGACGTCGCCACCTGTCGTGCGAACTTACAACAGACATTCAAGTCACACCGTCACATCCGGTCCCATCACACACACTTACCATCATTCCGTCACGTCTCCTCCTATAGTCGTAACCTATAGTAATCATCACAGTCATTCTTCCGATCACGAGAACAGGGATAACTCTTATGCCCAACTTCCGGGTATTCCTGATCTCCCTGACATACCCCACATTGGTCACGAAGGGACCTACGTCAATCAGAACGTGCACGTGCATGGCAATCATTTGAATAACGGGTAAGTTTTTATTTTGTCTCTTGTACCTGGTACAAATTGCATGATGAGAATCGAGCGTCAGTCAAGGCCATAGCTGGTCGTTGACTGGTCCGGCGGGGCCTGAATTTGTTGAAGGAAATTTGTATTGGGTCTGATAACGGAAAGAAAGATCAACTAAAATCTGGTGGGTTTCAGGCAAGACATTTCGGATGACGTTGATCCACAACCTGGTGAGAAAACCATAACGTTCAAAACCAACACTAATCGACATGAAACTGTCGATCATACAGGATTCGTGAAGGAAAAAGCAAATGGTTACCCACATAGGATAAACGATGAGTGGATAAAAAAATTCAGCATGATGGATGGAAACGGTCGTTTCATGAATTCCGGCTATTCCATATCTGGTAAACTCTACGACCGAGGAATCTTACTCTCCGCCGTTATGCTCCAGTGTTATTTTATGATCGTTGCGTAAAATGACTGCGGTCAAATCTCGATGCTGATTTATCGATTCGTGTCGACGAACTCGATGACGGAATCGAGTGAAAATCTTTGAGTAATCCGATCGAGGTCGATATCGACGTCGAATATCGTAGATTCTTATGAAATCAGTTAAACCATAACGACATTCGAGTCAATTAATTAATGTTAAATTTCGTGTTAAGTTTTACTTCGTTCGATCTATCGGAGCAGTCTTTCGATATTCTTAGAGGAAAAAGAGATCGATTACGATACGTAACAGTTGATGAATTTTAAGCATTGTTTTTATTGCGAACACAAATAAAGAAGATTACGAGTACGTGAAAATCGTATAGATCATTCTGTAAGCTTTTCTTTTCTTAATATTTACTTCGAACGTTTTCTCCGACTTCCCAATGGACTCTAGTCACCAGTTTTTTTTTTCTTTTCTTTTGCACTTTTGTAATCCAGATACAGAGAGAGTAAGCAAATGGTAACTGTTACATCGTCATGTTGCAGCAGGCGATTCTTCACGTGTCTAGTGGCACATGCATAAGTAAACTCCGTTCACGTGGCGATCGTGCGTGTTTTTATATGAGACGTTCAAACGGACAACTCTTGGCCAATATTACGGTGAAAGTCGAATTTTTGTGCTCGATTTCCAAGTCGAATGTCTCAGTTGCAATCCGACTTCATATAGTGCATACAGTCGGGGTCGAGAACCGCGTTAATCATATTGAACTACTATTAAAGCGTATTTAATAGTCAAATAATAAATTATGTGGTTTCTCATTTCCTGTGTCGCGGTCGGTATCATCGTAAAAGTTCTTATCGACTGGATGCCGCCTGAAAAGTTTCCACCAGGTAAATAGATCTATGCAGAAAAAACTAAAAGAGTCTCATATAACCAGTAAGCGACATATGTTTGAGGGATGAAATAAGGGAAGACGGTAGGAAATAATGACAGAGAAAATGGAGCATAGCTGAAAAGCAGTTAGGACACATGTGACCTGCGAAAGATTAACAATGACAATGCCATTGGAGATATATTTTAAATATATCACTGCAATATAATGTTGTATGTTATATGCGCTACCACCATTAGGCTTCTCCTTTTTCAAAAGACATTAACCGCAGCGTACCCTAACGGGGTTCAACGCCCCCGTCGGGAGACCCATATGGTACTGTTGCACAATTTCAATTCAATTTTTATCTACTCCGTATATTCTGCGAGATTTCGATTTATCCTCAATTTTATATTTTGAAGAAATTTCGAAAGTAAGTCAAGATCAAATAATATTTATATGTGTACACAGAGATAAGTAGGGAGATGCGCAACGCTACGGTTTTAGGCGACACCAAAACCATAGAGTTATGTGATCGTAGCATCCGTCGATAATGCAGATCCCGTCGTAGCCGAGCTAACCGCGATCACGAACGTGTAACTTGCCGGGCAGAGTCCTGCGCTACTTATCGCTGGTTCCCAAAGCAACACTTGGAACGAGACAGCTCATCGGATATAGCCTAAATTCCATTTTTTCTTTGCAATCCTAAATTCGATCGCACAGTGTAAGCACGGTAAGTTTAATATGACAAGAGCAAGCAACTCATGCCTGCCTGCACTGAAGCGTATGATGCCACCAGCATATTTAATAAATATTTTACCGATGTTGCGTAGCAGAACTATTGTTAAAACCTATCAGGAACTATAGAACTCCTCGAGAACTATTGAAAAAGCCTATTGTTGAATCATTTTAAAGAGATTTTTAAAAAAGTGCGGTGCTGGAGCTAACACCCGCGTAACACCCCAAGTACTCAAGTACTTCTCTCTAGTACTCAATGTTGGAGCCATAGTTCCGCCTGGAACTATTGTTAAATATTGCTTTTTTGAAAAACTCGAAAAAAATGGTGTCTAGACACTGTACCTGGTACGCACTTATATTGAATTTATAAAAAAAACTGTGAAGGTACAAACGTGACCCTATGGCAATTTGATCTGTGCCAGCCTCTTCTATGGACCATTCTGAGTTTCTGCGTTAAGAGATCATTAAGAATTTCAACGAGAAAGCCGTAGATCCAGCCGTTAACGAGCTTAACTTCGCTTCGACCCTCCGAAGCGCCATTCCTGGGACCCACGCTGTGTTAGCATCGCCATATCAGCTCCGTCCGAGCGCCCAGCACTCCGCAATAAAGCTGGACCGAAGCGTCGGGAAAACTTTCTAACAATACCAGACTAGTTAGTGATTTTTCAAGTATAGAGATATAAGTTCTCTGGCTGACGAGCGACTCTTTTTATTCCATCGAGGAAACTTCCGCGTCGCGACTAACCACTCACGCCATTGGACGGTGACGGAGTACCATCCGGTACCTGCCAATTTTACCAATTTTACCAATTTTCACCATGTCACCACAGTTCACTCAGTCGAGAGAAGGTCAAGATTCTCAAGTGGCGCAAGTTCAGCTCCGAGCGGAGGACGTGCGCGGTGACCGCGTACCGTCGATTCGAGAGGGTCAACGGGAGCAGAACGTATAAAGATGATGAGATGTACTGCAGTGCTATGGAACTATAACCGACCCTGTGTTCTTCTCTCGTCGGTGCGCTATAAACGCGGAATTGGCAAAATCCAGAAAACTCGCGTGGACGAGGAAAAAGTATTTAGTACACGGCGGAATCTGCGGTTGATCACTCAAAAAACAAGAATAGCTGGAAATATAGTCAGACACTACCGCGCAGCATGGGAACACTTTCGGAATGCATCGCCAAAATCTCGCAGAAATATAAGTCGGATCTATGCTATACTTCCGGTATCCGCTGAGTATAGCAAAGTTATGGCTTTCAGCATGGCCGCTTACATTAATGTTTATGGTGAGTAGAAAAAAAAAAGGAAAAATTAAAAAGATCACTTACCCCAGGATCCTCGTCCGCGCTTCTCTTGTCCATTTGTATTGTTCATTGGTCCAGTACATCTTTCGATACTCGAGGTCCATTCTGATGACGACTTGACGATTCCAGCCTTGACCACTATTTTGCACTTCCGGTATTTTCGGTTGCGGACTAATTCTTCACTTCTTACGAATAGACCAACACACGAATTTCCGCGAACTTTAGATAATGTCTTCGCGACGCACTTATTCACACGTATCAATTCACTACGTCACACTTTTTTTCGTAAATGAAGGTAGAGGATAAAGAGTATAGAAAGAGACGTTTCGCGACGCACTACGTCACACTTTTTTTTTCGTAAATGAAGGTGAAGGATTGAGGAACCACGTTCGATCTCCGAAGACGAACCACGTTAACCCTAGATCAGCGCGCAAAGTGTTTCCTGCAGAGGGTGATTAGAAGTTACCGGGATTTGAGGTCCCATACGCCAAGTGGAGTAGCACAAGCGAACGCAGATTGACGTGACCGCTCCCCTAGAGAGCGCAGAAAGGGATGCCGACGCCAACCCATGACTCCCCACCGCTCAAACCGTCTTGGCATATTTGCTGCGGAGTTTACTGCGATACCAAAGTGATATCACGAAGAAGGTATAGCCCAGCGGAAGAAATTGGGAAAATATGTAACACAAAGAAAGAGAGAGAGAGAGATAGAATTAGATAATCAAGTATTACCTTAGAATGTAGATGAACAGAAGAGACAAAGAATCGATGAATGTATCGCAACTGCGATATATTTGCAGTGAGAGGGGAAAGGGGAAGGAAGACCGGCAAAACGCGGTTTCCAAGAGATCGGCCCTCGAAAGACTGACCTCTGCACCAACACATTCTTTGTATACCGCTGAGTACCCCCCCCCCGGCCCCGCCGCTCGAGCACTTTTTTGGCATAAGTGCTGCCCTCCCACGACAGGTTTGTCAATTACAACTCGTACAGTGTTCGTCAACGATGCTCGTGTGCACGGTGCACGGCAATTGTTCGGATTTCAGGATATCGTTGACGCACCCTGTAATGCTCCTAAAGCGTACGTTTCATGAGCACAGCAGGGCTCTAAGTGCGTCTCTCTCGCACACATACGGATTGATACACTTTTTCTACTACCTATAACTATACTACCTTTAACTTATAACTATACTACCTATAACTTTAGTGAAGAACTCAAAAAAATGGTGTCTAGACCCTGTACCTGCTACGCACTTATATTGAATTTAAAAGAAAACTGTGAAGGTACAAACGATGGAACGCAGTGGAGATGTATTTACCGGAGCTGGTGCAGCTAATCCGTGAAGGTCAAGAAGTGAATCCAGAAGACACTCAGGTGGGCACTGCACTAGGACACAGCACTGCACTTCCAGAACACTCACAGAAAATCCATAGAATTTCCTAGATATCGCGAGAGCAACGCGAGAAGTACACGAGCGATAACTTTCTGTACCGTTTCGAAACACAGCTAGAAAAATTATCAACAAGCAGCACGAGATCGCGAGGCAGCTCGTGACACCTCGGTCGGTGCCCCGAGACAGACTGCTTTGACAATACCGAAATTCGAGAACTGGTCATTCTGATTATCCGATTGCTCTTCATTTCCCTCATGCCGTCCCTTTGAATCAAGTTGAGAGCGTTCCTTAGCAAAACGGTGCGTAACATTTGGAGATCCTCCACGGCCGCTTCCTCAGGATATTGGACGACAGCTGAGTACCACATCTTTAACTCGGGCAGAAGGTTCCTCCCCTTATCGTAAGGACACTTTATCTCCGCCCGCTCTATAGCCCTTTGCCCATCTCCAGCGGGGCGCCGGCATCGCACCTGTGCTCCTGCCGGTCAGTGGAGCTGACTCTTTCTAAGGGTGGCTCTGGGAATTAGTTTTAAGTGTGGAGAATTTCTGCCCACCAGACTACCCGTTCGTGAACACGTTCAGCTCGGCTACGACGGGATATGCATTATCGACGGAGGCGATGATCACAAAATTCTATTCCTGAACTCGCCGCTACGATTTAGCGCCATGTTTTTGGTATCGCCTAAAACCGTAGCGTTGTGCATCTCCCTACTCATCTCTGACGTACGTAAGGAGCATTTTTATCTTTTGACGCTAACTTACCGACGGTGATTTAATTTTACAGGACCACGAGGTTTACCTTTGATAGGTAACATTTTAGATCTTAAGAGAATCATTAAGAAGACGAAATACCTCGGCGATGCGTGGTGTCAATTGGCCAAAGATTATGGGTCTGTTGTGGGTCTTCGTCTGGGATTTTCCGATCCCTTGATCATCGTTTCTGGAAGAGAAGCTGTTCTTGAGATGTTGAACAGGGAGGAATTCGACGGGAGACCAGAGGGATACATGTTTCGATTGAGAACTTTGGGACAAACACGTGGAGTTTTGTTTACGGATGGTGAGATTTGGAAGGACCAAAGAAGGTATGAGAAAATTATTAAAAAAAAAAAAATAAAAACATATCTGACTTTGTTATTTTTACCGGTAACAGATTTGCGCTTAAAAGCTTGCGAGATTTTGGTTTTGGAAAACGCTCCATGGAGAGTATGATTCTCGAAGAAGGCGTGACTTTGTCAAAAATCATTGAAAACAAGGCCAAAGAGGGAATCGTTAATGATGTACACAAAATTAGTGCATTTGCTGTCTTGAACAGTTTCTGGAGTCTGATAGCGGGGGCCAGGTTACATTTTGAAAATGTATAATGTATTTGTAATGTCTATGGAAAGTTATGCAATCAATTGTTTTCAGGTACGATCAGAATGAGCAAGATTCAGAATTAGTGGGAATAATGCAAACTATCAATGATGCTATTAGGAGTAATAACGCTATCGGCGGTATTATTAATCAGTTACCTTTTTTGCGATTCTTCATTCCTGGTCCTTTGGGATTGAGCGAGCATAAAGATCGCATCGTGAAGATATGGAAATATTTTAGCGTAGGTATATATAATATTTAACTTTGTTCTTTGCACTGATTTTCTACCATTTAACCTTTATTTTTGGAATTTATTCAGAAAGAAGTGACTCGACACAAGCAGACGAAAATTTATGGAGAACAAAGAGACTTGATCGACGCCTACCTCGAGGAAATAAAATGTCAAAACGGAAAGCCGTCATCGTCTTTCGATGGTACGTCGAATGTCTTATCGAAAATCAACGGAGAATGCAGAAATATAAAATTTTACAGAAAACCAACTAATATCCCTCGTAAAGGATTTATTTAGCGCTGGAATTGAAACGACGAACAATACGATCGGCTTCACCTTGATGTACCTGATGATCAATCAGAATGTACAGAAAAAATTACATGAAGAATTAGACAGAGTCCTTGGAAACGACACTCTACCATCTCTGGATTATAGAAATCGGTAAAACCCATAAAAATTGAATTTTCAAATTTTTCAGAAAATTTCATTAATATATATTTCGGCAAACTTTCAGTCTGCCCTATCTAAACGCCATTTTAGCCGAAGTAGCCCGAATGGCCAATATCGGTCCGACGACAATTCCACATAGAGCCAAAAGAGACTCCATCTTCTTGGGATATAAAATTAAAAAGAATTCAATGATACTAGCCAACTTACTAAGCGTGCACATGGACAAAGGTCACTGGGGTGACCCGGAAGTCTTCCGACCAGAAAGATTCATCAATGACAATGGACAGTTCATCAATGACAGCTGGCTGATACCTTTTGGCGCAGGTGAATTTCCGATTTACAAAAAAGAAAAAAAAAATAAATTAATATAATTTTTCAAAATTTCAGGTCGTCGAAAATGTCTTGGTGAAAATTTAGCAAAGAATACTCTTCTCTTGTTCACCGCTTGTCTTTTCCAAAAATTACATTTCCGGTTACCACCTGGCGACCCTCTACCCGCCATCAAGGGAATAGATGGCTTCACAATTTCCCCAGCTATCTTCAATGCAATCGTTACGCCTCGTTAAACGACAAACGACTGATCTATCGATAATAAGTTTCCAACCTAAGTTTTCTTAATCATAACTATTTTTAATTTCAACCACTCTGCGAAATCATACCTAAGAAATTCTACCTACGTATCGGTTGGATATTCATCGGCACACTACGCTAAGCATAACGCAAATAAACCAACAAAATACTTTTTTTTAATATACGTATTTTCTTTCGTATCGTGTACCAAGCTGAACGGTAGGCTAAGGAAAAAACAAATATTATTTAAGAAAAATTCTTATTTGTATTCCTACTTTGCACAGTATGCACAGTCACCTATGCATTCAATATTAATTTAAATTCATCCATTCCTTCGAATCGTCTCATAATATTATGCACATACTTGAAAAGAACAAAATACCTTTGCAAATGATATGGCATAGCCACGGGAATCATAAAAATCTATCAACATTGAGGATCGTTTATCAACCAATTATCGTCAAAGTAATAATTTTTATATTTACAATCTAATAAATAACATTGACAAGCAATAAGCAGTAGATTGAAAAGTACACGAGCCCTGCGCAATGCTGTTATAATTTTCCAAATGATTATATACATTTATATGACCTTGTGACGTGACGTGCAGTTTGTGCAAAATTTGTGACCGATAAATATTTAATAACATAGATAAACGAAAATCACAATAGTCGGAAAGTCCAAGAACTATGCACTTTAAGGGAATCTTCAAAATAAGCTTTTTCCGTGAACACGACATACGGCAAAGTTACTGGTCGCCAGACACAGTGACGTGCGCTCTTAAGGCCGAATGGTTTAGACTAAAAAGACCTTTGGTAGTAAAATTTATAATCCTACAATTACATGAGGAAACCCAATGGTATTAATAACTGGAATTTGGTGAGAATCCAAAAAAACATCATTAATAAAATTAAAACCGAATGCTAAAAGGTCATCACAAAGACATCCCACTGACTCGTATCAGCTAAATATAAAAGGATTATCACAGAAATATTATTGCTTACGGAAGTAGAGACAGACGTCATTCGAGCCATCATTGGCTAGAATTAAAAAGTAGATCTGTATTATTTAATTTTTAAGTGAAAAATCGTACGCAGATCAACGTGGACAGCCATTGTCGAATGCAGGAGTGGAGGGTGCCTCATTTAGAGACCCTCCAGGACGCGGGGTGTACGGGGGTACTGGATGACTCCATTTGCCGGACTCTGACCGAGCTTTTATTTTTCTTGTGAATAAAAATACTCATCGAAGTATATATACAATGATACACTGAACATAATCATAGTACCCTCTCTATATGCTTGAAGCGTACAAACACAATAAGTACAGCTATATGTTCGCAAGTACGTAGGCAGGCAGGCACGCATGTAAAAATATAGTATCAATATTTACAGTGAAATAATACTAAAGATATAACTGACATCACAGGTTCATGTAGGGTTGGTACCTAAATTCACTACGTGGTGTGATCTTCACCCAGAGTCCACCCTCGGCTCTGACAGTCAGTCGAAATTTGGGTCGTATATCCTCCTTTCCGGTCACTGGACCCAAGTGACACTTGCGTATAATGGCACTGATCATCGACTTCATTTCAAGCATTGCAAATTTGTTTCCTGTAAAGATGATCATGGATTAATGTCACGTACGTTATTGCATGTACGATAACTGAATAAAGTGACCATGGACAAGGAGTGAAAATTATGTGAAACTCACCAATGCAATTTCTGGGCCCTGCGCTAAATGGCAGAAACGCATAAGGATGCATTTTATTAGAAACTTCAGGATCAAACCTTTGAGGATTGAACGTATGAGGATCTGGAAAGTGATGAGCTAGTCGATGAGTCGCGTAAGGCATGATGAAGACTCCACAACCTGCTGGAATTACTTGTTTCCCTAAATAAAAAAAAAAATAAAACCTCGTTAGGAAAGATGGATCGATTGGTTTTTTAAAAAAAATCAAATTACCAACCGAGGACAACATCTTCGCCTAACGTCCTCGCGAAAAAAGGAACTGGAGGAAATAGTCTGAGCGTCTCCTTAATACACATCTCGAGGCATTTCATATCCCGAAAGTCTTTCATAGTCGGGGACCTCTCGTCCTTTCCAAAAATCTCCTCGAGCTCCTCGAAGCAATTCCTCTGCCAGTCCTGGTGATTGGCTAAAAGGAAAAGTGTCATGGCCGTTGCAGTACCAACGGAATCCTGTCCAGCCAGCATGAAGGTGCAGCATTCGTTAATAATATCCTCGTCCGTAAATTCAGGATGCTTTCCACTGATTTCGACCATGAACTCTAAGAGGGATATTTTTTTGACTGCATTCTGCGAACTATCTGTTATGGTTGAACCGTTTTTCATAATATTTTGCCGGGTCCTTTCCATCATCTTGTGGCAGGCATTGAACAGCTCATCGCGCTGCTTCTGCTCGGCTCGACCAATGCTCGTTAACTGGTAAATCCACTCGATGAGCAGCCAGGGCCTGGTTATACGATAAGGTGCCACCACTTGCCCCCTGTTTAACATTTTCTTGTTTGTATATGGTCTAAATAAGATGCCAAATTAGAAAAGTGAACTTACTTTCTAAACGGCATGTCATCATCGCTGTCGAGCTGCTTGTTCTTTCCACTGGCTAAAGTCACTCCCAATACAGTTTCTACAAAGAAGTCAGACACCAAAAGATCAATCGATCCAGTATAATTTCTTTTTTGCATAGATTTTAACGAGTATACATTCACTTTTCACAACTGAACAAATCGCCTTTTACCCGCCTACACAAAATCCTAATTTGGCCTGGTGAATTTATTCAAAATGTTAACAAGAACAGATTGACCTCAAATTAAAGAATCATGATTTCATAATATTTTTTCGATATTACTTAATCGCTTGAAGACGCAACGCCACTTTATTTTTATCAAAATTGAATAATCAGGTAAATAAATTTATACCAAGAAAAATAATTTTTGATGAATTCATCCAACTTTTTCAATTGGCAAAAATGGTATACGTGAAGAAGAAAAACAATGTAATTGTAACTTTACCATTCAAAATGTCGTAGACAGAGTCATTAACGAAACTCGTGATATTCACATCCCGTCCACCTTCATTAATAATTTTGTTCATTAAATTTGTAGCGCACTCTGAGAACGACTTGGTGAACCGTTCGAGTAGATGAAGATGAAATGCCGGTTGAAGTATCTTCCTATGTCCCTTCCAAGTGACAACGTCCCTGGTGATCAATCCCTTCCCAAGGAAATTGTCGAGTAGTCTATAAAAAAATATCTTTTCGGTGTGTTTCGCACTACTAAGTACACATTGTATATCCGCCGGCTCCAAGAGAGTGACGTAGGGTAAGAAGGTCAGCCAGAATCGAAAAATTGGTCCATAATCGTTATAAACATTGTGCGATACTATATGTAGTACTGAAACAGTAAAAAAATTTTTTTTAAAAATACAATCTCCACTAAATATTTATATGAAAAACTCACAATCTTTGCGCATTACATAATTAGCATTTCCCAACACTGGTAGAGCCACAGGTCCGTCAAGGCTGAATATAAATCTCAAAATTCGTATGTAATCCTTGAAGGCGTACAGGAGACAAATGAAAACAAGAATACCGAGGTAAATCCAGACCTCGGCAGGAGTTCGATCCCACTGAAACAATTGATTGATCCTCATGACTCGTCGCCCATAAATAAATTACCATTAACAATAGATAAAAAATGTTCCTCGACACCACACAGCGTTCCAACAAAGAATGGCACAATAAATAATGCCATAGGAGTTAACCTATAAAGAATCACGTTCTTTTTCCCAAGCTTTGCCAAAGCCCTTGACTGTAAAAGAATGCACATACCGTCCATGGAATTGAAAATTATGATAAATATTTAAATTGAATCGACAACTGCTAAATTTATCCTAGGTCGATAAATTAATTTTCTAGATTTTTCATTTCGTAAACATGTTTCACAGCTCATCCGATATTCGAGGTGGTGCACCATTTAATTGATATCTATCTGCTCGGCCTAAGCCATACCTGCCGTGTGCCAGGAAGACACCTAAAATACGCACAGTACATACGGAATAACAATTATTAGCAGCACTACGCGACAGTTCATTACTAATAAAAAAACATGGAGCACGCAGTAATTAATAATCCTAAATTATTATAGTATCACTCGAATCATAGAAAATCGTTAAAAAAATTAATAATCGCAAAACAATCATTTCCAATGTCAATGATGAAAAGACTGAAATTGATCGATTATAATAAATCACGATCTGTAATTTATGAAAAACACGTAATCGTCCATTATATCCACGAATCATTTCAAAAATTCAAATTAAAAATCAAAATTCAGTGATTAATTTGTTACACGTTTAATAATATTAATTTAATAATAAGGATTATCGTACTATATAGTCGCACTCACGATTTGATACAAGACGATAGCCATTACGTTTACTTTTTGCGTATACTTCCCAAGAAATGCTGCTGCTTCCTTATATACATATATCCGCACGCTCGCTCATCCTCCCTCCAAACCTGCGTAGATCATTGTGGCTCCAAGTAACTGAACTTGCTAAAACAGCATCCCGTCAAGCATCAACCTTTCACCCTGCCAAGTAAGTGGCAAGAAGAAAGAACCGTCCATACATGTTTTAGCCGAATACCAGTGAATTCCCTCTCTGTCGGTAAATATATGGAAATTTGGATATCGGAGGAGTGGAGGCAAGTGAGATCAACGTCATTCTACGGATACACCGATCTGGTAGTCATTAAGTCAATATTGAAAATTCATGAAGAATGATCAAATAAAAGAGTGCAGCTTGCACAATGAAATTAGTTGGATGGTTGTTTGTTTGTAGAATTACTTCAGCAAGACTACCTGAGAATGTGAAATATTGAAAAAAAAATTTATGTGAAATCTATCAATTAACTTTGGGGCTTGACGATGCTTAAAAATACTGACTTATGAGAAATGATGATAAATATTTGTCATCTGCTTGACGTGAAAACTTTCAAGTGTTTTGTTCAATGTAGGAAATTCTTATTTAATATGCCTACCTTGAGTAATACCATAGAGACGCCATAACCAGTATCCAAGCCACAAGACATTGAGATCCAGCAGAATGGCAAACCGACTAAACCTTCCCTGGTTAGTTTGGATCATTTATATAGAAAATCGTGGAGCGAGCAGCCTGTAAACAATAGAAATCAATTAATCGACTCTTCCCAATCGAATCACGTATACGACGTATGTGGTGGCTACTTAGCAAATGTCCGGAGTCCTATAGCTTTTGGGCGACGATCACCAAAGGTGTTCCTCGCTGTTCCTAGTTCTTCCTCCATATTGACTCGTGCCCTGAATTTAATTGTCGTAAAATGAAAACGTCATTTGTATTTTGATTACTTTATGGAATTCGCATCGTGATTCGAGTCACTCGATTTTCTTTCGAGGACGTCCAATGCCTTGTTATCGGATATATGGTAAAGTGCTCCTTCTCTCTTTCTTATCATAAAATGTCTTCCGCACAAGTTGATAAACGTCATTTGATGTTTGCGTGCATAAGTTTTGCTTTGAAAGCATGCAACAGAAATTTGAAAAAATTTGACTTACTAATTGTGTTGTAAAGTGTCATTCGTCTAATGACGCAGTTGCTGCCAATAAGGTTAAGGTTGAGTTACGGCATTTATGGTAACGCGTAGAATATAAGCAGAAATCGTAGTATTTTAGGATGAATGACTTGAATGACCATGTCTTGAATGATTTACTTAATAGAATACTCCGACCTGTCATTACCATGCGAGTAAAATGTAAATCCAACTGACGTTTGAATGTGAAAAATACGAAAAATTTCGGTTCGGTTTACACTTTTAGCTTTGAGTTAACTATTACGAAGGTGGTGTCAAAGTGATTGATGTTTTACTCGCATAGACTTCCACAATGTGCAGAGTCCTTGGGGTCGTGTGATGAATTTGTCAATTGCAATTTGTACTATAACCGTCAACGATTTCCTGCTACAAGGATATTCTCTGGTCGACCCTTAGCAACGGTCTCCACACTTTAGAACATCGTCGCAGCTTTACTGTACTATTCCTAAGAGCACAGTATATGTGGGTTGACCAAGTAATACCTGCTTTGGTCAACAGGTGGCAGCACTTTGAACGATGCTTCCGTATGTCATAGTGCGTGATAGTACCAACGGTTCAATTTTAAGTTTATCTTCTCGTCCGATAATTCGTTGATACTTTTCAATTGCTGCTAATCTAGAGAATTCCTAACGACGAACCAGAAGATGATAAAAATGTTCGAGGGTTGCACAAATATTTGGAATGATTTATTCTGATTAAATTCGTTAACCGACCATGAACATGTTTGGTTACGTAAAAGGTTGTAGCATTATTTTTGACAATAAGTGAAATAAAGAAAAGCATAAGTTTTCAGATTAAAAAGGTATGCGAACGTAAAATAAATTCTTGACAACATTTTAATTCCACTATAATTTAAATTCATGAATATAAGCACGTATGATTATTACTCAATTAAAGTATCGATGACTGTCCAATGTAACTGTACTGTAATGACGATCATTGTTTGGCAGTTTGACACACATACCGCACAATATAAGGATGTACATTGCCATTTCTGATTAATAATGCGGTACCGTAACAATAAGCAGGATATTTGATTTTGGTTTCCACCATGAACGTAATCTGCTAGGTTAAAAAATTTGTTCGCAATTGTTATCTGGTGGTCTTTTAATCTTTTTTTTTAAACGATGACAGTTACATCTTTATCTTTATATTACGCTAAATCACATTACACACTATAGTCTATGAATTTTCTTTTAAAAAATATTAGTCCTTCATATATCACCTACGATTCTTACAATAATTTTTTTAATTGTCTAAAAAATTCCGTTCCATAAAAATCAAATGTGTCAACCCCACGCATTTCGCTGCCTACGACTCATGGCGACATCTAATAAGAGAGTCAATAACCTCAAGGCATCATTACACGACACTTCTATCTTGTATCATCGCATTCTACGAGGCGGAAATGACTGATCGATCTTAATTCGTCGAAACTGATTCTGTATCTTGTAAAGGTATCGCGAGAACCGGTGAAAGCAAAAGCGGAAATACCCAAGCGTTGGACAATCCTGGGAGTCGTAACGCCCGTTTGATTCCAATACAGACATTTCCGGAAGTTTTCAAAAAGATTTCCAGAAGACATCACCAGTCTAGCGTCCATTGAAAATCCACTAGACGTTTTGGCCATTACTGTATGGGAGTAAGACAGTGACAAAAAATCCCTGGGAAAATAATCAGACTCCCAGTATGTTATCAGTCCTATTACAATCTACAATGTCGACTTTCGTTCTCGTATCCTTTACTAAATACATGGGAAACCTTCTTCTGGTTTACAAAGCGAAAAGAATACAAATCCAAGCGATACTATTCGTTATTTACGTTTTCCCAGGAACTTTCACAGCAGCGACACGCTACATTCCTCAGGGTATCATCTTGCCTCAATCGATTTGTCAGAGATCGGTTAATTTAACACAGTGAAATTTACTATGGACTCACTGACCTGGTATTAACCGACATCCATAGGAAACAACCCAGGAAAAAGATATTCCCCATTTCCTATCTCCAGGTACAATATATATACACACATAATTTGCCGATTGACAAATTTTTAACGAAAATTTGAAAGTTCTAAAAATAATTAAAAATAGCAAATGTATACTTACAGTGATTCAAACATTCGTCGGAGAAAGCTGATGAGTCTTCGAGAAGCGGACCTTGTCAATTGCACGTATCCTTTATTAGGTTCGGCGTTCAATGGCCTCGCGGATGTAGACGCCGTTACAGTTGCAAATACTTGCCCGGAACTTCCGGATAAATATTTATGCAAAGACTAACGTAAGATGAATCAGAACTTTTACCAAGTAACATTTGAATAACGTGAGTATAACGACTTTCCAAAAGTCTAGTCGTATCCGTTACTCTAGACGTTATTGGCTCCTCGACTTTGACGCGGGCTGGGACACTTTCCCTAATCAAGATACAATTTCAGAACATTGTCCAGTTACAAAAAAGAGGTCTTTTATTCCCGCGGCGTTTCTACCTTAATCACTGACAGTTGATCAGTCGATTACCACGCTGGAACGGATAATACATTCCTGATTAAAGACACTTCTTATGCTTGGATCAAAAGAAAGACTACAGTGAGGTCCATGACTCGAATAAACGTGGGTGAGTATTATTCGTAACGATCCAATGACGCTGATAATCCTGACCTGTGGGTCGAAGACTGATTGCGTCATTGTCAAATGACAGTAGAAATTACTATTGAACAGATCCGACGAAAACGTTATGATGACCATAGTGGAAGAAGACAAGGACCAGTTGAAAGAATAAAATCCATGGTCCAGCTCAGCACAAGTACGAATAAGTAAGCAGAAGAATATTTGGCTGACTTAGGTTGGTGGTACAAGGTCAAGCCGTTTAACTGTACATCGTTCAAAGGTTAGAAATCTAATAAGCCATAAGTATAATTCAGGAATTTCAAGATCAACAAGGTCATCTCAAAAACGTCTGCAAACTCGACCTGCACCATCCTGACGTGATTACAACCAGTTTTTTGGACTCGATTCTTCAGATTTTTTCTGGAAGTCAAAATTTAAAAAACGATACAACAGCCGGAATCTGGTACCTTAAATTTTGGTGAAACACATATTTTCTTTGCAAAACTGTCACAGTGGCTTGACGCTAGTGACATTCTTGTGGCTAGCCTATACAGTTATATATCTACGTTACAGGACGTGCGTACCTAGCAGCCACTTTTTTGTCTTTTTAAACTTTGCCTGGCTTGACCATCAAATTTAATCGTAACGACAAACAATCATAATGCGATCACGAAATTATGATGAAAGGTGTACCACATACTCGCTTCTGGAAAGGCTGACCTGAAATTCGTGAAAAAGATATCGCCACGCGTACAGTATTCACTCTTGTTGGTTACACTTCCATTTTTATTCATCTGTACGGTAAAGCGAGTTCAGTTACAGGAAGTGGAATGCATATGGATATACATACAATAACGTAAGCTGGTCGAGTAGTAAAATTGAAGATGATTTCACCGTCTGTGAAAATCCCGTTATGGTGTAACAGGAAAGAGAAGAGAGTCTAGTTGGTGTCTGGTAAACATGAAAATTATAAAGTTTGATAAACGTAGCATAATTTTAAACAATTTTTATATTATTAAATCAGAGTACAGCAATGGGTATTAATACGTTGGATAAGAATAACGGTACTTTTGTTAAATAAAATTTTTAATAAACAATCATTTTTTTCGAGTAAATTGCGGGGTCTACGAACTTGAAAATCCAAAACAGTATCATATACCAAGTAGAAGTGGTTTACTGCGATGACGTCACTTTACGAGGCTATTGAAAAAAAATCAAAGAGAAAGCAGTCATCTCTGCTGCGAAATACAGAATTGTCTTTTTTTCTTCTTCTTCTTCTTCGGGAAGGTCAATCATTGTAACATGAACTTGCTGAGGTCATAGTTCGATCTTTAAAAATTGTCAGATCATCAAATTACATATTAAGAAGTATAGACGTTCCAATTGTTGTATCAATAATTGTTACTTAATAATTCTCTATTTAATTCGTACAGAAGTCAAAGACCTTACTGACCTTATGTACACTCAATTAATCCTGCCTTTTCGTAATCAGTGACAGTGTACGTATTATTATAGATGTAATAAAATATTCTTGTTGTTTATAATAATTTATTAATTCATAATAAAATATTGTGGAGAGAAAAAATATATTGTGGACCAACAATTGGAAGATGGTGGAATGAAAATGTTGATGATGAGGATGAGGATCAGAGTCAAAGAATTCCTATGTGAAAGGAGTTGAGAGAAAGCTGTCGTGGCTGCTGGTAGTCAGCACGATGTTCAACTCCAGAAAGACTGCAAGCTCGTCGAATAATTCGAATAAATATCAGGGCACGTAAGACAGTAGTAGTGATACTGCATGTATGTAAATACAGGTTATGAATTTAGGTAAAGATTCAAAAGAGGATTAAAAATTTGATTGTATTCCTTATCTGTTTTAGGATTCCAGCGAATTTACCCCAAAACAAGTATTTTTATCTGTATGAAAGATATGGGGTCAATGTGGATGAATAAAAATTAAAATATTGCCAAAGGAACAGTTACTGGATAAGGATTTGAGTGAAAGGATAATAAATTTTAAACTCATATTTTTCGCTTTAACTTTAGAATATCGAATGACTACTTTTTTTTATTATTCCCCTTTATTGCCTCGTTTATTAAGACTGATTACCGTCGGTCACGAATCCGTAGAGAAATTTCGTATATTAAGTCGTCTGGACCAAGTGTGAGAAATTTACCAAAAGATTATTATTACTCGGGTTCAAAGTGCTAAATTATGTGACCTTAAGTCAGTGAAAGTCTGCCAGAGGTAATTACTTAACAGAACGCTTAGAGGTTAATCGCTGCATGCTGTCTTTGTACTGTAACCATATTATAATATCAAGTACGTATGAAGATGTTGAAAATAGAAGGGAATGCGTTAACTTTCGCGCATAAACAGTTTTTAATGATAATTTTTTTTTAATTTTTAACAAACTCTTTATTCACTGCCTACTTGACATCTACGTAGTGGATTAACCTAACCTAAGCAGCTGTCCACGGTCAGACAGTGAATTTCTTAAAAATAAGCAAGATTCCTGGTGGCCAAATATATAAATGACACTTTTTGACACTGTAGTAGTGTCTACTTGAATAAGAAATTTCAAATGACATTGGTAGTACTTTACGAACCTAACGTACTACCTACTACAATTGTCAAATTGCCCGCGAGATTTGAACAGTTCCTTGCTCCTCTTAATGGAATAACGAGTAACAAATTGTCCTCGAGCCCCGTGAAATCAATGAAGTCACAGTCTTTTCTGCTATTCATTATATTGTTGAAACCACTTTGCGGAATCACGCCTTGTTCAAGATGCTAATATAAGAGAAGAAAAAAATAAAAAGAAACTAAGTCCAACAATAAGTGTGAACAAAAAATAGCGTGTCCCACAGCCTGAGAACGTAATGTAATACGGGCAACAGCAAGCATGAATTGTTTCCTTTAATTGTCCAGTGGAATTTAGTTAATTAAAACAAATTACGACCATTCAGTAAAATTCACATTATGGAATCTCGACATAATTCGCTATTGTCCCTGAATGACTGGCTGACCTTCAGCATTGACAAGAGTTCGCTCTCCTTTTCACTCTTTCATAAAATCTAATGATATTTTATTTGTTTAACAGCACAAACAATAATTATCATTCGTTCTATACAGTGTGCAAAGTATAAAAGAACACATTAATAATGCACAGCAATGCAGGACACGAAATTCGTGCGAATGCGACGTCGAAAATATTCGAGGACATTAGGTCAGCCGGTACTGTAGATCGCATATAAAGCAGCCTAATGCAACCGATAAAATCGTCGCCAACTAACGGAAACGGACTATTGGGTTAGACGAGATAAGATCGTTAACCTTGTTGTAGTACTTGTAAAGTATCATTGTCATCAAATAATGACGACATTAACCATCATGAATATCTTTTACCATGTACCATATGCTACTGTCATCGATGACCTATCTACATTTTTTCTTACAAGAAACACGAGAAAGATTTATAAATTATGAAACATGCCAATTAACAAATTAACATTACCATCACGTTCCTCATGTGTGATCCAACGTTCTTCCCTTCGTTCAATCCTCCCAGTATCCAATTATAATTGACACATGAAATCACTGATAACAACTCCCACGTGGATATTGAGGTAGCATTACTTCCATTGTATATATGGCTATCTCAGGTATACGCACATGTACTATATGAGAATCGTTGGGAACGTGAATGAGGTCCCGATCTTCCACGTCGATTCACATATGTACCTATAATACATACGTGCACGAATATACGTATAGTTACGGATTATATTGTACGTCGTTCGAGGTATGTAGGTCAGGAAGCCGGCGTTACTAACAAGTAACTTAACTCGTATGACACCGCTAACTTTCGTCGGAAAGAATTTTCGTTTGGACTAACGAAATACGTACGTTGGCTCTTCATTCAAATAAAGACGAATACATAGTCTGAGTGGTTTTTTAAAAATACTTGTAATTACTCTTGCCCGTGTGCAATTGATGGTCGATATTTAATTGGCTCGAGAGACACCATGAAAACTCAATGCAATTAACATGGCGCATCTTACAGGAACGAGTATTGGCTCGAGCCACGTGCGCTGCGGTCGATAGCCGTTGGATCGATTTAAATGAGTGAACGAGAATCGTAACCGCAGGTGGTAACGCAAAGTGTAATGTAACTCAAGTTGGTAATTGGCTCGTTAATCGAGAAGCCAATTAACAGTCTTGCATCGGACAGAAAAAATTGGTGTACTACTTTGCTGGTCCTATCTACGAAAACAATGGAGCATCTCTTGACTCTGGTGGCAGTTACAAAAGTTACGAACAATCGTTACGGTTGGGACAGGTCGATATTTTTATTGATTTAAAAAAAGCTTTTATAATGTTCATCCACTGATCGTTCACTGGATTAATTTATCCGTTGTGAGTAAACAATCAATTTTTTTTTTTTATAGTCCATGCGCCATTGTATTTATTCACACATTAATCAATATTCCTTTACAAACTTTATTTCTGTGAACATTTACGTTTTCTTTCTATGTAGGTAGAGTCACGATTAACTCGTATAAGGAAGTTTGCTATGAGGGTTGCCTGATCCGGTTTAGGGTGTCGCGGTTGGCTGATCGTCGTAGGTAGACAGAGTTTCCTGTCTGTTTGATTCCCGCCTTGCTGCATGATCCATGCCTATTTAGTTTACGTTGGTAATACCGCGTCTATGGGTAAGCTTTTAAATTCACTGTGAATACTGCGAGGATGATTGCGTCTCGTTCTATTGCATACAGGTAAACAGAGACGACACGATACTAGTAGATACTGGCAGTGAATTTCGGAACGTACTCTACTATGGCCTGTCAGTTCGTGTTACTCGATAGCCGTAAGGATATCAAGGAGGCTAATCAACCAGCTGAGATACCGATTAACAATTAAAGTGATGATGTGTAATTATTGTTACATGACGATCGGTAATATTATTATAGAAAATAGAGAAAAGTCATGAAACGAAGACGTGTAGGGGGAGGTTCAGAGGTGGCAGAACAGTGTGGCCTGGATTCCAAGGTTCGTAGGCAGAGGACGATAGTCAGTCACAAAGTCAGCCTCGTTCCTTGCAACCGGCACACCGGTAACTGGAGAGTGGTGGCAGACAACATCACAGGTGGGGAGTGAGTAGGTACGAGAACGTACAACACCTGGATGACTTCCTGCCACAGCGAAGCACTTCAGTCTTCAAGATCCACCACTGTCGATCGGTACTTCGGTACGCGTACAATTACGGACTATCCGTTTGATACATAACGGCTTCGTCAGGAAGATTGTCTTTTAGGTTAAGCTTGTATTAGACAATTGAAATTATGCCGCGCGGCTAAGTGCATCTATACTGTGAATATATTAAATTGCAACTGGACTGTGCCTTCAAACGTGGTTCATTGGAATTACTCGTATACATTGGGAACAGCTGAAAACACTGACATCCAAAAAAAGAACCTCGAGGGAGGATCGCAGATCGTGAACGTTTCGAGGTTCATCCGTAGGATCAAGAAGATGGGACTACTACGGATTTTTCTTGGTTTGGTCCTATTTGGACTTACGGCACAAGGTATATTTTTGATTAATTTAAATCAAGTAATACGTGTATATATGTATGTCTGAATAACTTTTAAAATTATTTGTATGGGGTAAGCTGAGGTCAGAAAAGAAAATTTGACATACATACCGTAAGTAACTGCTAGAGGATATTGGAAAGTCTCAGACTACTTAGGACGATAGTGATCGGAATTCTTGACAGTATAATTGATTATAATTTATATTTCATTCTTTATTATAGTACGAATGACTTTCGAGTATTATAGATATCAGGATAGAAAAGAAGCTCGTTTTCACCCGTGCGAAAAAGATGCTGTACGTCGTTTTACAGAATAATACGAGGATCTCAGGAGAATGATTAATTTCAAAAAAGTATTTCTATCAGCGTACATAATGTATATCTACGTGTGACTTTTGCAAGTACGGCATACGACTTTCCTACTTTCATCCGATGCAGAAGCGCTCGGGACAGCGACAGCGCTTTTCCCATTCACGGCTAATTGGAGAAGCTAATTTAACATAGAGTCAAGTTACCGTTGCGATCTATACGCGTTCAACTATCAATATTATTTATATCCCATTCTACGGTATCAATTAATTTTCAGAAGACGACGATGCGTTAAAAAATAACAAACGATATACGATCTTTCAAATTATCAAACACATAATCGCAAATGTCAATTCGTTCCGCACGTGTATGTAAAACAAAAAAAAAGAATTTAATAAGACCGGTTTAGAGTGTCCTACATAGATTTTAAAAAAAATTGTATTCCCACAAGAATACCAGTACACCAACTATTTCTAACCCGTTCAATACACAGACTCGAAATGCATTCTGGTACCTACTCCGAGTACCTTCGACCTACTAACCATCTGGAATGAAGCTAGTTGCAAGTCAGGAAACTGGTAGCACCAGTAGTGATTATCGTCCAGGTAATATCGAGAACGTGTACCACCGTTCAAACGTATAGTGGCTGTACCTATGGCGTCGTCGCGAAACCCCAAGACAAAGGTTGGCGTTTCTAATTAGTCAGCAGAGGTTCCCAATTTCCCACGATTCCAGGAAGTAACGGGAGGTACGTTCGCTATAAGGAAGACATCAGTGCCGCCCTTGCTTTTGGTATCGCTATTTGGTATCTTGTCTTTCTTCATCCTCGCCATTGCGCCTATCTGTCCAGGTTTTCTCTCTCCCTCTTAGATAATTCCACTTATCGACAGAGTATATATTTAAATCCATACAAAAAGGGTTTCTGGTACATTTGAAAAGTCTATATATATATATACTGTCAATATTAGCAAAAGATAGTCAGAAAATATTTCTCATGGCGTCCATGTTAGTTCAAAAAAAACTTTCACCCTTTTCACGGATATATCTACCTATTTTACTGTTCCACATAAATCCAGTAACTTCTCACTAAGAGATTAGAAAGACTAACCATAATTACCTTTCATTGACTCGATAATCGATATCGAATTCGGTATTCATTTTTTTAATTGAAATAGAAATTTTTTTTTCACTACACATGGATTCGTGGATCTATGACTAATTGTGTCCTTACAGAGCGATAATCGATCTTCTAGGCGTACGATCCACGTGGTTAAGTACGTTGATGATCGCGCCAGGCACAATAAAGCACTTTCCGAATCAGACCTCGGCGCAGTTCTGCCCCGGTTTGCGGCTTAACCATTACGATGATGCGGGCTGGCAACCTACATTATACGGATGTAAAGAACCGAGGTCTATATAGGGTGTTCTTAAAAAAAAAAGTAGGACTTATTTCTAATATCGGATCTAAATATGTAAATTGTCGTATTCCTGCAAGCACTTGGTATGACATTACAGAAAGATAAAAATCTTAGAGAAGATCGATGACACTACGCGATGATCATTTCTTATTTCCATAGCTGAATGATTATCATATTCAGATACGTGCAGGTATTCTTATGATACCGACAGTTAATTCAGACAAGACCCAATTTAATATTCGCACGTTACACCTGTCTCTGACACATATACGCATGTGTGTATATATATATATATATCTATATTGTTGGTTTTGGGCCCAAGTGCGAATGCGTAATAAATATGTTAATTGAATAGTGGGGACCGTTATTCGTTCAGCCGCAGGGCCCTATTACTCTATTGCTGTCGATAAGCATCAGAAACGCCATATAGGATCCGATAGCTAAAAATATTCGAATTTTCAATTCGAATTTAACACTAGGATCAGAACGCACATAAGAAAGAATGGAACGGATGAGTACTCTATGAAGTAAGCGTACGATAAATGTCATTTCTCAAAAGGAGGCTGAACGCTTGACTGAGAGAATGTAGAAAGAGACCGGAAATTTGGTTTGATTTCTTAGTCAAATAGCAGAAACCAATTTTGTAATTTTAAAATTGGCTTCGGCTTAATTAATCGCATTAGAGACGTGCTAGTTAATTCTTACGTCATCGACCTATACATCTCGTACCTGTACGAGCAATGCACTTAGCTATTGCGCAATTCCGTATAAACAATGTTAAATCGTCGAAGAGTGCATGCCTACGTTAAGTCATTCCTACTAGTTTCGCATATACATATGACTGTACGCGAAATGGTACCAAGAGATAGCAGAGATACATACTGCACGATAACAATAGCAGATGCCAGACTGACAAGAAAGATGCGTACAATTTATTTTCAGATAATTAAATTCCCAACGAGTAAGCATCTGCGTGGTTCACGGTTTGACGTACAAATATACCCGTATCGAAAAGTGGCACGAGCTGTGAGTCACTATACCGTGCAGCATAGAGGAATCGCAAGAAGAACGAGGCTTGACCTATTTTTCATTTAACCACCCACGACCAAAAACAAAATCCTTCGGACTGGTTCCGAACAGTAAATCGGTATCGGAATGACACCAAAAATAGTTTGGCACCATAATACGCAACAGTCCTTAGAATGACATCCTGAGAAAGCCTATTAGCGGAATAACAATAGTTACATTGAACGAGCGTGTGGGGAATGTCAAGGCGTTGGAAAGTTGAGTTTTTGGATTGTTGAAAAAAAAAAAAATTAACAGTTATGCAACGAGTGAAATTTCATGGGGTTACTCGAGTTTAGTTCCTTGCAATGTTTGTACACCGACAGCATGGCTGATTACTTCCTAAGTGATTGTGTTACCCGTTCAGGATATCGTGGTGGGACTTGCGTTATCACTTCCGTCACGTCTTCGCGTTACAATCAGGAGTCGTTACTTGTGTTACTCGACGACTCAAGAATTCGCAATAGGTCTTTGCAACGGACGACACTCCTTTTTTCTTTTTACAAAACGAATCGTGCTCATGGTTCTAACTATTGTACTTGAGCAATTCGAAGATTTCAGTGGTTGCGCAATAGATACGGATTCCTATTGTCGTTCGGTGCGCTTTGCGCATCTTGAAGACTTCGATGCTCGATAATGCTATCTACTTTACCGACCGAGTAATACATCCTGTACACAGGCGTTTGATAATCAGTACAGAAGCTGCTGTGTAGAAATACCATTCTAAAGAGATATACGTATGTAGATACAGCATAGCTGACGGTGAGAAGATCCCTATCGTCTCGAGACACGAAGACTCGAAGTCTGGTTACTGATTTAGCAGGTACCAAAGGACTCGTGAAAGTTGCCAACGAGATGGCAATGACCGACACTTGGTGTGTCGGTCGTAGCTGTTAGTACACTAATGATATATAGTAAATGAGAAATAATAATACTATCGCGCGTGTACGATTCTGCTACAGGCAAAACGATATTGGTGTGGCAGCCACCATTTTGAACGCGTTATAATTATTGTTGTTGACGATGGGTTATCACATTACAGGAAGTAGAGCCACGAGATGCGGTTACCCTGGTGCACCTGCTCACAGCATCGTACGCTTCACTATTCCCGGTATGGAAGATATCATAGACGAAGAAGAGGCATTGCTGAAGGACCCGTCTTTTCCGGAAGGCGCTGTTGCTACTTATTACTGTGACAGAGGATTCGAGCTTCTTGGTCCTGCCAGAAGACAGTGTCAGCATGATGGTTCATGGACTCCGGAAGGCATACCGTTTTGTGGTGAGTTGTCGATTTTTTTTTATCTCTTCAGATATGCATCAGCTCGTTAGATCACGTATCCTTGGTGGGTTGATGTTATTGTTTGATTATTTAGGATGACAGGCTGGTGAATTTATACGATGTCACGTGGCTGTCAGAATCCTTCGATGGATTTAGATTCTCTGTGGATCGTCCAGGTCCTTGGCGTACGTAATGGCTGCGAGGAATGCGCGTATATGAGACTCGTTGGGCCTGAGGCGTTCTTAGGCGGTAACAGGTTCAGAGTTAACGGAGAGTACCCCCACTGACTACTGGCATTTCTAACTATCTTCAGACTGCTCGGTCAAGGACACCCGGAATCGGGTCATCCTCAAGCTTCATGCTTCTCCATTTTGGGCGCTGCCGGTGATTTCGAAAGTGTTGGCGTTTACTGTGGGAGCAACAAGGTTCGCTCGTATCTTTGAAACTTCCTCGAAGTATCCCGAGGGTTGAATTCCTTAAATTCTTCCAGGATTTCGTGGCAGGAATATATTTTTCCTTTATCAGTGACCACGCGATGGTTGATATTACCGGGACGGGTCTTTCTGGGGAAAAAAAGAAAAAAAAATTGTACCAGAGATTCTGTTGATTCTTTCAACCTCTATTAAGGCACTGTGAATGCTTTGTGCTTGTACGAGGAATAATGGAGGTTTTGACAACTCGTTACGCTCCATTGACTTACCGAAATCAGTGTTGCAATCAATGCTGAAAGAAACTTAAGTTCCCTCTTGTTCGTAACTCGATCAACGAGCCGCGAATAGTGGTCCTGACCCAGTCTCTCTTTTGTTTCTTTCAATACTGTACAGACAAGAGTATGAATATACGGTTAACATGATAAAGAGAACTTTTTATAAATTGACTATAGAAATACTGAACGCCTACAAGTAAGACCAATTAGACAGAACGTTTTCTCTAATATTCTATAAAGATTATGGACTGTTCTCTTATCAATATCGCATATTCACAGTGGATCAGATATTTGCAAAAACCTTGGTAAAAATTATTTTGGAAAGTCAGAAGCGTCCGGTCGTTCGACAGGTGAATTACCTTGAGGGGCCCAGTGGGTTCAACGAGACTTATGTATGATAAACCTGTCCCAGTGCGAAGTGACGCTCCGATGACGGAAGTGGGTCAGCAAGTATCGTGGGCACACGAAGTGGACGCGGTTCGCTGATCAAAAGAACTGTCTCTTCAGGGTTTAGAGCGCGACACGATCGGTACCCCGCGTGAAAGAAACAGAGCGCAAGAATAGTGGAAATACTTCGGACCAATAGAGTATAGAATCTGTAAGAAAAAAAAAGGATGTTAATTCAATTTCATTTTGCTGCTGCAAGACAGTGAGAAAGTTTCCTTTTTATTGCCATGCCATATTCTTATAATTTTTTTTTCTCCCAATACTATGCGCGTCCACTTACTCTTAATGGTCCCTTCTAACGCATCTAATGATACCCTTGGCAAAGCCATAGAACAGAAAAACACGTTCCACCGTATGAATACAGACTATTCAACCACACGTGGTGCAACCTGCACTTCAAACCAGGTGTTGCACTTTACAGAAGACGTGCACTTTAATCGCAGTAAAACGCGTTGTCATAAACCGTGACTGATAACCAGAGGTATTACTAGGCGGAAATAGTAATCGACGTACCTATATAGTACATGGGGTATCTGACCGATTGGACAAGGAATTTAATGTAGCATATATATATATATATTTGCATAAAATTTGCAAATATTACGTTGTTGCAACGTGCCTATTCCGTGACGTCATCGAAGCCATTAATGAACCGGCAAAATTGTACATTCGGATTCTCGTTCAAGGAACCCGTTATATCTACAGACTCCTGTAGACACTCCTGTAGGCCATCCACTGGAGCGTAGCCGACGGCATAGAAGAAATATTCTAAAAAAAATCTAATATAGGCAATGCAATATATATCATTGCTATATATGTATATACGTGTACGTATTCAAGGGTGGAGTCGGAATTCGAACAGCTCTAACCAAGCGTCGATGTCTTCTATGTTCGCCAAGCCTGGTACCACTTACGCACCTGTGCATGAACTTGATTCTCACGACAGCTGTTCTTTTATTTAAAGATAGAAACCATACATGGCGGTTACTGTCAGCTGTCTGATGCCGCGACAGTCATCGATTAATCATAGTCAATAAAATTGTATAATATATTATCAGACTGGATCGAGTCAATAGAGTCGACTTAATCGGTGCATAAATCACATACGTATACCTCGTTGCTTGACCTGACCTCAAGAGAATTTCACACTTCACTATGAAGTATGTGTAAGTATGATACTGGTATATTGAGAAAAATATATGTAGTGTGTGGCGCGTGCTTCGAAGAAAGGATACTGTATACTCTTATTAACATAATAAAACTATTTATCGCATGCGGCGGACACTACAGTGCGTTGTAAATGGGCAAAATGAGAAATATGTATTTTTTTAAAGAAAAACCTGTTATCAAAGAGACGTGTTTTGTTGGTAAAGATGAAGTTGCTCTTTTGACCAAGGAAGCGGATAGGTAACTTCTTCCTTTATCCTTTATTAGTACTGTTCGGTAGCCTGGTAGTATAAGCATATACTGTTATTCAGCCGGAATGAATACAATTTCTATTCTCTTTACGGCTCTCATTATCATAGTTATTGTAATTAGGAACATATGATGATGATAATTAAAAAATTAGTATGCTCAACTGGTGTTGACGCTAAATACGGTGGTGTAAAACCATAAGGGAAAATTATGACGTCAGTAAATGTCAAATGTGTCGTTTAAGTATATATAAATATTGTTTATTGAATAATTTGAAGAATACTCACTCGGTATAATGCCGTTGTCCGTTATTCGGCGAACGATCGATTTTGTTCAATTAATTCTTAGCCATCCGATAAAGCGAGGATCTGGAGCAACCGCAGCCTAGGAAGACAAATAGAGCGTCGAAAAAGCATAAAGAATACTAAATCTACGTGATAATCGTACGTAGATTATAACTGTAAGTCATGAGGTAGGCACGCATCGAGTTTGTGGGAAAACGTGCTTGGCATATACGTACAATTGAGAAATGTAGGTTTGGGTCGTGAACGCATCTATTATCTATTTTATAGGACATGCCTACTGCCTATTCTCTTTGTGTATATCCATAGTGGTCGGCGTCTGTCATTTTCGTAATTTCAATATCAATTCCATTTATGATATCGTACTTACTCCTATACGATGTATGAGGCTGTTAAGTATTGTCCTGTGGACCATTGAGAACCATCTTCACTTCACGATATCATATCTTAACCGACCGCATGAGATTAGCCTAAGATTAACTACCTTAGTGCAGAATGCACGTCGGACGGACGCCCGTTGCAGGAACGTAGTCGATAAAGTACCGGCGTTACGGTACAGTAAAACTACCGCAAGGCCGCCAACTTCTCCATGAATGCACTCCTGCACGGGATAAATTTCTTTGAACGTTTCTTCCTCGATTTTTTCCTCGCAATTTCTTTTCTCATTTTGACACAAGTCTTCGCGTGTCAATGTGAATTCATCTGTGACCTGTGCAAATGCTGACCGATTTACGATCCACCAGCTTATCACGTCACGGACGTTAAAGTCTAACTGTCAAAAATTCCTGATGTGGACAAGAATCGTCAATCATCGAACGGTGTGTGCGTAAGACTAATGGCGTCTGTTCTTTCTGAATTGCAGTTCTCAACGTAGCCGGTGGTAAAGCACCGATGCAATCAAGCAGTGCGGAAGGTGGAATACCACAAAGGGCCGTAGATGGAAGCAGCGGGCAACTTTACACGCCACAAACTTGTACACTAACGACAGCAGAGCCACGACCCTGGTGGTACGTCAATCTCCTGGAACCATACATGGTACAGTTGGTACGACTGGACTTTGGCAAACCATGCTGTGGTAAGTAGGAAAGTTATTATGTGCCAATAAAAATTTTACGGAAATTAAAATATGAACCAGACAGATATTAATAGATCGATGCGAAATGACGTCTGGCACTTTCATCTTTGAAGAAAAGTCATTCGACGCTCGCGGTTCCCCAATAAAATGCTCCAATAAGCATTACTACCGGGACGATCGACCTGAATCATTGGAGGACTTTAAAAAATTTCTTATCTCGTCTACTTTGCTTTCCATAGTTAAAACAAATCGATGGCAATTTAATGGAGTGTACTTATAAGGTGTATAATGCGAATATATTGTTAAGGTATCGTTCGTTGGAAACGAGCCATGAAATTTCATAAAGTCATAATAAATCGAGCAGCGCCCGGGAGCGTCCGAGCGTTGGCTCGCATGCAAGATCTTTTAGAAACTCTTGTGAACGAAAGTGAGAGTCTTCTTTACTTTCGATTGCTTAGAAAACGTACTAAATCATTCTATAAGGTATACAGTAATTTTCGATTCGATCTGAAGAAACGTGATCGGTTTTTATTTACATGTGTATATACGGTCACCTCGTGGCGTCTGCTTTGATTTCACTTGAATTAAATGAGTTTAAAGGTACCTATCCAGAGGGAGACTCGTTCGTTGCGGTTTGTTGACTCCTTCGGTAAACTTACGTCGCTGCTCTCGTGTCTATTATGCAAATGCAGACTGAAGATAATGAAAAGTTCGCGATGCGTGTAAACAGATTCAGCGATTTCGGCCTGGTAATTATCCAAGAGGAATATAACATGGACAAGGGTCGTTAAGGTAGCTGCTTAGTTACGGCTCAGTACCACGTATCCTAGACGAGTGGAATTATCCTGAATAGAATTGATCTTGACTGTTGAAAAGCTCAAGAAGACAATGCTTAAAATGCGTAGCTAGTTCAAGTGCGATTTACGATGCAGTACGCGTATCTGATTTGAAAAAATTACATAATGCGAGGTTGCTATAAATACTGCGACTAAGAAAGTCTTGGATGTAAAGTCTCGTGATTTTTGTTTTTATTTTTTTTCTATATTTTTAAAGCGACGTTAATAGTTAGTTGGGAGATGATTATGGAGACAAAGCGAGGAAAGCCTATAATTGGAATCCTCACGGATGGACAAAGTGATGGCTCTGCATCGTCACAGTTGGGATAGTTACTGGGTCAGGATTCTAGTGCTACCCAGGCCCAGCTTGCTCAGGATGATATTATCTAGTCAGGGAATCGTCTAGAAGTCGACCAGGACGTAGTCATGATCTGAACCGCAAGTGAAAGCTTCTTTGAATTCAGTCACCTTTATCGTACAGTCGGATGGTTCGGCTCCCATCAGGAATCGAGGAAAATGATGATGGGGCGTTAGTGTATTGGGTTTGTAAAATTGTAAAGTTTTAAACAATTTTTATACCGTCCATAATTTATTGATCATTCGAAAGAAGTGTTAATTAGCTACATTAATTAATAGCTTTTAGAGCACTAGCAGTTCGAAGTAAAAGTTCTGAATGAAATGTAGAGCTAGAATTTTATTACCCAGATGCACTAGACCCAGTGGTAGGACATTAATTCACGCATCGCCGCGAAACCAGGTTACTTGCACAAATAATATTGAAATTTATTTCCTTCTGTCTTGTCCGATTAACACGGCGTTTCACTAGGCTGCTAGCGAGCATTAGATTTTCATCTTTCTCCAGGTCCAGGAGTAACGATGCTAAATTATTTTATTGCTGTTTTATTCTTTTCTTTTATTGTAAAATTATATTCTCTCTTGCCAATAACTTGGAGAGAGACACTCCCGTCACGGGTTCTTCTAACAAATTTTTTCTTATTGCTTTTAGGCAAAGGCATTCCTGGCACCATAGTTGTTCGGGTTGGTAATAACAGACCGGATCTTGGAACGAATCCTATTTGCAATCGATTCACCGGCCCACTGGAAGAAGGACAGCCGTTATTTTTACCTTGCAATCCTCCGATGCCTGGAGCATTTGTCTCTGTCCATCTTGAATCCGCTACGCAGGCGCCCATTCCTGTGCAATTATCCTTATGCGAAGCTTTCGTTTATACCGATCAGGTCAGTAGAGGCTGGTGTATCTTCTGTATATGGATGATAATGGATAACAATGGGGTAATTGTTGTTTTCTATAATCTAGGCACTACCCATTGAACGGTGTCCACAATTCAGAGATCAGCCTCCGGGCTCCACGGCAACTTACAATGGAAAATGTTACGTTTTCTATAATAGACAGCCACTCAACTTCAGGGACGCCTTGGCGTTCTGCCGTGCACGTGGTGGAACTCTTGTGGATGAGAGTAATCCTGCACTGCAAGGATTCATCTCCTGGGAATTATGGAGACGTCACAGGTTAGATATATCTATTGTTCCGGTAGATTGGTAGTAAAGAAATAATTTTTTTATCATTTATGTAATACAGTTTCGTCCCGTAACAGTCCTCTATAGTAATATAAATAATAAATGACTTGTGGATTGTTTATTATAAAATATAAAAATTATCTATTGAAATTAATTGCAACGAATTACAGGAGCGATACCTCGAGTCAATATTGGATGGGCGCTGTGAGAGATCAAAAGGACAGAAGCGTATGGAGATGGACCGGAAGTGGAGAAGAAGTTTCCGTTTCTTTCTGGAGCCTTCCTCAGGGATCGGAGGAAGACTGTGCTAGATATGACGGAAGTCGTGGATGGCTTTGGTCCAATACACCATGCTCTGCACGTCTTAATTATATCTGCCAACATCGTTAGTATAGCTTTATTTAATTTCTTTTATTGCTTTTACTTAGTTCAACAAGGACAATTAATTATTAATTCTTCGATCATAGAACCGAGAGCTTGCGGACGTCCTGAACAGCCACCGAATTCCACAATGGTCGTAGCAATTTCGTCGGACAGAAATTCCAGTGGAAGTTACGAAGTTGGAGCAACTGTAGAGTACAGCTGCAATGCTGGCAGTTTACTCATTGGTCCCGCGACTAGAACTTGTTTGGATACTGGATTCTACAACGAATTCCCACCTGTATGCAAAAGTAAGAAATAAATAAGATTCCTTCAACATGTATACATACCTTGTAACGCAATGATTAAATAAAAAATTGTATTTCACAGATATAGAATGTGGTTATCCAGCAAGTATAAAGCACGGAGAGTACACTCTGATAAACAACACTGTAAGCTACTTGAGTCAAGTACTATACTCTTGCGAGGATGGATACGAAATGACAGGTTTGACTTTAACTATCCAGGAAATTCTATAGACACTAGATAAGTAATTGTATATAATGATAACATTGCGCTTATCGTTAACAGGCCGAGCACGACTTACTTGCGATATTGACGAACGTTGGAACGGTCCTCCACCCCGTTGCGAACCGATCCGTTGCGAGCCTCCATCAGCTGTACCACACAGTTCTATCGAGGTGGAAGAAATCGACGCAGAAAAAAATATAGCTAGTAATAACAGAAGTCTACTTGTTGGCAGTATTGTTACTTACACTTGTGAAAAGGGATACAAGCTTGTTGGTAGCAGACAGATACTTTGTTTAACAACTGGATTGTACGACCATGCAGCACCTGCTTGTGCAGGTAACTAGAACAAGATACACCCAAAGTACATAAAAGTAAATAATGTTTTCACATAACTATATCGTTTATTGCCATTTCAGAAGAACCCCGGACGACCATTAACATCCCCTCTAGAGCAACTGTTCGACCATCCACCACTCGGGGTCGACCATTGATTCCTACTAGACCCAGGACTACTACCGTAGCTCCTGCAACAAGTACAACTAGTTTTATACCTACTCGTAAAGTTATTGGCGGCCCGGAACTTCCGGCCACAGTGAAGGAGACCACTGCAAGAAGACCAACTGTTGGATTACAAAAACCACCATCAGTTTTGAATGACGAGAGTAGCGACCATCCTCAGGATAATGAGATATCCGGAAGTGGTGTTGATAACGCTCAAGCAGAACTTGCAGCTGGTGTACCAGAACCTTCCGGTCCGTTCAGAGTAGACAGTGCTGATCAGCCTGCTAATACTCATCAAGCCAAACTGAACCTGGGAGCTGTTATTGCACTTGGTGTCTTTGGAGGATTTGTCTTCCTGGCTGCAGTGATCACGACTGTTGTTATCCTTATACGCAGGTAAGACCTCATGTTCTTGATCTTTTTGGTATTGTATACAATTTCAGTATCACGATCTTGCTCCTCGTGAGTTCATTCGCGCTTTCATTATATGTATGTCTGCTCCTTGTCCACGTGTGCATATCTACTGTATCGCTTATTTATTCAAACTAATTCCACTTTGGTAATCCCGTGTACTATCTTACCTTCCGCTACCCGAGGAGCATCCTTACTGATATAAATAAGATCATCTCGTGTCATCAGGGTAGCGTCAATGCTACCTCTAGATGTAATTTAATCTAGGCTCCCGAGTATCAGAAAAAAAAGAGAAAGAAAAAGATAGCAAAGAAAGAAAGGGAAAAGGATAATTGAACGGAAACTAACGTTGCTCCTTTTGCGATGTGGTGGTAGCGGCAGCGACAACGTCCGAGGAAGGCGTCGCAGGGGGCTTGGTGGGGTTGGTGCGTTGGGGGGTGGCGGAAACGGTGGCCTCGGTAGGACTGACATGGGTATGCCCTCGCGTTGGTATACTCTTCTCGCACTGCCCTTCCCTGACCAGCACCTGGGGCGCCGAGACCTCACAGGACGTCGCGGTAGCGACCACCCGTACTCCTTCAGCCTCTCGGCGGCCCATCGTGCCGGCTACTTCTCGAACCCATCCTTATAAAAATCTAAATTCGCCCCATCCCCGCAACCACCGATCTCACCACAACATCAACCACCACCAACCACCTCACGAGTGATACTAGTCAAGGTAAACGCGCTTCGACTTCCAGGATTCTACGAAGCACCTAGCGTAACTCTTTAACCAATTCGATGCTGCACCGGTGCTTTTTCTTTCTTCACACGCTTTCACCATTTCTCATTCATCACTATCCTGTACTTTATGCACTATTTGTTAATTGTACTTCGTCACAGATACGCACTCTGGTATTTTGAAGTTGAAGCATTTCTTCTCGTGGATAGAAGGTGATGGTTTTATCACGTAACCTTAAAATTGTATCCTCCCGATGATTCCTCATAGTTGTAAACAATGTCCATGAACCTTGCATTAGTTATAGTCTTGAGAATGGTTATTGAATGAATATTGGGCGATTATCAGTACTTTGACGAAGACAATTATTCTTTCAGGAATCGTGGTAGAAGCAGTAAACATTATCGTCACCGAGCATCCCCAGATTGCAACACAGTGGCCAGCTTCGACAGTAGCTCCTCGGAGAGTCGAGGTGGACTGAACCGTTACTATCGTCAAGCGTGGGAGAATCTACACGAGACAGCTGGACCTAAAACAAATCATAGTCCTCTCCGTCGTAAAGAGACCCTGGATGAACCTGGATACCGGGAGAACTATCGCGGAAACAATACAGAACGTGATGAATCGGAACTTGTTGTTAGCGACGTAGCTGCCTACCCATCAGGCAAGCATGCTAGTGTAGCGGATAAGAAACGTCATCATCATCATCATCATCATCATCACGGTAATACCAGCTCGGACTGGAGACAATCTCAACCCCATCACAGATACTGAAGACACCGTATATAACCGACAAGATTCTCATCTCCGAAATAGTATCCTGTTTTCATATGGATTCTAAAAAGATTGCCGTGGGTTTTTTTTAAATTATCAATTCCATGGGCTATGAGACTAAAATTTATATGTACGGAAATGTTGGGCTCACTTTCTTCCACGTGTTTTTCTTGATCTTGCGATTGAGGCACCGTGGCCAATGATTTATTATACTTGAGATCAGCAAGGGATCGTCCTACGTTTTCATGATCATTTTTTTGGTAGATTTTTAATGCTAAACAATTCGTTAACTTTTATGTAAATATGTGTCAGGCAAAAGTTCTGAATGTCTAAATTCCATTACTGATTCCTTGCTAGTGCAAATAAGCGGCTGAGAACTGGTCAGAGGACATGCCAAAAAAAAAATAGAAAAGCAGAAAGAGTAATATATACAACGAACGTTGAATATTTTCAATGTATTTTTTTAAGTTAGGAATAGGCATGCATTAGGTCATCGTGAGCTATATTCTTTTTTTTCCGTTTAATTAACAATGTTTTCGTACACTCTTTAATTACAACGATTTAATCAATGACGATGGAATCTGTTATGGGCACCTTGGCCTCGCCTTGACGAAGCTGATAAGAGTAGATAAGAGAGCGATATTTTCAATCATTTATATATTAAGGGAAGGCCGATGTTACCCATTCAGGAGAAACAAAACAAGGAACGAAAATGGTTATGATTACATATAAATAATTTGACACGAATAATCGCCGTTCGATGAAGATATTGGGTGGGATTATTTGATTGAATTGACAGCCTAATTTGAATGGAGAAATTTGACTATATTCATTGTTACTCTGGATTACTTTTGGACAGTTGAAATTTATGTTGTGATAAATATTAATGTTCTTTACGGGATCCTACCCAATTAGATCTATATGAGTATGTGATTCATCAGACAATGAATATATTTTTTTTTTATTAACTGACTGAATGACGTTATTCATAACGACTTTTTTTATTCGTATTTATTCTCAATCCAATATTCAAGGTAAATTATGGTAGTGCCATCTCGGGCCATTTTACCTGAATATATGATCTTGTATATCCATTAGTTGCGTGTAACATGCTCTGCTGCGTGAGGCGTGCGTGTGTGGCCAAGGAGGATTGTTATATATACCGTTAGTTTTATTAATTATAATGTATGTATTAATTAGAATAAAGATATTTATGTAATCATACACGCGTATTTATGTAACAATGATATGCCCTTGATTACACAGTGGTAAAACATTGATGAGTAAATTAAAGTTTTTCAGAGTTAGAACACTTTATTAAACATTAGCACGTAATAAAAATAATATAGGAAAAAGTCGTATAGCGAATATGAAATAATATTATTTAATGCATAAAAGGAACATGAAATCCTGCATATCTTTTAATTTAAATCTAAGCACAATATTCGAGATTTGGTTTCATTTGTTTCTTAATTTCTAATATCCCGCAAAAAGCTTACAGAGAATTTTTAAGCCATTCACCTATCAGTCGTCCAACTTCTTCACGAGCTTGCGTTAGTTGCGGCGGATCTTCCTTTGATGGAGGATACATGTTGGCACAGTGAGCAGTACCTGAATATGAATAAGTTAATATTAATACAAATTGTCAAGAAAGTGAAGAAAGAGAAAATAATTACCATTTATGTAAATAGATGGCGCTTGAGGGTTGGTCGAATTTATCATTCCTAGAGCGTGCCAAGGATCGATGGATCCATGAACGAAGACTACATTGCTTACGTCCAGCTGAAGAGCTCCATAAAGAGTATTGGTACGTTCAACCGCAGCCTCTAGGAGATTGATATTATATCTAGAAGGGCAATTGTTAATGTTAATAAAAAGATTTTACAAAGCTATTTCTTTATAGACCGATTGTCAAACCAACCTTGGTCCAAAAATGTCTGTGCACTGTTGAATGAAAAACTCTACAGGGAATGTTTCGCTAAATAAATTGGGCCGAGCTGTTGAAGTTTGAAAGAATCCAAACTCTGTGCACGTCTGATACATCCATTGGCGACCTACAAATGATGGTTACATATTAACTCACTCAAGACGAATATTGTTGTACTGTAATTTACATTTAAACAGTTAGTTTGTATGCTTACCACCTTCCGCTGCTTCATTATTCCAAGTGACATTTCTTAATTCTTTAATCATTTTAATGTAACTGAAATCTAGGCACTTGTCACCATTTGCTTTCATTATCAAGTTATTCATTTCAGCTAATCTATCGACAGGAACGCCTATTGTTTCATTAGTTAAAATATCACAGATTGTATCGATAGTAATGTTACTAGTTTTTGAACTGTTGCGATTGTCTTTGTTGTATTGTACCACGTCGGCAAAATTACTGGCCAAGTTTTCATATAGATTAGCTATATCACGAGTCTTGGTGTGACCCGGGTCGATTGGCTCGCAGAGGCTAAATAAAATTGTTAAAATCATAGGATGAAAATTTGAAATACTGAAAGTATTCACGTAGAAATATTAAATTATTTGTTGCCTTACTTGAATTTCTTTTTTAAACCTTCTTGACCAATGCGGTGACGTAACATTATATGTATTTGGTTGTTCGCTGCTTCGACCGTTTTAACGCAAGCATCTGAATGTGTCCTCAAAGCTTTTTCCACAATAACATAGTATTCTACGAATTGCAATTATTAAATGTTATAATTTATGATACTTTCTGCGGTATCCTTGTTTAAATACGTACGCTGGAAGTCGATTTGTGCTAAGAGGGGACCACTAGCCGACATAGCACCATGAACTAAGTGTGGATACTTAGCTCGCAACCAAGCAGCCAATGAACCTGGATACGAACCACCGAAAGCAATCCACTTTGTACCAGCTGGAATCTGGTAAAGCCTATTCATTCCCTCAATAAAGTATGCCAAATCGGCAAGAGCTTGTTCTGAACTTAAGTATACCATATTCTTAATGCTTAGATCACTGTTGAAAAAGCGCAGTATTGTAATGGTATGCATTAATATAAGATAAATTTAAATATAGAGAATATTGAATGCTGTCTTACGAAGTTGGGTGACTTTTTCCATAGAAACGATGTTCCAGTTGAAAGCACAAGGCTCCAAATTGTTTGGCATATTCAATCCATTGACCTTCAACCATCCACTTTGCACTGGCTGTACCTTCCCCTCCAATCATGAGAAATACAGGACCACCTTTTTTGAAATAGCTCGAGTTGACAAAGTATCTCTGTACAAATAATTTTCATTTTAATGATCTGTGCATAAATTATTATTCGTATATTTTACAGTACCTGCTGCCATGTTCTAGCATCAGTTGGGTTAAAATGGTCAAGGAATTGTTCGAACCATTGATCATTAGGAAGCTCATATTTTTTGGATAATACTGGTTCTCCCAAATTACCATGCTTAGCTCGTCCACGTAGAAAATGTCGCCATGCAATACCAGTATTTGCAAGTCCCAGTAATGCCAATAATATCAAAAACGTTTGCATTGTTAAAATAATGCTGACTCTGAATCTGCTAACCAGATGATATTCAAAACCTGTAAATAAAACCCTGTGTCTCAGCAATGTATTGTTATGCCTTCAAATAATAGTGATTCAGTGTGAAAAAAATAGCATATACATATATTGATAAGTCTCAGGAGCAGCACACCTATCAAAATAGCCAAAAACAGTTCCACCACTCAAATATCCCAGGATACTGCCGGCAAAACAACAGCCAAACGTAAAGCGTGTTGTTAAAATGCTGGCAATATTCTGGAACATGACGTTTTTGCGTATTAGGATTAAAACGCAATCTCAATTTTGTATAAACATACAATGCACTCGAATCTTTTATCGACATATTTTATAAGATTGAATTCTAAACGTAAGAAGCAAAAAATAAATATAAATACACAAACAAAAACTATATCTCCATTCCAGTCGAACTCCGAGGTATGTCCCTTCTATAAAATAACATTCACTATGGTCTAAAAAAATTTAAACCAACAGTTAGAATAAAAAAATATTATCTCCTTTAATCGAAAACGATCATAAATTAAAAATATTTAGGAAATCGTAAAAAATTCTGCTTAACGTTAAACAGTAACTACTTACCTGCTGAAACTAGTAGACAAGGCAATAACAAGGTTTAAAATTGCAAAAACAACAATAAAAAGATCTCCCCTCCTACAATCACGCTCCACGCCGGATCAAATTGGAGTAACAAAGTAGTCGAAGAACAGTTAACAACAGCTGAGCGGTGTTATTTTCGTCATAAGAATGTTTTCTTAAGAGAGTCGAGTATCCCACCAAGTACGTTCTTGTTACCGAAGCACCAACAAATGCTAGGGACATTTGTCCCTGTCAGGCCATAAAGAAAATATTCGATTTGTCGGCGCTCATGTATCGAAATAAAAAAATTAATAATAGTTAAATTTAAGCGTGACATGCATAGATTGTGACAAGAATTTGGAGTTAAATGAGCCGTGACATTGTCGCAAGAAGATTCGTCACGGTTGGTAGGAGACAAAAAGGGGAAATTCACAAACGGAGCACTATTGTTGCTTTTGACAATGAGAGATTAAATAGGGAGACTAGGTTCAAGTGATTCGCAGTGACCAATGGATAGTTAGATTTATCGGTAACACTAATGATAAATAATAGGTTCTTGAGATTGTTTCACGGAGGAGGAATCTGAGATAATGATTCGTCGCTCAGTTCGATAATTCATATTGTAATACGTGGTGTGTACGATGGTTCAAGTTAAATATGTCGCCTCGATTTTTAAAGCTGCAAATATTTAAGATCACGTATTGAAACTGTTCACTGTGTAATCAACGCCGCTGATAAAACGATCTCAGTCTCCTATAAATCTGATTTGCAGCCGCTTTTGCGGCTTAATCCGCGTAACTCTAAAGTGCACGGAAGTCTGCAGGTTGTAGGGTGAGTGAAGATTTGTTCTTTTATTCAGAATCTATTTTTATGATTGTTGCACAATTTTTTTTCTGAATCAGTATGTTTATCCTATGTTAACTTTTATACGGCAACGTACTGTTGAACAACGTTAATACAAAAACAATTTTGCATACGATATGTAAAACTTTATTTTCTCCCATATGTAATAATTGTAATGGACATAATTTGATGTTTTATGTAAAGTATAAAATGCTCCATTCAGGGGGAGTTTTTTAACTTTAACATCAAACGTGATTTTTTTAGATCTAATTTGTGGTTTGTGCTTACTACATGCATATAAATTTTGATCACAGAATTGTATCACAGATCTATTGTAGAATACATTGCTTGTTAACATATCTTTGTAAAGGTATTTGGATGTATAGTTTTAAGAAATTAATAATAAATATTTGCATGTTGTGTCAATCACTGACAAATTTATCTCGTTGAATAGACATATCAAATTAATGGAGATCAATTTTTGTTGACTTATCATAGACGTTTAATCAATTTACTGAATCTATGAGATATATCTGATCTTTATTATATTGAACTGATGATTGTAAATTATCTGTAATCAGTAGGATAGGTATGTAACAATGTATTTTATAGATCAGCTTTTGTCTTGTGTCTCAGTACAGTATCAATTAAATTTTTGTAATACCTAATTATTCCTGTCGTAGCTCAAAAGTTAAAATAGAATTTATTACAAGTATTAGATCTCTGTAATAATAAACATCATAACAACCTATTATCAAAATAAACTGCATATGGTTTCTGAATTCAAAATCTACTAGTCTATTCAGTTTTAAGTCATTAAATTTCCTGTCATAATCCTTAATTAATATAATTTTTCCTGCTTCTTTATAGAGATTATCTTGTGGCATTAACTTGGTAAAGAAAGGAATTCAAAATGAAATTTGCAGAACATCTATCAGCGCATATTACGCCAGAATGGCGCAAGCAATATATCAGCTACGAGGTAAAGTAATTCTAAAGTTATACAAAAAAAAAAATTGACCATAATCATAAACCTTAAATACAAATTAAGTACAATACTTTGCTTAATCATATAGTATGTGAGCATCTTTTTGATCCACTTTATCTGCATCTGTTAATAATTACCCATACATATTATATTCTGATCCGATGAAATAATGGGATTTTTAAGCCAACATGTGTCTAACAGAGTCACATACTAGATGTGATCTATTCTTAATAAATTAATAATTAAAATGATCATTTTGGATTAATAGGAGATGAAGGCTATGCTTTACACTGCTGTGGAGGAAGCTCCCTCAGCAGAGAGTGTCGAGCCAGAAGTTCTTTCTCGTCATTTTGCCTCCTTCGATGAGATGTTTTTTACGTTCTGTGATCGTGAACTTAAGAAAATCAATACCTTCTACTCTGGTGAGTAAATTAGCCAAGTCTGGACAACATTCATCGAGTAGTGACATTATTAAAAAGATTCCTGGAATAAGTAATACATAATGTGAGTGATGAATTTTGTGCAGAGAAGTTGGCGGAGGCGACGCGCAAATATGCAGCTCTTCAGAGCGAACTAAAAACCGTAATGGAGTCACACCATGGAGGTGGAAAGAACAAAGGGAAATCAGATATAAAGCCACATATTTCAAGCAGGAAATTGCGCGAGCTCAAACTCGCCTTCTCAGAGTTCTATCTTTCTCTGATCCTACTACAGAATTATCAAAATCTCAACTACACAGGCTTTAGGAAAATACTCAAGAAACATGACAAGGTACTTGAAGAGGGCTAACGAGAAGTACACAGGATCCTCCTGTTCCTCTGTAAGAAGCTCGTGTCAAACCCGCTATCCTATCCCATTGTCATCAACACTGGAAGATCCAAGTAACAATCCAGGTCCTATTTAAAATCACTTGCTTGTAAATATAAAATCTTATAAAGATTATTTCTCTTCTACAGTTATTATCGGAGGACACTGGCTCGAAATGGCGAGTCGAGTGCGTGGAAACATCGCATTTCTATACAAACAGGGACATCGACAAGCTCATCCAGGAAACAGAATCGCTGGTTACCAGTGGATTAGAAGGTGGCGATCGTCAACGTGCTATGAAACGTTTGAGAGTACCGCCATTAGGTGAACATCAGAGTCCTTGGACAACATTCAAAGTCGGCTTATTCTCTGGAAGTTTTATTGTTCTCTTCGTCGCAGTTGTTCTTTCTGGTATTGTTACATTGTAAACGTACTCTTTCGTAACTCAATATGTGGTTGCGCAACATATACGTGAAAGAATTCATATCGTTTTCTCTATTTCAGCAATATTCCATGATGGCGGTGAAAACTTAAAAATTGCATTTCGTCTGTATCGTGGGCCACTTCTTATTGTACAGTTTCTGTTTCTCATTGGCATTAACGTATACGGTTGGAGATCATCTGGTGTGAATCATGTCTTGATTTTTGAGCTTGATCCAAGAAATCATCTGTCGGAGCAACACCTTATGGAATTATCAGCTGTCCTTGGAGTTATATGGACGCTTAGTTTATTAAGTTTCCTTTATAGTGCCAGCTTGAGCATTCCGCCATTTGTTAATCCTCTGGTGCTGGTTGCCATAATGCTGGCTTTTCTTTTAAATCCATTAAGGATTTTTCGTCACGAGGCTCGATTTTGGTTGTTGAGGATTCTTGTAAGTTAACTTAATATTATGTTGATACGAGACATTATTGTTCCATGATAATATACTGAATGATTGCAATATGAATTTATCTATTCCAGTTACGATTGGTGCTGGCTCCATTTATGTATGTCAACTTTGCTGACTTTTGGCTGGCTGATCAGCTCAACAGCTTGGCTACAGCATTACTGGATTTTCAATTCTTAATATGCTTTTATGTTACAAATGGAGACTGGTTAAAGGCTGGAGACACGGCACACTGTACTTCAAAGTCTTTTATTCGACCTTTCGTCAATTGCATACCGGCATGGATACGATTTGCGCAATGTTTACGTCGTTATCGAGATTCCAAAGAAGCTTTCCCGCACTTGGTTAACGCAGGAAAATATGCCACAACGTTTCTCGTTGTCATCTCCAACACCTTCTACACTATTCATTCTGGTAAAATGGAACCATGTATTAAACAAAGAATTAACAATATTATAGACTTAATCAAATCATATTACGTAATACCTACGTCTGTCTAAGGAAGTGTTTTGTTCTTACTAACAACAATTTAAAGTCAATAATCCTTTTCAGAGGATTTTGAAAATGTCTGGGAAAATCCCTGGCTATGGCTGTGGCTGGTGTGTTGCTTTATAAATTCGGTATATTCATATACCTGGGATATCAAAATGGATTGGGGTCTTTTCGATCGTAATGCAGATGAAAATAAATTCCTGCGCGAAGAAGTCGTATATTCGTCGGCTGTGAGTTATTTACTTAAATTTCTTATTTTCCTGTTACGGTACACACGAAAGATATTGCATATGTATTTTCTTCCAGGGATTCTATTATTTCGCCATAATAGAAGATCTTGTATTGAGATTCGCATGGGTCGCCAACTTCATACTGACTCATTACAAGTACGTGTCGAGTGACTTAATGACTTCGATAATAGCGCCACTCGAAGTTTTCAGGTAAAAAATACAACTTTTATGTCCTCACGATATCCTGCATCACGATCGCTCACTCTCATATTACTTGCAGGAGATTTATTTGGAACTTCTTCCGTCTTGAGAACGAGCACTTAAATAATTGTGGTAAATTCCGAGCCGTGCGCGATATTTCCATTGCTCCGATTGAAAGTTCAGATGAAGCTTTGATACTACGCATGATGGACGAAGAGAACGGTGTAGTGAATCGAGGTAAACGTAAGGGCGGAAAGAAGCAAAGCAATCCCAAGGAAGACAAGCGAGCTTTGCTCAAAGACGAAACCATTGATATCGATATATCGAATGCCAGTTGAGGCTACCTCGGATAATTGCCAATATATCAAAGTTCAATTAGTGAGTATGCTTAGTTGCCAGAATGTTGCAGTATTGCCATCGTTATTTCCGAGATTGTAATTATGTCTCCCCTAACAAGTTCTCGTTATACATATATTAAATGGAAAACTGAAGACTATAAATTTAAAGAAACGCAGTGCCTTCTGTATTGCCAATAGAGTACATACTTTTCATAGTCTTTTCTTTGGCATAAAATAACATTACTATTTAGCAAAGAGATTCTTCAAGTAAAACACTTGTCGCCGGCATTTTGAAAAATCACAGCACTTAATTTTTTATTTTTTTATAGTCTTCAATCGCTAGTAAACAAGATTGAAACTATTCGAACGCTGTCAATGTTACTATTGACTTAACTACTGGTCGATTAATGGAATGGATAAGTACCTATGGTAATGTTATGCAACAACTTAAGGTAGAGAATTGTAATCAAACTTTTCTGTACATACTTAGTTTTAATCATAACAAGTGAATTAGTACTCTTATAGAATACTTTATTCAATTAGATTATGTCGACTGTTTAATTTCTCTCGAAAAACTCAACGGCTGGTAATACTGATATTACTTGCCTTTCTTATTGGTATTGACTTATATAAATCTACAGTTAGTATACTTTAAATATTGCGGGCTATGAGTTGTACAGGATTATCAAGGTTGAAGTCATAAGTTTTTTAAAAGAATATAAAAGTTAGCTCTAGTTAGTACTTAAAATACTTGTGTAACTGTCAAATGCGGATCGGTGAGATTGATCTTGATAGCTGTGCATATAAGTAAGAAATAGTTTACCAATTAATTATTGTAATCCGTATTTAGTCACTTTCCCTTGTTATCAGTATTTCAAATTTCATTCTTGACTTACCTACTCGTTAACAATTAAGTATTCTGCATTGAGTCCCGCCTTAATTAACGTTAAATTTAGTATATATGAAAAATCATGTATAAGGATTTTGCATAGGGATTATAAATATCATTTGAGGTATTTTGTTTGAAATGATTCGAAGAGTCGTTCTAAAACCTTAAATTAATTCTAAAAATCAATACTAGAAAAAAAATCGTTTCCAATTCAACTTATAATCCGTTTACAAAGACCATATTTTAACAAGAAACTAGATCTGTATTTCCCTATGTAAAATCCAAAATGAATTATCTGTATCTATTAGGCACTTGTACTCAAATAACCGGCGTTTATTATGCGTACAAATATTTGGTCACTTAAAGGTTTTATATACACTAGCAGAGAGATTTACTTCAAGGAATATGTACTTATCCGTTTGGTGCTCCACGATATCTACGAGTAAATTGATAAGAATACATTACCACTATGGTATAATAAGCGTTCCTCTCAAAATGAGCCTTGATCTATCTATTTAAAAGTGTGAAATTTTTCACTGACTACGATAACTTACATTAGAGCAAATAATCATATAAGTATACACATAACATAATAAAAGAATTATATTAGTTTTCGATTATTGATCTAAATGATCGGTTCAATGAATACTTGTACTTTACTTACTTTCCACGTAGCTTGTCTGTTATCAACAATAATCTTAAAAATCATTAATAGACAAACTTTGTGATATCTCAATCTTTGTTAGTAACGTCAGATATTCTTAGACAAATTATATTGTTGCGAAAGTGTCAATGTCGCTTGAATCGATACCGTTCAGCATTGCGAATGTTCTAAGACCGTTTTTTTTTTTCTTTGGAAAATTGGCGTATCGATTCAGCAAATCTTTTAATCGTATTCCGACGTCAAACAATTTAGCGGCTGAGTAATGGATTTCATAGTTTAGCATATTAAATCGACAATTGTGATGATTTTATATATATTTTTATAAATACGTTCTTGTATACTGTATATATTTATACAATTATTTAGATATCGCGATTCACGGAATTATCTATAGGGAAATGAATAACAGGTATTTTTATAATTAATATACTACGTGATTCTAGGGGAGCGTAATATATTATATATATATATATATATATTAATTGAATCGAATACTACAAGCCAGCATACCATTATAAATAGATTAATATATTGTATCATTTATATAATAGATATGCCCAGTTCTAAACTACTTACGATTTATTACTCATGTAATCATACGAGCTTGACCTAGTTAGTGCTTGAAAAATTAGTCGGACTCAATAATCCTTTATTCTGTCTTTAAATCCAATGAGATTAGTATCATTGATGTTGCCAATCAATACCAGGAGTTCCAAGTGAAAGTTTGTCCCCTTGATTTAAGTTCGTACGAGGCGATTTCAGCAAAACTACACAACCTGTTGTTCGTGTATATATATATGTATAATGAATTATTTAAAAAAGCAAGTGCTGCAATTCCATTCGAATCGCAAAGTACAACAAAAGTATTATAAAGATTGCTGAATAATTCTTGAAGTATAGATAATTTAGTTTCTTTATTAAGAAGATCTAGAAGTGATTCTAGAAATTGTTGGAATATCGTCACTCGGGTAAGTATAAATTGTAGATAAATATCTCATGAAATTCCAGTAGCCATAACGTGACTCCTTGACCTATTGAGTCTACGGGTCACGAAATCTAGTGTGCTACCCCCTCGATTTTGAATGGAAAATCAATTCCGCCCGATGCATGTAACTGTCACCGAATAATCTAAGAAGATGTGGAAATGGCGCAAGACATGAAAAAAAAGATGAAGGATAAGAGCCAGTAGATTCCTGGTATATAAGCAAATCGTTATTTATACAAGACGTGCAAAACGAGATTGCAAGAAGATATTTTCAAGACACGCGATGTCGCAGAGCTGCCTGACGCCTCTTCTTCTTCAGTCTTCCTTTGGCATTCAACGTCGCTGAACACGGAGCGTTAAAATTTAGCCACTTCATCCGTTCAGGATAATTGCATTTAGAGTAAGTTATTATTACCGAGTGTAACTGGATTCCTTTATGTTTTCTCTAAATACTGTACGACGATAAAGAATAAACGAAATGAATACTTTTTCAAGATTGCCGCTCTTTCTGGAACTTTAAAAATGTCTGCGATGATTTCACCAGAAGTGATCGCCAATGGAGTTGTCAGGAACGTTATGGAATTTGAAAATATGGAAACGCATATTTACCCTGTCAAGGCTACTCGTAAAGCCAGTCTTTTTACCATTTACGCCAAAGTATTTCGTGTTATGATATCTGCTCTGATACAGCCTGTACATGACCCCGAGGAGGAGGAATTTAACAAAGAACTTGACGAACTTATTCTTCCGAGTAACGACGAATGGCGGCATCAGGTTTATTATCGGCTTGTTGATCTGCAACGAGAGATAGATGCCGAAGCTAGCGACAGAGAGTAAGATTCATGTAGTATATAAATTAGAAATTAGATCCATGAATAACAACGTGTCATTGATTCAAATTCATTGAGCTGAAGTTAGTCGCCGAACGAATCGAGCGGCAATTTTCTTTTGACCAAAAGAATAATATTCAAAAGTTACGAAACCCTTAAACTATGAGTTTTATAATTGTGTGATACTGACTATGGATAAATTAAAATAATGACCAGTAACGCTTTATACTAGAGAAATTAATCAAATTTTCCAGCAGCGACCAATTGACACATTACACTAATAGCGATGTTCAACTAGTAGGTTATCATATGATGAGGTAAGACATTTGGCAAATTTATTTTTAAAATTATGAACGTTTTAACGTCGCTGTTTATTGGTTCAATATCAATAGCAATAAAACTATTATACATTGTAATCGATAGAGAAATAATTCTATTTCTATATTCATCCTAAGAAGAAACACAGTTCATATGGATTCATAAAATTTGTCAGGAACAGATGTAGATTGTTGTATTGATTTTATTACTGATCTAATAATCCCAGGATGAAAGCAAATTCTGAAAAAGAAGCTAAGGATCCAAAGGAATGGGAATGGGAACCAGGTGGATCATTGTATCCATTAATACCAAAAGGAGGTAGAATTGGAAATTCAGCGTCATCCTTAGCAGCCATTATGGACGTATCCGGTTCAATGACTGAAGCTTGTATAGAACCAGGTTGGCGAGTAGAGGATTTGCTATTAGCTGCAAAAGTCCTGCAGAAGGAGGAGTCACCAATTTATTCGGACGAAGCCGAAATGCGACGTGTATTTGGTCTGGTTTACGATGTTTTGAGATGTAGGTTATAATTGTGCAATCTTCGTTATCCATAACCGTTCCTAACCTTGCTAATTACAAGATCTATTATCTCACACAGATAAAAAGATCCTAAACCACGCACTGGATGATGTAGCTTTCTGGTATTACCATCCGAAATTCAAATCTCGTGAGAGAATTGTTTGGCTGCTTCTGTACGATATGCAGGGACGTAAATTTGCAAGGCGCGGTGACATTGCAGAAGTTGAAGCACGTGAAAAAGCTTTCGAGGCTGCCAACCTTAAGGAGATCGAAGATACCTTGTTGAATGCCAAGATACGACTTGCTGCTAGTGTTTCCAGATTGCGAATAGAAGGATCCGCTTTGACGCTAGGTAAACAAAAAAATTCCCTTAACTTTTTCTATTACTCATACTTTGAATTATTCATCTTAGGAGAGCTTCTTCCGTTACATCTTCGAAACGCTGAGGGTGTCGTTTGGGGCGAAGAGGGTGCTCTCGCTTCCGGTTGGATAAACAGTATGAAGATTTCCAGTAAAAAAGAATTTATTCACGAGATGTCCAAGATAGGACTGCGACTTTGTGTAGACTGTACAACGGCTGATCTAGAGGAAGACAGTTACGCCTTTGATCCACTATGTCCCAAAGTGGTGAATCTTCATGACAAGGCGCGTGAAAAATTGGCTAAATTCGATCTCGTCCGTAATCATTGTTTTATATTTCTGGTAAATTAATTTCCCTTACTTTGTTGCGTTATAAAGACAAAAAGAATGTAGACACTTTATTGATTTTTGCTAGGAAAGATCACTGTGCTTGGGTGCTGCCGCTCTAGCGCAGGCAGTCAGAATAGGAAAGCTTTGTGGTCCAGTTGTGCTAACACATTCCATAGCACCACGTCACGCAGGATACTTGGCAAGTTTATTGGCAGACATCGATGATGCTGGAAGACTCCTGGTTTTTGGCACAGGAGAATTACGCTGTCAGTATGAGTTATATCTTCGAGACATTGGCGTGACTCTTCAACAATGTCGAGTATTTTCGGAAAAGTATGTACAAAATTTTCTTTGATACTTTTCACAAAATCTATTTAGAACTTAGAAGGGATTTTGAGTTTTTAGATACGTCAATCCTCCACCTTGTGCCGAACTGGAAAGAGCTACGATTATTTTAGCGACACCACCCTGCAGCTACACCGGGATAAGGGATGCTGTTGATCTAGCTGTAGCAAGAGGGGGCGATACTACCCTTCTGGAAACATTGACTAATATGGATAACGAATCTAAACAGCCGCAGGTTCTTCTTAGTGAACAATTGTCGACTTTAAAATACGCTTTGACTAGACCGAATGTTCAATTATTGATCTATGAGACGCATAGTATTCTGCCTGCAGAAACGACAGAGGTGGTGGAACAGGTTTTGAATTATGCGAATAAAATGGCAGCGGAAAAGTTTGCTCGTGAATATCGGGTTGGTCCTTTTTTTTTTGTGCAAGCTAAATATTCTGTCTGTTAATATACTTTCTTGGGCCTTTATATTGGTAGGTAAAGAAAAAGGCAGTGAGTAAAGAGGCAGCTGGAAAAATGTCGAAGCCCAGCAAATCTGTAAAACGTAGACAAACTCAGGAACAATCGAAATTGGATGATCGTAAATCAAATTACGAAGACGAGGAGGAACTCTCCATCGTACCATCCGTGGAGATAAAGGAATCTTAATAAATTCGCAATTATCAAATTTATCAATCATTATTTTTATACTAATCTTCTACCTGTTGTGCAGGTCCCTGACAGTGATCTATTTGAGCATGCCGATATTAACGAAATTTGTGGCAACAAGTCCTCAAATCTCGTAGACAAAGGATGTTACCTGGCACTGATAAGACGCAAGGAAATGATGCAATTCAATTCACTCTTTATGATTAAAGTAGCCGAAACAAAAGGTCTCTTTGGGGATCCAAATAAACAGCAACAACCAAAGGAAGAGCCTCTGTCACCTATTCGTCAAGCGTCTCAGACAAGTCGGAAAGATTTCAAACGCGCCAAGGTACGAATTTTCTTTAATTTCTTATCAATGCAAATATTCGTCTACGTATTTCAAAACAGTTTCAAGTCGACCGAATAGCAGCACCCACTCATTCATCCATGGTGCGAGCCGTAAAAGAAAAGCAATTGTGTCCTCGTCACAATCAACGCATAGCTCAGGGCGAGAAGAGAATTAACGCCCAGGTACGTGACGTTAAGCGTCAGGACGCCCGTCGATGGTGGGACGACGTGACTACGTGTTTGCTTGAATCCTCGCGTTCGAATTCCTGCAAATTTCGAGCAACCCGCACAGACCCATGGACACGTAAAATACTGTACTCGCCAGGAGTTCGTAAAATCACGTTCCCTGTGGAAAGCACTACCATTGCATAATGGCATCAAGGCAGTTACATTTAAACGAGTGAATCGTATGCCTCCCACGAACTCTTTATAATGGTAAACTATAAATGAGGTGTCAAGAAACGGAAGTGCAGGGTTCAACAGAAACACTGCAATATTTAACTCGATGAGTGTAGGGTCTACTTTACACAGTGTAAATAGGATGTACATAACTGCACTTAAATTCCACCAAGGATTCAAATAATTGCATAAGTGTCAGACCAGCCAATATGCTACGTGCTTGGTGCATGTTTGTCCCTGGTGAAATGGGACTTTCTTGCGTGCTAGTTAATGGCTCCGGAAATCACGATAATAGGGTAAATTCGTTCCAGCTGCTTCCGTAAGACATAAATTGTCTTTAACCGTCTACAATTCCTTTACCACTTGCCTGGGCTTCCTTACGTGGCTACAAGTTGTGAACTAATTCTCCACGTCAAGGGAATTCATGTTATCTTGAAATTTACAGGGGAAGTTTAGGGTGTTGTGAAGATGTATAAAATACTCGAAGAATTCTAATGTATTTTCTTTATTTTTATTTTTAACCAATAAAGAGGCTCGATTTTTGTCTCAATTCACTTATGTCCATATATCCATGCAATTTGTAGGCCGATAATTCTGAGGTAGATCTTAGCCCGCCATCTTTGTCAGCCCAGCAGCTCTTCAAAGATTCCTTTAAATTGTTGTCGGGGATCAGTCAAGACTTACAGGATGTTCCAGTGGGTCGTGGGGGTCGATTAAAGTCACAGCAGGCACAGGAAGAGAATATTCGTCGTTTGAGCACACCGACGCATTCCAGTATGAACAAAATGGTGAATCGTAAGGCGAGTAATGCAGAGAATTTTTTCGGTAGAAATATATCAAATTCACTAAATTCTGATTATATGTCACACTGTTCGTTTCGAATTTGTTATAAGAATTTTCCAAGAGCTTATAGAAGTCTTTGTCATTTTTTATGGTATCCCGAACGTGTGTGATTCCCTTTTCAAAATCCTATGAAACAATTGTGTAAGTACTTTGATATTTATTAGACACTTTTTTTTTCATTAACTTAAAAAAAATGTATTACCATTTTCTTTGTATAATTTTTTAAGATGTACCAAAAAAGGATGTTGGTTCTAATATTATTTAATTTCGTTAGCAATTATTGGCTGTGCACTGACTAGAATACCGAGATGCATTTTTCAAGGGTTGACATAAAGGACTCAACTTTTCAGACTGCATTGAAATTGAAGGAAAATGTCAGTGGGTTTTATGATGAGAAGCAGGACAGATCAATACAACCTTTATTGCCTAAAAGCATTCAAAACGCGACCGTTCAGAAAAGGTAAGTTTTATGTAGTCGTATAAAATAATTTATGAACGTCTTCTACCTGATGAATAATATAAATATTGTCATGCAAATAGAAAATTGTATCACGGAATCGCGTAGCCTAATTATAAATCAATGTATTGATATAAAACTCGATAAGTGTTATTAAAATTTTTAGAATGACGTCATCTGAGAAGACTGTTGATACAAATTCGAAAAATGAATCCAGCTACGATAAAAAAATAAAAAATAGTGAAGAAAAATTATTCACAAGTAGTGTAACAAGTGTTATAAGCAAATCGTCGATTATTCGTGCTACTCAAAGTATGGCTGTTGATAATATTCTCCATGAATTTGGAAAAGAGAATCTCTTGGAACTTCCATATTCTCATGTGGGAACAAGAAAGATATCGCGATTGCATCATCCAGGTGGACCGACAAGATTCAGCCGTATGTTATTGGGAAAAAGGTTAGAAAATGTTGCTGAGAAAGTCGAAGGATTTTTGTAACCGATTAACATAATTTGATCTTTTTAAAAAATATATTTTATTCAAAAAGTATACTCGAATAAAGCAGTGACAATTCTGTTTACGGTAAAGCCAAGAAGCAGAAAAAGAATATTCGGTAATGAGAACAGTCTTGTATATATATAATGTAAAAGTGCCTTTAACGTGGAAACGCACCAAACGACAAAGCGTGCAATACGAAAAATACATTTTTGTAAACGAATTATCATTAACAATACGGGTTTGACAATAGATAAGACAATCCAAACAATTAATAAATATATAGAAAATACAATATGAACTATAAATCTTATACTAGAATATACAGGTACTAAAAGAATCTTTATAGGAACGTAGATAGCTATTAAAACAGATCCAAAAAAATTTTTAATAGAAAACACTACTTTGTGCCAATAAATCCGTAAGGAGTGTCTGCTCCAAAATGTCTGTAAGTATAAAATAATTTTTTTAACCAAAGACCACACTGTTCTTACACAAGATAACGATCCAAAGATTGCACCGACGGACCCAAAGGACGTCCAAACATGAATTACGTAATTACGTGTAATATAAAAAGATGTGACAATTACGTAAGGAACTTGACTTACCCCGTAATGTAAAAATTTAAAAAAATGTATTATACCACTGTAAATGTTCCACGCGCAAGATTGTAATTTTTTGAAAACTTTGCACGAGCATGATGGTAGCTCCGCGTAGGAACGAATTAAGTGTGAAAAAATAAAAAGAAAAAGAACGATAAGACCAAAAAGAAGATCTCTTCTTGCCATATTATAATTTTCGTTAGATCTTCCGTTATTATTGTTATTATACCGTTGCGAAGGTAATTCCAAATATTTCCATAATTCGAGACGATCAAAATCCTTGGCCTTACAGCACAAATCAGGATCTGTTAGACTCTTCAAAATTCGATCGCTCTGGGCTTCTGTCGTATTACGTTTTAATTCGTCAGCCAATGCAAGAATTATACCATCTTTGGTACGGCATTTGTTATGCAACAGTTTTACAGTCTCTATAAGACCACTGGTTGTCTTTTTCAAAGGTGGTCGAAGGCTTGTACATGGACAAACGTTATCTTCTGTATAATTATTACTACTGCAGCCACAGTCTTTTAATAAATTTTTTAAAGTTTCATTGTGATTTTTTAAATTTTCTAGACCTTCAAGTAATTTTTCTTGTTTCACCTTAATTAATTAATTTTTTTTATATATAAGAATAGACATTTTTATCTGTTTCTTCCTTTACCTTTTGACGTCCTGGTGTTACGTTTATTGGTGCAGGAACTTCTGAATCGCTAGATGTAATTTTTTGCATTGCTTTCAATAAATCCTTTGTAGCATTCACAGTAGATCGACAGATCGAGCATTTCGATATGTTGTTAATAGTATCGTAATTACAATCGGGATCACTGCATGGAAGTTGAATATTCTGTGGTGCATTGCTGCACATCGCACAGTTTTCTTCCTTTTTCATCATTTCGATTCCTAAATATATACAAATTTTATTCTGTTAAGATAACTTGAAAAAATAAAGCTACTATTCATATTTTAGAATAAGGTAGTTGGTCCAGTCGTCGATATGGTAGTAATAGACACCCAATATTAAAGTCATATTTTCGTCTCTCTTGTATACATTGTAAATCCGTAAGGGTGTCCGCGACTGGCAGAATGTTGAAGACTAGTCGAATAACGCCAGTTACACTTTGAGGGGACTTGTATACGTTTCGTTTCACAAGAAGAAGATCCTCTTCAATGTGAAACTGATGTCACGATCCGACTATATAGCCCAACACCTTAATATACTAATTTAATTAACGATTATTTTATATATACAATTTACCTCTAGGATCTGTTTCGCATTGACATATTTCACACTTTTTATTACACGGCTGATCTGCATTACAGAGACAACAGTCCTTATTCCTATTTTGATTATCACTTCGAATAGCATTTTCCACGGTAGACGGTATCGTCGTGGTAGTTATTGTCGTTTGATCAGATTCGGAATCTTCACAGCTATTGTAATATTTAATAAGATAAATGTATGAGTATTTCATTATTCAACAAATCATACTCGCAAGATCCTCCTAACGTATTTTCACAACATCCACATTCGCATTCAGATTCGGATGATGTCTCGTAACAACCGCAGCGACATCTGTCGGCAGGAAGTGACACTTTTTCCTCCTTTAACGGAGCAAGTTTGTCTCCGTATTCTTCCGATTCCTCGTCACCCCCTCCTATCAAATCTCGTTCCCATTCCGAACAGCTGCATATTATGCAACTGTTGCACTGAAAATTTAATCACGTTTATTATTTTATTTTTTAATTTGCAATACGGTGTAAGCTCTGTCGTAGCCAGGACTTTGGATTTAAATGAGTGAAATTTCACGGACAACGACAGATGTATTCAATGGAATAGCGCTATATCCCCACTGCTCCCAGTCCGCGTGTATCAACGGGCAACGAGAGAAGCTGCAACGACAGAGTTTGCATTATATGAAATAATAAAATACTTTGACGGGTTCTCCGCAAGGACATGCACTGGACGAATTATTAGAGGCCTTGATTCCGCCGGATTCAATTGGAGAATCTACCTGTGATATTCAGAATATGAAATTACCAAAAAATAAATTGAATTGATAATGTAAGTAGACATTTTAAAAAAGTGAAACTAATCTACTATGACTACCTCTGTATCCTGCTTCGTTACTTTTAATTTCTTTGACAGGACTGCTGCCTCTTGGGTCAATTCCGCACGATTCTTCTGAAGACTCTTAAGATTGAGACACAATTTTCTACCGTAAGCTTCCAGCTGTGATATCTTTTCCTTCACGTCGCAAGATCTCTTACAGCAGTCATTTGGATCCTTACCAATCTTTTCAAAGTCTTTACCACTATCTAATGTTTGCTCAAAACTCTTATTTGCGTCCCACAGAGCTTTCATGTATCCTTCTTCTTTAAACTCCATCTCGAAAATTTGCTTTCTCAGTGTCTTTTCTTTTTTCGCTAATGTCTGCAGGACGCATTGTCCTTCCTCATTGTCGGTCATACAATTTTCCTTAGTGGACACTTTTTGCTTGTTGTCTTTTGCATTTAAAAAAGTGATTGTTTTATCATTCTATAATTATTACTATACTATACAAATATTATTTACAATACCGGAATCGTTTTCCGGGAGCATCGATTCCAATTGATTTAATCTCTCTCGAAGACAAGTTGCGTGACATTCCAATTCGGCAATTCGACGCTCTCCTCGATTTACGTACATACCACCACCACCGAAGCAACCAATTAATTCTTGTCCTTTCACACCCATTTTTCTTGCACGTTTCTCTTTCTTTGATTAAGAAAAAAACGATCCTTGTGAAAGCAAATTATAAAATTTTTATAGACAAATTAATTACCGAATTTAAAGTAAATTGTTACATTCGTTCTGCACGATGAATTTTATGTCAAAAATTTTGTCAACATTTTCGCTAATGGTATCCTACCTAAAATTCTTAAACATGAACATAGATACGATTCTCTTAATAGGTGTGAACATAGTACAAATTAGTGCCTAGCTTTGTTTTATAAAAAATGAAAAATTTTTTATAACATGCATAACTCACAATACTATTTACTTTCAAGTTCGCATCCATTGTCACAATGCAGGTCTCACGCTTAGAAAGAGGTTCATTAAAAATGTTCATAAAATGGAAATTAAGTTCAATGCTTTAATTACGCTAAATGATTAGAAAGAACAATGAACATTAATTTCATGAATTAATGGACCATAGACTACTCATGTAATTGTATGGTGTACTTGCTAATTATCTATACTTTGAACTCTGCGGTATCCGCAATTACTGTTTTGCTGTTTATTCAAATTTCACTCTGGGCGTACAGTCACTCACAATTATATTTAATTATTCAAGATGCGTTAGGTAACTAAACTCCTTGATCTTCACGTAGTGTTTTTTATATACTTGCACAAGATCCGCAAATTTACATGAAATATTTTTGATTTACTCACGTTTCTATATGGCGTGATATATTTATCATAAATGTATATCTACTTTTTTAGAATATTTTTTGGAATCTAATCAACTCACATATTTTACATTAAAATTTTCTCAATACTGATAAATATGCACCAGTCGTTTTTAGTACCTGAAGAAAATATTTTTTTATGTACCAAAATATTTCTGCTTTAAAATTAACGACCAAATAGTCTCTTACGTCTGTGAAATTTTCAAGTGACAATACGATGAATTTCCCTGCTGACAATTTTAACGATCTCGATGAACGAATCATTAAAATAAGTAAAGGTTTCGATTGTTTACATTCATGCTGATACCAGTTGCAACAGTAAGCCGAGTAACCAACTTGCAGACTCTGAAAAATTGTACAAAGAAATAAAAGTCAATATTGAGAAATAACTTGATTGGCACGTACATAAGTTGTGTATACATTTAACAAGTTGTTTTTACCTTTTCCGTTAATTTATCGCTGACGTAACAATAAAGAAAGAGATGAAAAGCAATTGATCCAATAAAGAACATAGAAATAACAGATTCAAGGCTCTCGTTTCTTTCCACGCTCTATATTATAAGTAATTAATAAATAATTATTAGCTTTGTACAAATTCCCAGTTATTATCACTTTCTAACCTTCATCAATGAATATCCTGCCAAACACATCACAATGGCTGATACCATGAAATGGCATAAAAAAACCAAATTAAATGAATTCTCCAACGTCTCTGCCATCCTATAAATAAAATATTTCTAATAAAAGGTAATATATATGGTCGGGTCACGGCATCAGTTTCACTTTGAAGGGACTTGTTTGCGTTTAATTTCGTAAGAAGATGGCCCCTCAAAGTGAAATTGATGTCACTGCCCAACAATAGGCTCCACAAACACTCGACTTACCATATAACAACTCTATGTCGCTGTACACAAGTTTCTATCGTTGATTTCATAACCTCCATGTTTCTTATATGCTCACTAACGAGCTCCAATTGTCCAATGACATGCATAATTAGAATAATAATAAATCCATCAACAGTAACGTTACATGCGGCAAGAATGGTACTTGAAAATATTTTTAAAGTATAAACAATTTCGTAATATGGGCTGCTTTGGTAATCGAACCAATAGTGCGATGGATAAGGAAAGGCGCGAGATTCCGATAAAGGAGTCAATGGGACTATTAATTGTAACGTGACGGTTGTGAAAGACAAGATGAAACAGATTAGAGCGTAATATCTGCCTTTGGTGGCATAAATTCGCATGATCTCTATTTCATACGTCAATTTGACATTATGCCAATCTCTTTCCAGGGCGGATAAACATTCTCCAAACTGACTTCCAGCAATAATGGCCAATAGATATTTCCCAATGAACATATGGGCTGGAACAATAAATAAAAATAAAACAAAACATATATAAGAATCTGTATACATAATATACCTTACCTACTACTGTATGTTTTATTTTTACAATAAAAGGCATCCAATCAAGTTTTTTAGTGATGTAATATGCATACTGCCCAGCAAACCATTCGGTTAATGCAAGCAAATAAATTGCAATGATCGTCAAACGAAGCTTGTTGGATGTTCGTGGCCAAAGTCCTAATGCTTGCATGCAAATGCGAGTCTGTCAAATTTAAAGAAGTTTTAAAAAATACTAATTTTTTCAAATCGAAATATGCACGTACTATACCCAAAGCGTAATTTATTTCCGTTGTTGGGTCCATCGTTACTTGCATGGTGCTCACTGTTGCTGATACATTTTAACGGTTCCGTTAAGTACATTTTCTTATTGTCTTGAATAATTATAAAGGAGAAACTTGAACGCTAAATTATGGGTACCGCCCATATAATTAGTTGTCGTACGGGAATTATTGATACTTGAAATAATTCAATAAATTTCCAATTTTTATTTCGTCATGTCTAATCTACTACTTAATAACATACACACCAACTGCCTGGATCCATTGTAGCTACATTGTATAAAAATAATATGAGTGGATTGATTCGATTGTACGTCGTTTCGTGAAGACGTCTATTTCCAATTGACGGTAAAGATAAATAAAGACGTGTTATAGAATTAAAAAAAAATAAAGTTTCTATATATTGTGGTATTCTAATTTTTGATTTACAAAAAGTTACGGTATCGATATTATTTTTTATCGCTAATCTTTGTCTTTGATCTTTCCAAAGGAGGTGGTCGGGGCATCCGGGTGAAAACCTTAAATGCGTCGTACAGGAACCATTGCAAGCCGGTAAGTGTACCAATCATAACAATACGTGGTCCCAATCCCATCCACATACCGGCCCAACCAATTTTCTTAGCTATTTGTATCGCAGTGGATCCCTTCTCTTGATTAAGTTTACTAACAACCGAATCTGCCGGATGACTGACTACGGCACAAAATACACCAGCGATATAACCAGCTGCAAAAGTGACAACCAATTGTTCAGCCTTTGTGCAATCGGCGCGTGGCTTTGGGACGACAAGTTTATAAAGAAGTTCAAGCGTCCTTTCGAAACAGGTAAACTTCATCATCGTATAAGGAATCTGTCTTAACCAAAGTGGGACTAGACCCTTGTAGAAGACTCCTGGACCACCCTCCTGCATCATGATCTTCATGGCGGTCGTGAGAGAGCTGGTAAAGCCGGTTGACGTTTGAATCCTAACCTATTTATTGTGACCATAGGTGAGTGGACTGGCTGGGTAAAAAAGGGTTGATTGAATATATTTAACAGGATCGTTACCTTGCATGCTTCGAATGGAGCCAAACCGATATCAGCGAAAAATTCAGCAGAAGCTGAACTCATTAGAAATATCCATGTGCGATAATCGTATGCGATTTCTTCGCCGACAAGTTTGGCATAGTAAACTTTAAACCATTCGTAAAGACCAAATTTTAAGAAACCTTGGATCGAGTAACCGTAAAGGGTCGGTAACCAACCCTTTGTCAAACCCAGGATCCCTTCCTCAGCTACGGTTATTTTGAATCCATGGGCTAGATTTTTATATTTGGCGGAATCGACCTGTGATCACGGTATATATTAAATATTTATAAATTAATAAATTATTCTTTGCACTAACCTGCAAACGACATTTTATCAAATCCAAAGGTGTTATTAATGTATGTGTAATGCCACAAGAAACAATTCCACCGACACCACATAGTAAAAAATATTTCCTCGAACCAAATTCACAACAATATTGTCCCGCTGGTGCACCGGCAGCTGAATCAGCTCTGACAATTAATTTTTCCTTTATAAAATCTTTTATCGACCACATTATTTTGATCACACATCTGACAAACATCCGTAGCTTTACCGTTTTGTTTTGTCTACCCAACTTCTCCGTAGTTCATGTCACAGGCCCTCAAAGTTGACGGGTAGACTTTTCGATTTTAATCCCTCCACTGGTGTCGTCTTTCTTCTTGCCATTAAGAATATATACTTACGGGGTGGGTCTGTCAGACGCCTCCACTGCAAGGTCAAGTACGAAGATAGGACACATACTTAATCCTCATGGAGTCTTATAGAGAACTCTCCCTTTCCTCCAGTTGATTCAAGTTTCATTTTTTCCTTTCTATCTCAGAAGCGTTTTCATGAATTTCCTCGTTGGCGTCTGAGATAAATTCACAAAATGTGGTATACGAGACATGAGAAATTCTCAACAGGAAAATCTCATCACTTGTCATTGCTTTGGAAAGTCACAAAAGCATATCATAACCCCGAACCTGCTGCACAGAAGCTACAAACTGTCTCAATTGAATTAAATGATTGAAGACGTGTTGGAAGTTAAAAACAGAAAAGGAGTCACAGCCATAGACGCGACTATGACTCAGAGAGACTCTCAGTGGCGACGAAGCTGTCGTTCACGACAGCTACACAACAACGGCAAGAGCTCTGCGGGAGTCGCCTTCTGTCTCGCGCACGTGCTACGTCGTACACTGAATTCTAACGAGCAGATCGTAGTTCGGCAGTTCACGTATACAACGAACGAAGCAGCGAGACAATCGGTATTGTCTTCTCCGGAGCACACAAATACTCTTCTTCAGTTTCGTCTTTAAGTTACAAAAGAAAATTCAGAGTGTTCAGTGCAAATGTGCAATCTTGTGTAAAAAAGGCAAACACTGCCGCTGTGGTAATTCTTTCGTGAGAATGAGTATTAGATGGATCCCCAAATTTGATATACGGTGAAAATAAGCGGCATGTGTACGAAAAAGCAGGTGAGCTTACCGGTATTTTCACGAGAAATAAGTAATGTCAAGTGTCGAGTTATAACGTAGTCTTTTACGGAAAAATGGCCATGGCTGGTTTTTCAAGGAATTTGTGCTTAGCGATTAGATGTATACAAAGCAATATCCTAAAATATTTTCAGGATTTTTCAAATTCCTAAAAGAAGTGATTACTGAATATTTTGCTCGGATATATGAAATTGAATAAGGAGTGGATCCAATCACGAATGGCGACTTCGTCAAAATGGCCACTTGGACGGGTCCTTATAGTTTTCTCATACGATTATTTTCCCAAGTCGTCGTTTTCTTGAAAAATTAGCTTACCGAACGTGTATGACGTTAATTACAGGAATATAATCTTTTTGGAAAATGATAAAGACTTGATGAGGACAAAAAATCAAGTCAGACCGTACAATCGTCGAGATATTTTTGAAATTAGTGTATAATTGAATATGACTGATGGACGCATATAAATTTATATTTTATATGGTTACTATTATTTGGACGTTACAAAATCGTTATTTTCTAACCTAATATGACATTGTTGTATGATTCATAGCTTCTGTCCATAATTCGACATCGCAGTGTAGATAATAAGACTAATTATACTGGAGTAATAGAATTCAATGTGTGGGATAAGGGGTCAGGCATCCACGCCTGTCTTAACTACTCAAGTACCACACTGAGCCCGTTTATTAAAGTTTATACAAAGAGACGATGTCTCGTAGCCCTTCCAGCTAGCGTAGTTCTACAATAGACAGGAAAAATGCTAATTAAAAAAAATTCAGAAATCGAATTAGGTAGTGTCGCATCATAATAATATTCCTATTTTAGGGAATACCCGGTATCGTTCGTTAGACACATATTTTTACGCAAGGTCTTATCTTCGAGGCAAGCGGAAGGACGAAAAGGATCCATAATATTTTTAAGGACGTCCTTATAAGTTTTTTCAATTTGAGAGTAACATTTAAACGTAAATGATTTGTAGAAGGAAGTACGTTGCATCGATTACCTTTCTTGAAGAAATAAATGTATTGTATTATATATACGTCTAATTGTAATTCAAAGTTTAAAAAATTGACATTGGTATATCTGTATATTTCATATTACGGATATCAAATTGATTAACTTTAGAAATCTACAATTAAAACGTAAGCAGGAGCTTTTTCCATATGCCACTGTATTAATATTACAAATTTTTAACTGATAATCATCAAAAGGTCCGTAATCCAACTTGAGATTTTTTTGACACGATGCTACATAGTGAGATTCTAGGGGAAAATGTTAATATTGAAAATTATCGTCTTGTATTCGTAATACTTAAAATCTTTGACAATACTATTTTATAGGTTAGAATGAGCAGAGTCCAATTCACATGTGTAATGATTGACAAAAACATTCAGGTTTTCATTTTCCAGTGACCGCGCGTAATCCGACAGACGCGATAGGTGTAAGTTTTTAATGACAAGAAAAAAGATACCACAACTGGAAGATTAATAATAAAAAATATTGTTTCTACCAATCTTAATAATTGTTTATAATACAACCGTAATATTTTACATATTCGTTGTTCATTTTTTGGCCAGCTAATGTGCAACATCTTGCCTGCTGTCAGTACTGATAACGTATTATCTGTCATTATACATCCTGTCAAGTCTCATTAAGTTATATTTGAACAGATTTGAAATATCAATGATTACGAATGTTACTAATGATACATTTATTAAAAATCTTTATGTTTTAGGTAACTAGTAACATTGTTGCGGCTTCACTGATAGATAATCGAATGATTCTCTAGCTGCAAAGTATCGATATCTGATCGTTATCGAAAATCGAAGTCCAATGGCTGTATACGAATATCGATGCAGTGCCATAGATAAACATTGATTATGACAGATAATAAACTATCCAAAAGAAACTTAGTGACGCATTGCGATCCGATAAGATAGAACGAAAAACATACGCAAGACTAAAGATGGTTCTTGAAGAGAACATTGTCAGCATTATACGAGGTAAGCAGAATCTTCGATCATCAAAACAATAACGTGAACAATGATTGTGAATGGTTCATTACGATATTCTATGTAATAATGATGTTCGTAAAAACGTTTTTTCAATTGTTAATTAATTCCTTTTATTCGTTTTAGAGCTCGTGCATTTTCTTGAATCTCTTGATAATGTTGAGTTACCGACCGCGATCAGTACCAGGCGAGAAAATCTTCTGTCGCGCTCGAAAATTGCTATTTATGCACTTTCGCTACAGGGATCTTTACCGACAGAGCAGTATCTGTCTATGAGTGTTGGGAAAGAGTTGTCATTTTTGGATAAGACTGGTGAGATAGAAGAATATGTGGATGCTGACAAACCTCAATCTGAAGTATCGAAAGATTATTATGAGAGTTTTGCGGAAGTACAGGAGGAACCGAAAACGCCAATTAAAAAGAATACGAGTAAAAATGCAGTAATAGATAATGTATTAAGTATATATAAGAACTTCTCGGCAGAACAGACCAAAGATGCAAGTTACAAGTGTGGACCGCTTGAAATTAGGGGGGGAAAAAAGTTTTTCTTTATTGAACAATACCGAAAATGTTGGGTCGGTATGTAAATTTATTTTAACGGTAATGTGACCGATACTTTTTTTTTATTAATATATATTTGCACTCTTTTGTTTTATCTATTAGGTCTGGTAGGAACGCATCTTATTATGTACAAAGATGTAAAGGATAGTCGTCCTTACGACGTTTTGTCTATTCGCGATTACAAATGTCGTCCAGCACACGAAACAATAACTAATGATCCGCGAAAAAGTGATAGAGCCTTCGAGATCTTTAATCCCGGTAACACGACGATGCTGGTATGATTATAAGACGTACTTTCTTTAAATTATTTATGTTAATTAATTATATATTTTATTGAGATTATGTTGTTTTTAGTTTATAGCGCGTTCGCCGAAAGATATGGAACAGTGGGTGGCTGCGATATGTAAATTTGGAAGTAACGAGAGTGATATGAAATTGCAAAATATCACAAACCACGTGTTCACGGTAAGAACGGCAAAGTCGGATGTTGCGGTGAATGAGTTTATACCAACAGAAAATTATCAAGATGTTGACATCCGGGAATCCACTACCGGGGTTAGTCTGAATCGTTCTGTAATGATAGAAAAGAATACGGATACAAAAAAAGAAAATGACAGACTTGATTCTACGACTAAGGATACAGTTCAAAATGATGAAACTCCGCCACCTTTACCTACACGATTACCATGTTTAATGTCCAAACCAAAAAAGTTCTCAACGTGTTCTTACGATCCTGTGGATGATATGGACGACGATATTTATCAGAAGATACAAGAAATCCCATATGAAAATATTAGAAATTCAAAGAGAAAGAATTCAGATACAGAAAAGGATGATCAGGAACTGTACGATGACGTACTGACTGTGATTGAAAAAGATAGGGCAATTACGAAGCTTGAAGTTGAAAAGCAAAAAAGTTCGGTGCAGAATGCTGTGAAAGATCTAGAACAACAAGATATGTATGACGACGCAGTTTTTGTTCGTTTAGAATCTAATGATCAAAACAAAAATTCACAAGAGCAAGTTCTTACAAAATTGTCAAGTGATGCATTTCAAAAGAAATCACCTAATCTTTCTAATCAGAGAGAGTCTTTGTGCTATGACGACGTTCATGAAGTGATACCACAAGAAAAGCGGAAAAAACAAAAGCAAAAGGCAAAGGAGGAATTACAGAGTACGCCACAGGGATCGTTGCAGAAAAGATCAATTCTTAGTAGAGTGATGAGAAGAGACTCACCGACAAAGGAAGGGAAAAAAAGTAAACCCAATTCATCACAAACACCAATCAATGTTGAGGAATTACCAATCTACGACGACAGTTCTAGTTTAGTGGCGGGTATTATTCCTTATAATACTGAAATGCAAAAATATACTCCGACTCAAGTGGAGGAAACTTCCGAATATAATTTACCACCTCCACCTAAACCTATCTATAATTCGCCAGCTGTTGCAAACCAGCAATCGGCACCAATTGAAGAGTATTATTCGGACATCGCTAACTTGCAAACAAATGGAATGGACCAGAATAATGCTCCGATACCGATTATTGATAAAGAAGAACTAATGGATTCAGAACATTATCAAACACCCAAAAATGACCCTGTTATACTTCCTATTCAAAATGAAAATGTAGAAGAGGATTTGTACGACGACGTCGTGATCGTAGCTGCAAAGGCAAGATTGAGGGGATTGGCTATGAAAGAAGAAAAAGAAGCAGATGATAATAAGTTTATCAGTTTGCCTAGTCCAGAAAAAAATTTATGGAATTCGCTCAAAGCTGGTTGGAAAAATAAAATGACTGAAGATTCTAGTTTAGGAAGAAAATAAATAAATAAAACCACTCCTGAGGAATTGTACGATGATTGTCCGTTTTTAATTAACAACATTCATGGCGTTCGCAAAAAAATTTAAATATGCAATAAATTTATCTGATAATTTACATATAATAATATAAAAGAGATGTTATACAGTTGATTTTACTCATAGTTAAGCCATAACTTTTTATACGTACAAATGAAATGTGAATATCTGTGAAATGTATACATATATGCTCGCACAATTATTATAATACTGTTTTCCTAAATAATGACCAATTTTATACCTTAATTACCATAATTTTTGTAATTATGCCCTGTGAGCTCCAATATATTTAATCGACCTCAAAAAGAATAATTATTGTGTCGATAAGTTAGGTAACTTACGCCTAGCTAGTTGTGTGACACATAGATGGAGCTAAGGTCAATACTTTTCTACCCTTGTTTCTGCTTCACTTTTAGCCCTTACAAACATTATTTTATTTCTACCTTCTGTTATTACTTACCTCGGAATTATATAGGGGTATTAGCAATCTCTACATTTTTACATTATTCATCCTAGCTTGAAAACATGTATAGTACGCATAGATTATATGCTACGAGAGTCAATAAAACGAGTCTACCACTATAAAGCTTTCGGCACAATCTAGCCTTAAAGGGGGAAGCTTTCCTGGAATCCGATAACGATCGGCACGAAATTCGCATCCAAGTGTGCGTTCAAGGTCCTGGAAATGGGATCCCAGTTTGGCCGGTCGCCAGTTACGTAAGACATAAGAGACGATGCTTCATTCTTGCGAAATACATTTTTCATTTCACCTAGGATCTCCATAGATATATGTATGCCCACAATAACGTGCGATACAACATAAGCACAAGGAAATTAAGAAAGAATAAATACGGGTATACGAATGAAAGGTATGCTTGTCATAATGCAAAATTTTATGCTATAATAATATATTAAGTTAAATATTTATTCAACGCTATTAACTATATCATCCATTTAGGTCGAAGTAATTGGAGGTATATCTGTTACGACAAAATAAAAATGGTAAATAGGAATTTTTTTTTTAAACGCTAGAAAATGTATAAGTTGTTTTCATCATCGGGTATTGCGTCATTGTTGACTCAACACTGGAGGCTTTTTTGAATGTCCCATCTACGTCCATCCTAATGGTAAGACTCTAGGGTGGTCATGACGTCAAGAGAGAATCGACCGAGTGCGCAGCGCAGTTTAGTACGTGAAAGGATGAAAAGATTGAAGGAGGACGGACAAATTTTACTGGGAAGAGACGAACCGATGGTAATGGAGCGAAGGTGGTTTGTAGTTTGAGGAAGAAGAAAAGAGAATAAGAATAAAATCAAATGGGATGGTTGGCGTCCGTCCCTTTAACGTGCCAGACCAGGTATACAGTGCGCCTGTGCAAAAGAGGACCACTAAAAAGCCAGGGACTAAAACCAAGACAATCCCGGACCCTCTTCTCGGAAGCGACAAACACTTCTTGGAACTGGTGTATCTCCTCCCGGCAGAGACCTATATATCCTTCAATTTCAGAACAAACAACTATCTCAGAACCTTGAGAATGGACAATACTCTCACGAAATTACATAAATTGCTTGAATCCTGCATTCTAATAGGTCTGCGTCAAGAACTTATAATCACGAAGCATTTATATCATTTTGCAGAAAAAGAAGGATAAGTAAAACATTTAAAAATGCTGAATATTATTTCAATATTAATATTCCCGTACCATTCTACATCTGCAGTGTTGATCACAGTGGGATAGCGTAGAGGGAACTCTGTCTACAAAAGCAGTATATAGGTAGAGCATATAATATAGATATACAGAGTAGCGCCGGGGAGGTGGTCAGGAGAGAAAGAGTGAGAGAAAGGTAGGGATGGGAGTGGAGGTAAAGAAGGAGGATAGTATAGAGTCTATGCTATAGTATACATAATGTATAGTGGAGGCAGAGAGTCGTACCCCCGCTAGGCATCCTGGCAGTCACTAACACCAGCAGTAGCGCCGTGGCGTTGGCGATGGCGATGCCGTGACGCGCGCCATTTTGTATTAGTGTGTACGGGGGACGCTTACGTCGGGGATGTTTTCGTGAGTGCCAATGAATGGGCCGGGCCCCGTACTGTTCTGATATCTCAAACCGTGCGAGGACTCGTCAAGGTGCGCCGGGTGCACGTAGAACTTTGTACGGTGGTGCCGAAAGAGATAAGTGCGACGGAGGTTGTGGAGTTACGACGGATGTATGGCAGCGTTCGGGGCAGCAGCAGCAGCAGCGTCGCGGATTCGTAAGAAAAGCGAGCGCCGCCAGCAGGAGAGCCGTACATATCGTCCAGGTAGGAGAAAGAAAAACTGGCTGAGTACCTGTCTTTCCTATGGATCGATAGTGCTCGCGTGACGCGTACCTACCACCTGGGCTCCCTGCCAATCCGGCGTGCAATAACGCTTTTCCGTCATTTCGCGACTCTACGCTCCGATGACTTTTTTGTATCGATGCTCGAGCGCCGTTTTCGTTGTGCAAGGCAAACGGAAAGTGAAAGCCTGCTCGAGCGAGCCTCGTGTGTGTATATTACGAGCAGCTACGACTTATAGTGGAGCATTGGAGTCGTCGGAAATATTGATAACCTCAAATACGCGAAAGATATGATTTCTGTTTATCTAGACCTATTCATTCCAACCGCAACGCGATTTAATGATGGACGCTGCGCGTAAGACTTACTGACAGCTTCTTCTTCTTTTTCCTCTTATTTCCTTGTTACACGCGACTTTTCAAGTAAACGCGGTACCGTTGTTTTCTGGACGCTGACACGGATCAGCCGGTTTATTCTGAGCACGATGGCCACAGGAACTTTTGGAGAAAGTCGTCGCGCTGTTTTCTTACCAATGGTGGACACCGTTGATCTCCGATGCTTTTTACTAAATTCGATCGCCAGTTTTAGGGATGTTTTTTTTTAAATTAATTATTGTGTGTTGTACTTGCACGTGGACATTATGATATTATTTACTTGGGTCAACGCACGGCAAGTAATTTGACGCGAATTAATAAGTGCAACTCCCTTGGTATAGCTACTCGTCTCTTTATTTCCGGGCAACGACTCGCACGGCTATGTTTATCTTTGCAGCTCCGAAAATATGTGCAGTTTAAAGGGACGCCATCTCTTTTATTGCTTCTTTCTGTCTCGCACGGAATTTGCCTTTCGCGACGAGTTCATTTTAAGTCTCGAAATTCGTTAGTACACTCTCGACTTTGTAAATTACCAGAAATGGTATCCGAATGTCAAGTTATCGGGTATCTTAGAGATTTCATATGTTTGATATGAGTTCAAAATTTTGCTCTAGTTATATTCTAATCTTATATTCTCGTAGTATCTCGAGATATTGCATACGATGTAATTTTAATAAGTAAGAAAATGTATTGCGTATACTGATAATGCAACTGAAAAAACCAGTAGAAAATTTTGAATTCCAATTCGAATCTAGTGGAATCTTTCAGGTTGAAAGGAACAAATCCTATGGAAAACTTCCGCATGAAAACATTCAGGTACAAAAACCTTGCGGCACAGACTTTAAGGGTTCTCTCCGCTTAGTGTCGTAAATCACTATGTATAAGTACAATGGCGTAAGGATACGATTTTAGTCGAGCCTAAGATAACAGAGATAATGAAAGGCAAATAAAACCTCCGCTTTCAGACGTAAAACGTGAATTTATTTTAAGTCTGACAAACATAAGACGTTACAGCCTGCTTCAAATCACTTTAACGTATAGTATAGTATTTCCAAAAAATGTATCAGAGAAAAATCCAAGTTAGTAAATAAAGTATTAAAAACTTACAAAATGGTTAATGATAACTAATACTATATATACTATATATACTAAACCATATTTTAATATCAAAGCATTTTTCCTAGTATCATTCCGTGTCGTTACCCAATCGTTTCCCGTCGAAAAAAAAACGACCAAAATCCATAAAATATCAGGTAACATATACATATATAGTATATTACAAATGATTGCAAGCAATAATAATTTCACCAGTAAGTACCAATACAAAAAAAGAAAAGAAAAAAAAAGTTCTACAATAACTCCCTTATTCCCATATAGACATGTGATCCATTTCATATTCACATATGACCGGTCCTCAAATTAGTAAAAAATTAAAATTCTCCCCACAAACTATTACAAATGTTGCACGTGCTGTAATTCATTTGTGTCTACCTAGCACAGCTGTCATTCGCAATATTTTCCAGTAACAGCGAAGCCTTGGAGGAAACGGAATATATTAAAGCCGTACGGTGTTCAGCCGATCCATTGAGTGACATCAACGCCCGGTCGAGTAGTGCTAACAATAAGTATACGGCATTCCAACCTAACCTCAAAAATCCGACCAAAACAAACCTTAATTCAACATACGTAAATCATTGTTCGTAATATGCAACACGTCATACACGTAGAGTAATAATGAAAATTATATTTTCTTGATTTTTTTTCCCCTTAGGACGCGTGCTCACTAAACACGAATAAGGGAGAGTACACATAGCGTGCGGCTGAATCGCATGCAACGCGTAAAGGTCTGCTCACACGGACCTTTATAGGAAACACGAATAAGCTACCACTCCTGCTTGGGTTATCTCTATGGGCGCACGTGTGTACGTAATCGTAATTAAATTATGCGAAGTGGGGTCCGGTGCAGTAGACATGATCAATGGTAGATTAATATTCGTGCCACGGAGTAAATTGGAATAACTGACGTTTATTATTATTATTTTCTTTTTTTTTTTCATACAAAATATTCGGGTTCTAAAGATCTGCATGGTAATGATACATTTAATATAGTGTGTTCGGGTCCGTTTGATTAACCTTGAAAAATGTTCTAGAATGTTTTCTCTATTGCGATAATGAGTACTTTAATTGATTGAATTTTTTGTCAGCTGTTCATTATACGTTCTCATTGATAAGTCGATACTTCGAACCAAGATACATTTTTAGTGGGTATTTTAGACATTGGTGACACTGTTGGATTCGATTGATAAGGCGAAATGGATGTATATAGTATGCTGAATTATTGTGCTGGATCGAAAGAACTGATAAGCCTATGGAGACTGACGATAGAGGGTGAGCGACCCCACGAAATTTCGTACTACCCTACTGGGTATTTCATTCGCAACCCGAGGGCAACTGCTGTATGGACATAGGCGTAGAACTAAGGGCGATACAGTCGTATTAGGAAAAAAAAATTAGGGATTTAAGATTGTCGTCAATAAATGAGTAGGAAAATTTTTGTTTTAGGTATTCCCCAAAAATAGAAAAAAAAATCGCTTTGTTGACAAAACTATACAAAACGTGCTTCTGTACAGTGGCCTATGGATTACCGTAGGAGGATCCATCCATCTGTATGAAAAATAAAATATTTCAGAACACGAAAGAACGCTGCCGTGAAATATTCTATTTTAATTGTATTAATTATCCTTATGTGAAAAAATACAAAACTTGTAGTTCTACCATATTAACTTGTGCAGGTTTGTACTAAAAAAACTTCAACTTGTGTATTCCCGTTGACAGTAACGGATACTCGAAAGCGATAACGGTTCCTGGAAATTAGCAAAAGGTCATCCGTTTCAAATTTCACGTATACTAAAACACTAAGCAGCACTGTAATTACGCAAGGGACTGTACTTCTTTTTTGTCCGAGGAGGGGTTGAAAGTATTAAGGGGGTGATCGTTAAAGCCTCTACGCCCGCAGACGTAAGGTAGTCGGCTGTTATACAGACGGTGACACGTATCCAGAGTGACTCAGGTTGCAAATTTAATTACTTCGTCCGACGGAACGGGGTGTTTCTAATATTTTTTCTCTTCTATACCACATCCGTTTTTATGCAGAAAGTAGAAGACTTACCATGGGTCTAGTAACAATTTTATTTTATCCAGTAATCTACTTTCTGATTAAACTCCGTATACCCGTGACTATATGTGAAAGCGACTTTCCGGTCGTGTCCGCATATACTCGATGCTCGACTGCCGTTCTAAGATCTAACCTTTCTTTTTATCATTCTAAGCATCCACCGCGATAGAAGTTAATTGCCGGGCTCAAAATGTAAAATAACGCACCCTGCGGGATAATCGGCCGAGGAATCTGCGTAAAATAAAACTGCGGTCGGGTTCGGTATGCGACGGCCACATACCACGCCTCTTACTAGACTAGCCACGCGGCCAAACATTCCATTGAACCCGTCCCGACTTGTTATGCCAAAAGTAATCCTTCTGTTTTTGTCTTACTTTTGCTCCTCCTTTATCTTACCTCCTTTTATTTTTTTTCATTCCATCCTACAGCCACCCATACTCTACGGTATGTACGCTTGTAGCCTATAGCCATTAGTAGATATACCTCAGTTGTGAAACAGCTCTCTATCCTTTGTTACTTTTTCATATCTCGCGCCAAGAAACTCAAGCAAGTACCCAACCTGCACTGACTTCAGTCACTGCGTGAAAAATGATCGGAATCCATAAACAATAACTTTCGTTCTAACAAGATCTTGCGTACCATTATTATTATTTATATATATAGATGTCCTATGTACGTATATTTTGTACACTGTCGACGACCAGCGTTCTAACCTCGCAAGATACAGTATACTTACTCACGTTCCAATTTCGACTTGAACATTGATAGAAAGTGTGATTCTGCTATTTCAAATATGTCGTGTTACTTTCACGTGTTGCGAGTGTCTCCTGAAAATAATTTGGCTGCTAGCAGCGGTAAGGCGATCCGGGTTCGATTTAAAAAAAATTAAACATAAAAAGCACGCGGAGAACGGCACTCTCGCGGGGGACGACGAGAATGTTATTTTTACGCAGCTTGGAATTATTTTCATGTCCCTGCCCGCTCGGTGCGATGCTCTTTCAATTTATTCACATATCGTACCCTTCCTATTATTCGACTCGTAGTACCGTGTAGGTTATCGCGTGGCATCGTAAAAAAGAACTGATGCAATACACTCCGTCCGCCATTACAATAAAGCACTCCAGACATAACAGACTTTCTGTTTCGCTCTTTTTTTTTCCCTCTTGGTCTATTAATTCAAATCCGGGAGTGACTGTGACATTGTTCAAATCCTCCGATCACCTCTAGACACCGTCCATGCGGTAGAACTGGGTCGCTACGCGTAAGAATCGCTGAAAACGAAAGCCAAGCCCTCCTGCACCCTGAAGACTTTGCGCAACACTTGATTACCTTAATTGATTATCTTAAGAAGACCAACAGAGACTACGAAAAATATATATACGTGTAGCTAGCTATTTGTGAGCTTTGACAGTGAATCCTAAGGACTTTAGCAATGGAGGTCCTGATCGATCGATGGTCTATCTTTTGGCGAAGGTCTATATATATATATATATAGTCATGACTGTGAATACCTGCTATACTGACGTAATACCCGTAACTATATATAACCAAGTAGGTTAAATCACGTGAGATTTTATTTCTTTAACGTACGAGTTTATAATTTTTTTTTTTTCTTCTCTTTCAGGTGTGGCACGCCTGAGACGTATCGTTAAGAATGCGCACTCCTGCCGAGACGGAAACGCTCTCCCAGCCTGAGACGTTCAAATTCGAACCTCAGGAGACGGGAACGTCGTCGAGTGTGAATCAGGTGGTTCTGTCGACTTCCCAACCGGAAGCACATATTTTTACAAACAGGTAACAGATACCCAGGATCATGTATACCTAAGACGAAGACGTTTTGAACGAAGCCAATGATAATATCTCTTATCTATTGACGTTACATATACAACGCACCGCTTTTAACCTTTGACGCGCGATTCCGCGGAATAAAGATTTTGAAAAATTGGAACGTAGCGACCCTCCTCTCTTGTCGGAGGACACGCTCGGTTAATAACGACAAACGGAACGTAACGATTGCCAGCATCGACGTCCCGTGTACTCGGCCATTCGAAACTAACGGCAGAGCCAGGTTGTCCTTGATCCCTTCTCTAGAAATTCGTCGAATGTAAACTCCACCGCGTACACCTGTCTACCGAGTAGCGTGGACCGTGTTATACCGGGTGACGAGTAAACGAAAAAGGTTTAAAAAAAGCTTAGTGCCAAGATCAGTCACTGATCTTCAAATACGTTAAATGCACTGAAGCAGATTGATTACTTGTATGTGTTACTTCTTTGTTACTTGTACCATACAGCTGTTTGCTAGTTTTCCCAATCTTAATTATACCGTACAAAAATCCAGGCTGACTGTTTCCTTTGCAGTATCTGTCATCGGGATGTTGTGACAGCGGAGCACGTGCTACTCGGATGTCATGTGATCCACTGTCAGTGTGTATTATCGTTATTTCTGTACGTCGCATCCTTTTGCGATATTTTTTATGTCGCGACATAGACGTAGGAGCAGGATTTTATTTTATACGTATGTACGTACCTCGGGTAAGTCGAGAGATGATCGTTATCCCCTCTCACGCCTTCGTTCCTCCCCTCTCTCTCTCTGTCTCTGGCGCCCAGGAATTCTTACGTCAATTGTAATCTTTCAGATTGAGCAATTTCAAGCTGATCGCCACAAAAATAGACATTATCGCATTCCAGTCGTACTTTGATAAATTTGTCTTTTAGCCGATCATAATACCCCACGTGCATTCTCGGCTACTTTGATACCTGCGATCTCGAAGTCAGTGAAACGTGTCGCCTCGCAAGGTCAGATAAACCGGAGGCCGGGTCCATTAGTGCCTATGCAAATTAATCCGAGTTACTGTCTGCCAATAGGAATTAAATACCCAAATCGATTTTAAGTACTGTCGTTTCGATAAGAACGCGTCGAACTATCAGGAATTCCGCGTGAACTTGATTTCACGCCAGAGGATCACAAGGCGGTAACGTGGCTGCTGGAATGTAAACAGAATAGCGATGGAAATCCCAAGCAGTGGTTACCCACAGCGAATACAAAAGATTTATAATCATTTTCCCTGCCACATCAACCAAATTGATAGTCACTGTCTCACGGAGTTTTATCAGTATACGTATATACCCAAAGTATCCTAACTATCATCCCACCCTATATATTCCCAAGTCCGATACCATTACCATCTCGTACTAACCGACACCTCTACACGGATCCTAAAACAAACTTTCAACACGAGAAGCACTTATATACTCTGCACGAAGTCTAGTTACAGTATTATACTCGTGCCTGGTGTTATTACGCCAGTAACGGCACAGCTCTTGGGCCCTGGCGACTCGTTCCTAACGGCTATTAAAATTTTACACTTTTTTTTCTAACCTAACTCACCGGACCTGTACTTCGATCTAATAGTAAACCTCCGAAAATTATGTCTTGAAGTATCGTTGTGAAAAAAAAGTTTTTTTTCCATATATTTTTATTCTTAATTACCGAATACTAATAAGTTGAGATCCACTGGTTCAGGAGACGATTATCAGTCGCCCCCGCAAGCGACTCTCGTTTGGCCAAGTCCGTAGCGTTCGACGGAGTCTCAGTGCGACAGTAACGCCGAGTACTGCCGAGCGGGTGCCCGCGTCACCAGTCCAACCGAGCAACGAGATAGTCGCGCGTCGTATAAAAATTCTTATTACTATCGGCGTTAAATTATTTTCATTCCCAGTCCCGTCTACAAAGGTTTTGTGTTTAGTGCGCGAAGTGTTGAAAAATCATTGACTGTCCATATGTTTCGTACGCGACGATGGTACTCGCACGGTTCTTCGTCAAGAAGTGTCAGGATGACGTTGACGTCGTACCACCAGTCAACGTTACGACGAGGTGAGCACCGCGAAGGTCTTACCGTGGAATGTATTCCTGATAACGGTTGGCTTGTTGACGGCTAAAAATTCCTCGATCCCTTCGAGTCTGGAAACGTCACACGTGTCTATCTACGGTGTACGTGAATGCCGTGTCTGTACGATCCAGTCTTTATATACATGTATAAAGTCGATAATATAGGACTGGTCTCTTGTTTGATCAGGCACCGTCTTCTAGCTAAGACCCATACAACAACGGCTGTCTGGCGTCGGACAGATAACACGAGTTTCGCTACTTGTCACTTATTGGAAGTAAATTTTGTAAGACCGCACGAAAAGCTGAAATACGGAGGATGGTGTGGGTGGATGTTGTGACGTTTTATAAGGTCGGGCTTACTCCTGTCGGGAAGAGAAGTAATGGACGCACGTTCGACTGGCTCTGGAAAACGTTTCGGTACGATAAACAATAGGTCGATAAGAATTCTCGGGAATCCTTTGATAACGTAGAGGCGAATCGGCACGCACGTGCATCCCGTGTATATCGTAGCTTTGCGATTGCTTCGATGCTTCCTATTAAGGATACTCAGGGACGAGTGGAATGGCCGATTCACTTGGGTACAATACTATTGAGTGTTTAACCACCCGAAGGTGGTTTCTACTATAAGAGTCGACTTTTGAGAGGGGACTAACTTTGGTTGGTGCAGTGTGCCGTTTGAATAACACTGTATTATAAGGTGGATCTCAAACTCATGACGAATGGAATACTTGGTCCGAAATTTATTTCTAATTGGGAATTATATTTGTGGCTTTGTGCTTTGTGACTTGCGTGTTGATCGGACTGATAAACTGGACTTGATACGTAGACCGTGATAGAATTACTTTTATAAGGTTTTCACGAATTTTCCTTCCCCAAGGTAAATACCACTCGGACACGAATGTTACTAGGCTCTCTCTTCTTACACGTATCGCTCATATAGAAATGATAATGTTGCGCAAGAGGTCGTTTATTTAGTCGTTTTAATCTCCAGTTATTCATGAGACGATTATCGTATTTGAGGTGGATGCTTTTGAGAATGTTACTAGAATGTTTTTGGGGAATTGTCCTAGTTATTTTATACAGAAAGAATTATTCTGTCGTATTGTGTTGGGATTGTTGATCATTTTTAAGGGTCTTTATTAATATATATGTGTATAATGTATATATATATATTACTACCGTTTCCGGTAAGAAACGTTTTCTAACGACGATAGCACAGTTGATATGGCTTGATGAGTTTTGAATTTCGCGGCAAATTTAATAATGTGAATTCGGGCCGTTGACCACTACGTTCATGTTAAGAATGTTTGATGATGACGTCACTAGGGGAAGATACCTTAGGCGATGTTGGATCGATGTCTCCTCCTTGACGTCTTCCGCTCGAAGCTAGTTCATCTATACACATATATATGTGACGAAACGCGCACGAATTTTCCACCGCAATGGCCGTTCCGTTTCGTTTATCAGGTATTTACTTTGGCAAGGCCAAGAGACTCGTGCTTTTTCGGCAGAGCTCCGTTTTCCCTTTGACGACATTCCCTTCGAAAATCGCAAAAAGATTAATAAAAGTTCATTGTCTCCTTTGTTCTCTCTTCCTTCCATTCTCTGTTTCCCTGCTTGGCCGTATCTCTGAAATGGCTGATATCAGAAATTAATTTTAAAATCTCGAACAACACGTGTTGCTTCAAAGTCGAGGTGTCTACTCCTTTGTTGATATTTTCTTCTTGCTGTGGTTTTCTAACTTAATAGCTTCTACGCCACTGCTCGTGTACCTATATGTACCGTAATGTATACGTAGGTACTTTGCGACCAAGGCAAAAGCCCACGTGGTTTTACGTATTTGAACGCGATCGTGACATTACTGATGTTATAATAGATTAACTGTCATATGCAATTGATTGTTGTGATGAAACTGTCGGTAATCCTGTACCATAGGAAACTGTAATACCATATGTAAGTTACCCGAGGTTGTCCATTGCGTTAAGAAGTAGTTATAAGAAAAATGGGGAATTTTATTGAATCGTGATAGCAGAAGAAAATGTAGGCGATAAAGTCGACTTTGTACAGTGAATTTAATAAAGTGCTAATAGATGTGTTTACTTTTTCCTCTTAGCTGTTTCGCCATGCGCTTTGTACATTTGAACAAAGACAAACAACTTTAATTTATTTGTTAACGATTTACGTCAATGGCCACTAACGGCCGTTACGTGTTACCAATCGCGTCTGCAGTCAAATAAAATCGTTATACCACCGGTTTGTATTTTATCGAATTCTTAGTATTCGACTCGATTCGATTAATCGACTTTTCATGCCGAAGATCGATCGATATTTATTTCGAATCTTCTACCGTTCAGGTGTTCGTTAAGAGCCGAAATAATAAAGAAGACATTTCTCCTACTTACCACGTTCAAAAGTTGAAAACCGTGTAACGAGATGCATTCTTCCTCTACACCTTCATTCGTTCTTTTAACTTTTTATTCGTCCTCTTTGACAAACGTCACACGTAATACTGTGCCGATGGAATACACGATTGGTAGTCTCTTTGGGTAAATAGAATTTGTCGGATATGTCGCAACGTGCTTATTATACATATGTATTTAGTTGCCCGTAGTGAAAAGTGACAGTTAGCGTATATGTTTATACGTATAATATAGTATGCAATTTAAAAATCGTATTTATAGGTCATTGTTGAGGAAAGTCACCGTGAGTTATCGCGAATAGTCTTTGCCTTTGTTCTTTACGTTAAAAGCAGCGCTAGAGGAGGTAGCGCACGTGCACGATAAAATTCCGAGAATCCAACGTAGAAAACAACTCTAAACGCATCCCGTATAGAATTCTAATTGGTCGTCCTAGACGAGGATAAACATAGACGCCAACTTAAGAAATCCAAAAGCGGAAATTATATTGATTTAAAAAAGACGAAATAAACCGTTGGCGATACGTGCGATGTGGTTTGAATATTCTACGATGCCATTCTTTTATTAAATGGATTCCTAGAGATAAGAAGAGGATTATAATAAAGCTATAAGAAGATAAACGATGCAGAACGCTGCTAATGACGCAAAAGTTTTTACAGTTAGGAAGAATCGTTGGCGGTTAACGTACCAAAACGGCTTGGCGAGCTTCGATGACCTCCATTCGCTTTTGCGCATGAGATTTCGATAATTCAGAATGCGTTCCTATTATTTGCTCTTCTTTCGTGCTCTTTGTCATTTCGAATTGCGCAAGTGGCATGTGCCAGTTTCTGTATGTCTGTAAGTGTGCTTTACTTTTCTCTCTGCAAAAGTCAGAGACTTTACTCGGCCATTGATCGGGCTTGTGTTTACGCGCGCAGATTCACTCATTAAGAACAAAGGGTGATCGTGGATGACAATGAAAATTTGACTTTGTAAATAGAGAAATCCGAGTAAAAGATATGTATAGGGAGAAACATTGAAGTATTTTGAAAATATTAGATCAAACGATTGTTATACTTTGAGCTATGAAAATTGATTGAGGATATAATCGATTTATAATTTTACGGGGATTCCCCGATGTCACTCTTATAAATTTACATGGTCAATGTTTGTTTCAGCATGCTGTGTATCCAAGAGGAGTTGGGCCAGCTGAGTGGGATAGCTGGAGGACCAACTATCAGCGGTCCTCACGATACACCATTGCCGGACGGTAGTCACACGCATTCAGAAAGTAACAGTAATTCCAGTGAAAGTGGTACGAAATGCGCACCAGGTTCAGGTACCTTGGACGCTCAGAGACCCAGCTGGGTGGAAGGGATTTTGGGGTGCATGAGACCCGTATGGAGCATGCTGTCGAAAGCTGCTGTCAATGAGAAGATCAAAGGACATCAAAGTTTGTAATCATTTAGTTGAATCTAATTCAGTATATAATAATATTAGATTCAAATGTTCGTTTATCGTATGCAGCCGATGACTGGGAAATTCCATTTGAGTCTATTGGAGAATTACAATGGCTCGGTTCGGGGGCTCAAGGCGCAGTGTTTCGTGGGACGTTGAACAAGGAAGTCGTTGCTGTGAAAAAAGTGCGAGAAGCACGCGAGACTGATATACGCCACCTGAGAAAGCTCAATCACCCAAATATCGTAAAGTTCAAGTAAGTCAAGATCTTGAAGCTGCTTCTTAATCCAGGAGGTTAAAATTCAATGAGAATCGTTCAATTAAAAAATTTTATTCATTTTCAGAGGTGTATGTACTCAAGCACCATGCTACTGTATAATAATGGAGTTTTGTCCATTTGGTCCCTTGTACGATCTGCTCAGAGCTGGAGAACCTGTACCGCCTGCAAGACTTGTTTCCTGGTCAAAACAGATAGCCGCAGGAATGACTTATCTCCATGCACACAAAATAATTCACAGAGATCTCAAAAGTCCCAAGTAAGCCTTTAACTTGAACCGCATACTGATATTATTTCTATCATGATACGTTTAAAAAAAAAGATTTATATCGAGAACGCTCTTCTTTAATTAAGGAAACTAATAATCGCCCAGCTCGGCGTTACCGTGTCCTGCATGTATTACCAATTATTATCATTTTAGTGTGCTAATTGGACGGGGAGAAGTCGTGAAGATTAGCGACTTCGGTACGAGCAGAGAGTGGAATGAAATCAGCACCCGTATGAGTTTTGCAGGTACCGTAGCCTGGATGGCTCCCGAAATTATTCGAAATGAACCATGTTCTGAGAAAGTTGATATATGGTTAGTAGAATAATATAACAGCCTGAGAATGACAGTTAAATATTTCTATAGCACTATAAGTGTTTTATATACATTTCCTTATGACTTCTATTAATCTAAGGTCCTACGGAGTTGTACTCTGGGAATTACTCAGCGGCGAAGTACCGTACAAGGATGTGGACGCATCGGCCATTATGTGGGGTGTCGGCAATAATTCTTTGCACTTGCCGATACCAGCCAGTTGCCCAGAAGGATACCGATTACTCGTGAAGCAATGCTGGGCGGCTAAACCTCGTAACCGGCCGTCTTTTAAACACATTGAAATTCACCTTAACATTGCCGCGGTAGAAGTATTGTCGACGAAACCAGATGAATACTTTAAAACGCAGGTAATAAAACAACCCGTACAATTTTTATTAATTAAGCGAGCAATAAGATTGATCTGGATTATTAAACGTGTCCATTGTACGGCGATAATCGAGGTTTATGATTTATCATAGCAAACGTGGAAAGAAGAGATAAGGGTGCACATGAAGCAAATGCAAACGAATAGTTCCAGCAGTCCGAGATTCGAAGCTGATTTAATTCGACGACGGGAAGACGAGCTGAGGCATGCCCAAGACATTCGAGAACATTATGAACGTAAACTCGAGCGTACTAATAATCTTTATCTTGAGCTAAGCGCTGTTCTACTCCAGTTGGAGCAACGGGAACGTGACGTGATAAAGTGAGTTAGTGAATGTGAGGCATTGTGTGGAAATTCATATTGGGCACGTAGTCCTAACGCGAAAATTAACGTTTCAGAAGAGAGCAACAATCCGGATATAAGCAATCTAAGAAACGCATAGTACATCCGCTTTTAAAAGCTCAGGAAAGACTTCATCGCAGGCGAAATCCTACGGTGCAATTCTCGACCTCGTCGACGCCCACGACGCCACCGTCGCCTGTGGATTCTCCACAGAGTCTCGTCAAGGCCACCTTATATACGCAGCTCAACGAATCGAATCAACCGGAAACTGTTTTGGCTCCCAGCAATAGTTTTAAACAGCGGAAGTACAGGCATCGCAGAGTCGGTTCCGGTTGTGGCGTCAGTTCGAGTCCAAGATCCAGTCCGCACAGAGAAAGGAAGGTAATTGTCGTCTAGCGTGTTAGTTAACAATCCTTGTAATACTTTTAAATATAATGACTATAGTATATCTGACATTGTCTCAATGTTGCAGAGCGCAGACCCATCTGTCAGATATGTTGATAATCAAACGCAAACGGACGTAATGAATATTAGTGAAACTGATCTTAGTCCTGTAGCGCATAAGGAGTCGAATAAATTTACTCTAGAACCGTCCAGGAAGCATTCGTTCACCAGGACTACGAACGAATGTCTCAACGGGAATCCCGCAGCATCCGAGACTCATTATAGGATGCAGTCTAGGTCTTGTTCCAGTCCTGAGCCTATCTCCAGTGACAATCACTTGAATGGAAACGAGCGTCTCAAGGATTGTAGCGATGACGACCACCTCGAGACCCTCGGTCGAAAAGTTAGCGAGATTCTTAACGCCAATCGTGTCATTTCACCCATCGATAATGGGAATTGTGACGATGTCACTATATCTCACAGGTTAATTGGCTTTGTAGGATCATTTGACTCGAGGGCCTTCATTAGACTCTTCCTAATATTAATTTAACGTTACAGTCGAGGAAAAGAAGATCTGATGAAGTTGTCTGGTCACTGTTGTGGCGTTATTATAACTGGTGCCAGCATAGGAAAAGACGAGCCTGATATATTGGCAATAAGGACCTGTCCTGAGACAATAGACACATTATGTGATCATGAAGATGATGCCTATGAGGAAAGTTGGTCCGACGAAGAGGGAGAAGATCCAAGCTACACTTATAATTATTCTCTTAGACGTAGAAGGTACGCACGAGACGACTGGTTTACATTTGAGAACATGTTCATTTACAGTTTATACATTCGTCAGATAACACTTAGTTACCGTCCGTTGAAACCTGTAAATTCTTTTTCATTCTAGCATTGCAAGGAGACCGATTGGACCAGGATGTCGGACGAGACGATTTAAGCAGACTTCTGCATGTATAGATGGAGTACTAGCATCCGACGAGGAGAACACTTCCGAGTATTCGCATCCTCCGTCCAGTCAGTCCTCTACTCTAGAAAGCAATCCAGAAGTGCAAAGAGCTCTTCGGAATATTCATCATTCGCATAAGGTGAGTTACTTATAATCATTTGCAGCATAATGGTAAAAGTAGTATGGATGAAGTGAGTCTTTGTTTCTTATAATACGACAGCTGTAGTCTGAAGTTAATGAAACATTAGAGTTTGGAAATTTGTGATTCGTTCGAATAGTAATGATCTCGTGTCTAATTCAATTGCATGACATTTCACAGAGAAAGGGAATGGACGATGCCTCTGATACGTCAAGTCAATCCGAAACTGACGAAATCAGTGACACCACAATTGCATCTCAGCCAGCGAATGCCACTGTAAAAATCGAAAGCACGGTATAGGCTATGCGGTAGCGTAATCAATGATATTCTCGTTTACGAACAGTGTATATCGTGAGACAAAGTAATCATTGACTTTTCATTGTAATTGCGTCTTCTTTAACCTGCGATTTATATAAAACTTTGTAGATACATCGATGATCTCGTGAATAATAACGTGGTACTATATTCGTAAACGGGATTCATTAAGATTCTTAGTAACCCTCTAGTAATAAAGTTTATGAAAAAATGCGAACAATTCGTAGCCACAAAAATTGCTAAAGTTATAACACTCATATTTAAAAGAAGAAAAAATTATAAACCAAGTACTCATGTTGCGTCTTAAATAATTTTCAGTCTTCGTGAGCGTTCAGTCGAACCTACGTTGAACTTTGAAAAATACATTCCAGATATGCTTATTTATCTGGACCTTAGTTTGATGGATATTCCACGTGTAACGTTAGATTGATTTAGCGAACCTTAATCATTGTCTTTCATGTAATTATAGAAGACTCGGGATTACAATCTGAAAGATCGTTTTTTCAATTTTGCCGAGCATTTTTTCATACGCCAGCTAAGTTATTGCCAGAATCAGTGATTAATGATTATTCACCAATTATTCACACCATAATTAATCTTTATCGATCATATGTTGAATCAACAGTAATCACTTAGTACGTTATTGTTTGTTTCGTATACTGTCATTAGTATTATTGTGTGTACATATAAGCGTAATTTGTATGAACCTTTTTTTTTAATCAATGTAATACATTCATCCATTGCTTGTAAAAATATTCATTACATTATTACGATTTAGTTCATCTAAAGTTCCTTTTAGTAAATACCATAGTCGGTTATTATTGTCATTTGTTTTCTAGAATAACGTATCCACAATGTGGATGGACCCGTAATAAGGTTTGAATATTTCCCGAATGTATGATCTTAGTGACAGTCCATGCAATCAGTGTGTGTGGTGGAGGAACAAGATGCAATTTAAAGAGTAAAAGTGAAAAGTCATCTGTCTCGAGATTTAAAGAAAAATTAGATCGAACGACTGATCATTCACAAAACAAAATAATTAACAGTAAGAATATTCAATTACAACTCAATCAGAAGGATGTAATAATAATAGATGTAGCCAATCCCCATTGTATACAATCATTGAATTTTTCTTTCCTGTCTTTTTCCATTTGCATGTTTTTCATTCTTCTGGAAAAATTGCATTCGTTCTCCCGTTTTATCGATTTCAATCAACTTTTATCCACTTTTGTGTATGTTCATTTTACAAGTTAATTTTTAGCATATGGTAACTGAACTCTAGAAATGTATGGCCAAACTTGTTTACTCGATATTTTATATATTTCCTTCAGCACGCGCATAATAGATTGTGCAATATTTACCCTTTCCAATGATAATATTTATTTATATCGGCGGTAAGATCTTTTTCTAGACGATCGTACGAGGCAATTGAAAATAGATATTAGGTGTGTAATATAATTAGGTATCGAGTATGCGTTGTATTGTATATTCTTTATACAAGGAGAGGAAGACAAGAAACATGAAAGACAAAAAAGGAGGCACTAAAGTAATTAATTAAAGTACCTAGATTATACTTATACAATATGGTGACAATTGTTAGGAGAATTTTACAACATAAGTGCCTAGCGGCAACATGCGGTACAGCAAAAAAACAAAGTGTTTATTATAGTAATTATATACAACAAATTTAGATAATTTAACAAAATTGTAATAACGTGCAATGTCAAATTTAACAATATTTTCTGTGCATTAGAAAGCCACTTTCGAAATCAGAATATAAGCTGGCAAAATTTTTTTCATATGCTCATACGTGGAATGTTTAAACAAATATAATCAAGGAATCACGTGATAGTACGATAGATAAAATGTCAAATGATTTTAATTATTATCTACTATTTATAGAATTGTTCACTGCGTTACATTGGATCAATGTATTGACTTTTTTTTTCTTGAAAATTTAGAATTCTGCGAATAAACACTGATTTTTATAGTAGTAAAATTTAATTTTACCAGTAATTTAATCCTTAAAAAAATAATAAAGAACACGTTTTCATTGTTTTAGGAGACAATATAATACAAAGAATACGTTAATTAACGAGTATTACTATCATGCTGATTCTTTGAGATATTAACTAATGGCAGTACAGTAGCGCGAAAAACGAGAAATAAAAATGCGCTAATTTAATTAAAGATATTCACTCGGATACCAAAAGTCATGATTTGCATCCATCAATTGTACCTGCTTCGAAACTCAAATTGCCTTAATGACAATTCTTATACATCTGTAAATATACTAGACAATACGAGTTGAAAAAGGCGGATGAATTACGAGCTAAGAATAAAAGTGGGTGACACATTGTTGTGGTCAGGCAGACGAAGTAATTTTTAAGATGTGTAGAAGCGTGTTAACTTTATAATAAATAATCGTACCGTAATGTATCCACCGTATTTATGCGTAACGTTGCATAAATCGTTTCTTTCGTGCAGTGGCAGCTAAACCGACTGGTTCTGTAGTTGTTTAATCGTAGAAGTAGTACACGAACCTTGTGTTATATATACAATAAAATTTCTTTACATAGGCAACACGCGTTCCTTTCTTTAATATAAACATTCACTTTAATCCTTTTAACATAGAAATACAATCGTGTGAAATTAAGATTCAACACAGTAGATACGTGATACAATGACATGATCTGAATATTTATTTCAAACACCGCGCAACAATTTTAACAGCTGTACATATCGATTACTTTGCAATTGCTTTAAAAAATATCAATTCTTACGTAATGAGAATTTCATTTATACTTATAAAATTCTATTATATACTAGGAAAAAGTGATGTCTATAGATTGACTTTTGCCTAACACGCAACAGTGAAATGACTGTAAATTTAGTCTATCCTGTTAGATGATACTTATTATCAGAGTTTTTGTCCAAAATATATATCAGTATGAACTTGAAGCTCTTTCTTTTACAGTTTTTCTTATCCTGTGAGATTAACTGTCGTATTAAATCTTCTTAATTCAGCATAATGCGATATAGCTTTCACACTTCATTTGAATAACTTCATTCAAGATTCATAATTTTGTACATGCTAGAGATGGCGTTCGCCATAAGCGAGAGAGATTAGCATTCTACAGTCCATATACACATTAATATATACAATCCTATTGGTTAATATTATTAGTAAGTTTTATATATTATCATATCATTAAAAGAGAGTTAAAGATCTTAACATACACGTCGCTGTACTTATAAATGTTACAAAAGTTAAATCCCATGCTCGTATATAATTTATTTATCAAGAAAACAAAGACAACTGAATGTAATTATCGTTAAATAAAATCGAGACAGAACTGATCATGCTTCACCATGTCGTCAGAATGTCACAAATACTTGCTATTAGATTTAAGATTAGGGATTGACGTTGAGAGATCTTCATCATAGAGAACATTAACTGAATTACAATATCATTTTCAATTTGATCACAGATATTATGAGTGAAATTTTTTACCAGGAACAATCAACATTATGTTCAAAATTAAATTCGGCAATTCAAGTGGTCAAACTTACCTTTCAACGGATAACAAAGCAACCTGATTGCAAGGTACGTTTTACATTTGTATGTCAAATAAATAATATCATATTTAACTATAATAAATCTAAGGAGATATGATGAATTACCAATAAAATGAATTATGGAGAAATTCAGCAGTTGACTTATATAATGTGGATGCACTCTGCCTTAAACCTGTGAATAATGATACAACACCATCCTTCTCATCTTCTTGCTCCTCTTCTTCTGGTAAATATTCAGGCATCTCATCACAGTCATCAATATCATTGTGTACCTTTAAAATACAGAATTTTCACTGTATGTTCGTATCACATTGCAATACAATTGTTTTAGATAACAAGATATCAGTACCAATTTTACTAAAAATTCCTGATTAAATTTATTTCTGGTAACTAATCTTGCTTCCATGTTTTGTGTATTCTTTTGTATGGCTTCAGCAATTTGTTTAGCAGTAACATTGCTCAAAGTACGCATAGTCACACGTTGATGTTCAACATCAACAACAAGTGAAACCAGTCCTTCAATCCTTATTAAGGTTGTTTCCAGCTCTGCTCGAGTTTCCTAATAAATAATTTTCATTGCAAAATCTTTATACATATATAAATTATATAAAACTACAAGAAAATGTTTTATATCATTATTGTTAATGTTTGGAGCATTTGCAAATGCACATAAGCATTTACCGGGAGTAGTCCATGAACATGTAAAATAATAACATGTGTCTTAAGTTTCTTAGGCTCGATAACTCTTCTGCAACGACTCCTCAAATTATAAATTGGAGGTTTCATTCGCTCTATGTCATCCTTCATAGATTGTGCATGTTTAGCTAGTTTAGGCTCATCCAGGGCATATTTGTTGACAACAGAATCTAGAGCCTCTCGTATACCGAAAGTGGAGGTTACGTGTACATAATTTTCAACATTTTTAATAAATATCTCAAGAATATCCAATGCCAAACGTACGACCTCCGTGTCAGGCACTTCCAATACATATGCCAAATACAATAGCACGGTTTTATCCTGCAATTGGCAGGTGGTATGAATATCATCCAGATTGTTCATATTCTTTAAAAGAAAATAAAACAAAGTAAGACGTACCTTCAAAATCGTGTCGTGATTTGTGAAATCATCGGCGAGCTTCTTGTACATCTCTAAAGTAGCCTTTAATTCGTTGGGCTTGAAAGAGTCTTCCATGACTATCGTTCAATAGCAAAATGTTGACATTAACAGGTTTTCGAATTCACGTACAGTGATCAAAAGCTAGCAGACCTCTTTGGGTGAAAAATACTCTTTTCTGATTGGAGCTGTTCTTATCCATAAAATGAGTATCTCTCGTTCTATAACGATCGTCGCTAGATGGCACCGAGTAAAATTCCTCTTTTGTACTACAGCAGGTACATCCCGAGCCAACGTTATGTCGTGCCTCGAAAGCTTTGAATTCGGAGCGCAGTGTAACGTGCGCAGCCAACGAGGAAGGAACTCATGAGAAAAAAATCATTTCTATAGAAAATTGTGTTATTTGTAGGTTTGTTAAGTCGAAAGAAAAATACGAGCGCCTTATTCATTAATCGCGCAGTATATAGTTGTCCTTTCTACCTATGATACGTTTTACATTGATGAACCGCGTTATGTCTCTTATCGCGTTCAGTATGTTTCGATGACGCGCATTCACTAGATAGCAAAACTGGTGTGTATATGACGTACTAAAATAAGATGGCCGACATTCGTCCTATCAGCTGCCAACAGCACAACACCCGTATCATTTATCTTATGAACTTTTCCTGCACTACACGCTACTTCGAGCATTAGCCTTAAACCCGTGCCATACTAATAAGTACCTCCAAAGATAGATTTATGGAATACGGAGAGTCTGATAGAGTTGTACGAGAGGAGAGGCTTTTAAATTAGCGAAGGGATAGGCGGAGGAAATATTCTGACACTGGTGTTAAACAATCTCAAAAAAATAATCCGACGCAGTGATCGAGGACAAAGTGAGATAGTGTGCAGTGGGTTTTGCGCTATAAGACAATGGAATACGTATTGATAAAGGACATACGGCCCGGCCAAAAAAATATCAATGTGGTGTTTATTGTTCTGGAAGTTGGCCATCCTACGTTCACCAAAGAAAACCGCGAAGTACGAACATTCAAAGTGGCCGACAATACCGCCTGTATGAACGTTTCTATTTGGGACGAACCAGGACAATTGTTGGCACCTGGTGATATTGTTAAACTTACTAAAGGATACGCATCGGTATGGAGACAGTGCCTGACACTCTATTCAGGCAAGAATGGAGATATACAAAAGATTGGTGAATTTTGCATGGTGATCAATGAGCAACTTAACATGAGCGAGCCTAATTCTGCCCTTGTTCAGCAATTAGTTAATCAGGGCGGATCGGGATCACCAGGGAGCAACGTTAATAACAGCATCACGAATAACGGAAACGCAAATAACGTCAGTGGACCTCCTGGAAGGCAACTACCGGTACGGTCCTTCAAACGTCCAAGACGCTAACGCCGAGTCACTTGACTTGAGTACCCTTGTCGTATAACAAAAAGCAGCAAAGCTTCTTGAGATCAGCATGACCTTGCCCTTGATATTAACTCAAGCAGTTCTTTTCGGTCGACCTCGGATGAATTAAATCACACCTAAATACGAATAATATTTAGAATTCATGTACATTACATTTATACAGTCTGTATGTTGCGGTCGATGATTCAAGCATGATTACTACTTATCTAGTACAGTCATGCTAAACAGAGAGTAGGCGAGAGCATACATAATGAATTTGAACTAATTATTAGAATTGGAAACAAGAGGACACAGGAAGTGCAGTAAAAAGTATATAGCATGTTCCTGCAACCTGTATGTGATTATCATACATTATTTATTTCCCCTCATAGAGTTGTGCAATATGAAAGTGGAAACAGCAGTGTAATCATAGAATACTTAATTAATATTCTAACTCTTATGAAATCATTTGATAAGCTATAGGCACTTTGTTATTGTGTGAATTATAACCACAGGTCATCCAGAGTAACGCAACGACACCTACTACGGGAGCGGCCAGCAGTTCCACATCTGCAAAAAGTGGGAATGGCGGTGGTGCATCAGGATTAGCAGGTGGTTCAGCAAGGTTTTCAGGAGAATCCGGCACGAAACCATCAACCACGGGGAAAGGGGGTACCCGCGGACGCGGTAGTTATAGAAATGGCGGTAGGAGTGAACGCAGATAACACACGAACCAACAATAAAATCTTTTGTATAAAAGAAGTTATATGCTGCGACACGAATGTAATATACACCTTTTTTATAATAATGAATAACTGTAAATGTGTAAGGAATAAGATCTTCGGAACCACGATTATTAATTAATACAACCATTTTTACCTGTCTAAGCTGCCGTGGTCTCGCAATTTATTTACCGTGATCCATTTCTTTTTATTGTCAACGGGCTAATTAGATTAATTAGATTAGATTAATAGAACCTCATTAACTTAACCAACCTTTTCCGATTAGACATGAAACGGATCTCAATTTCAACGCACAAGAAACAGTTTCCACCATCAGTTTTAATCATCCAGTTTGTATTAAGTTTACACTCGGAGCAGGCGATATTATGTACATTAAAGTAGCATAATTACGAATTAATGGGGGACTATGGGGAGATGCATACTCCGCATATAGTAAAAGGGTACCTCGAAGATTATTAAAAAGTTTAGACAACGTATAGTGTTCAAGAAGCATCTTTGTAGCGGATACAACATTTTGTATGGAAAATTCCAACGAAGCGGTATTTTAGATTATTATTCTCACTATTATTTTTATTGGACCTGATTATAAGTATCATTGACCATTTTTTTTCCTAATAAAAAAGTATTACTTTTTATACCATACTTTATGTCTGTTTCAATTTCAATCAGCACTTTTTTCCTTTTTAATTTACTGTTTGGTCTCTAGTATTTCCTGGAGACTTTGACATCCATCCCTCCTTCGACATGCCCACAGAGCCGTAAAATCCGTTCGGCTCTATTGAATTTAAAGTTGAAGCAATTGTTTAACAGCTGACAAATATTGCGGTTTTCTAATGCTCATGCGCACGATGTGTTGATTGCCAGAATGAGGTCTCGATCGATCAATCGTAATGAAGGTAGATAATCAAACGGAACTTGTGTTATCGCATTAATGGTGTGGGTAACGTGTGATAGCAAAGGTTCACGTGTGAAGTATCACTTGACAGCTGTTAAGGGAGAGTGATTATGTACGATAGAGTTTTAATGTCGTGGTGGATAACTCTTGGTAAATTTTTGTGAAGAGAAAGTTACAAATATCGAGACGAGAGGGAAAGGTCTTCACCTGCGAAGAAGCGGTGACTTTCCCTGCGTATGCAGGAGGTTATGTTTACACAGGCACCGCGGTTTTATGCCGCGTATAATTCTAATTTAAGGTACGTGATTGTTGTTGATTATTATTTCTTATCTTTTATGATTGTAACTAATAACTGTGTTCTTTGATTAGTTTCTATGGTTATTCGTTATTATTAGTATTCTGGGCGTTTGTGTAGGCGTAATGATAGTATTAATTTTATGATTATTTGAGAGGTAATATAGGAACATATTGAAATGAAGGATATATTAATTTGCAGACTCTTTTATGGTAAGAATATGCCAAGGTCAAACGTAAAATATGAAATTGCTAATCAAGATGCAGACACCTCAGATTATTTTTTATCACATGTGCAAGAATTTCAAAATTCGACGACAATGCAAACTTCATTTTCGAGAAAAATTTTACAAACTATCTTATTGATATCTCTTTACTTCGTATTATCCATAGGACTTACGTTCTACCAAAAATGGGTACTCAAAAGTTATGTGAGTATATACTTGTACTTAGAGTATATATTATAATGTTACTAATTTTGTAAACTTAATGTTTATTAACAGGGATTTGATTATCCTCTTGGTGTAGTTGTTTGCCATTTAGTAACAAAATTTTTGTTAGCTACTCTGGTTCGATGTATACGAAAATGTTGTTGTGGAAAACATCCTGTACGATTACCATGGCAGACAATTATCTGGTCACTTGGAGCACCAGGTATAGCCAGTGGTCTTGATATTGGTTTTTCTAACTGGGCAATTTCATTAATCACTGTATTTCTGTAAGTCTTATTTCAAAATATTATGTTTCTAAAAATTTATAATCTGGTAAGCTTATAATTAAAGTAGAAAGGAATATTTAGCCTTTATTTTTATTTTAGATATACAATGACAAAGTCAACCACAATAATATTCATTCTTGGTTTTGCATTATTATTCAAGCTGGAGAGAAAGGTACTCATACTATGCAAGTTAAAGAGAAATGAATTATCTTTATATAGAGGTCATATTATAACACTTCTATAATTTTTCTTCCAGTCATGCTCATTGTTAGGAATAGTAGTTATGATATCAGGTGGCTTAATGATGTTTACATACAAATCAACACAGTTTCACATACTTGGATTTCTGCTTTGTCTTTTTGCCTCATTTTCAAGCGGTTTACGCTGGACAATGGCACAGATTATAATGCAAAGATCGAAGCTTGGTCTTGGAAACCCAGTTGATATGATGTATTACATGCAGCCATGGATGTTATTGGCTGTATTACCAAATGCTTTATGGTTTGAGGGTGCGTGTTACTCCCCAACTGTTCACTACGAGTTGGGTGGGTAATAAATTATCAAAGTTGTTTCATCATTCCTTAGGTAGCAAGATATACACTGGACTCGTGAATACAGATTGGAACGATTCTGAAACTGTGGGACTAACATTTATAATTGTGCTTGGTGGTGCTATATTGGCGTTCTGTATGGAAGTCGCAGAATTTCTAGTTGTGACACACACGTCTAGTCTTACTCTGTCCGTTTCTGGAATATTTAAGGTAGTATCATGTTCAAACAACATATGGCTGAATGAATTATCAAACTATGGGAACTACACAGAGTAATTTCTTTTATAGGAGATCTGTACATTATTCTTAGCCTATGAGTGGGAGGGAGACCAAATGAGTGGCCTTAATTTTATAGGCTTGTTAATGTGTCTTGGTGGAATTGTGCTTCATGTTATTCAAAAACTATTGATCAGTAAGAAACAGACGATCGATGATCTTGAATTGCAATCGAATTCAGTAACCACTAACGGCACGAAATCCGAAGATCAGATAGATATTAATTTGCCATTATTGAACCAAAAATCGAGATCCTTGACGAATGTGCTTAATAACTATTCTAGTTCTGATGAGGAAGAAGAGGCTAAGCCGGAAGATACTTCCTTGGACGATCTTTTGAATATTCTTCAGCGCAGAGAACAGTAATTGTATGGTATAATTACCATTGTACCGCATTACATTTAAGAAGTAGATATATTTCACAGACTGAGCAAAATGAAGAGTTGTGCAACATTCCTTTTTTTGTCTTTTGTTAGACATTGGAATTCATCATCGAATGATGTTTTTTGGTTTTGTTGGTTTATGATTACTCATCCTAAATGCATAATTTATATATTCATACTGATCTTTTATGTGGCGATATCCTAATTAATTTTGATTGAGGTCAATTTAGTCTGATCCAATTTATAATTGAAATCTTAAAGATCAACAGAAACTAACTTTACTCTGTATTTTATCTCCAAATGGAAGGATACAGAATGTATATTTTCTCCTATCGTATTCCCTTTTGTGAAAATTTCACAATAGTCGCGTCAGTTTTACCAATGCTATAATATTATTTTAATTGATTTCTCCTGAACAATATATTTTTAATATATATATTGGAAATGTTTATAGAGGTATCTCTCTGTGAAAGTTTTTAATACTCCTGCACGAGAACGTAAATCTTTGCTAGTATTAACGATACTAAGATAGATACTTCAAGTAAGCTGTTTGTCCAACGACGATTTTTATAAGTCATAGCGATGCTGTTGCTGCATATTATTATCAAATTTCAATGTTATCTTTTCTCATGTAACAATCACAAGGATGTGGATGATTGCCTTGTCGCATTTAAGATATTTATGGATTTAGGACTTGTATCGTTTGAACTGCTTCAAATTTAGTCATGCATATCATTTGATAGTCTTCAGGTAGGGTATACGAGCATTTATAGTATGTTTACAGATATATATAAATATATATTATAATTTGCATTTGGTGGCTGGAAATTTTAAAGGAGTAGCACTGGGAGAGAATTTTAGAATCGAGCTTTTATATACAATCCAATTTTGAAAGTACGCAAGAAAAATTACTTTACATGGTATGTTCAAGTCTGATAGAAAGAAATTGAATTCATAATATTTCTGCCTAAAGGATTAGTATTTTTATTCCACGTATATGTATATATTCTGTATGACGTGAGTGAATTTATGTGATTGTTGTCAAAAACTGTACATCGATGTTCTATTATCATTTCATTGTAATATACGATCCATGCGTAAGCAGCAGCAGGTCTTGCATTACATATATATTTAGTTTTAAGTTTTATAAGATCAAATCTTGATCTAGCAGTTTTATCTAATTCATTTAAATGACAAGCATGATATAATGAACTTTTATTTCGTCTGTAATTGTTTTCCAAGTTTGTGGAACAAAATTACAGTGAACCAGAATCAATTCAATTTTTATATTAAGGAAACACTGCTAGGATATTTCAGTGATGAAATACATTAGTAAGAGTAATGATATCTGCCACTGCTTATAACAGTATTTAATATTGAAGATATGTGAATTAATTACACATTCGGTTAGATGCAAGACATATGAAAGGTAAAGATTTAACATATGTTTCAACAAACATTAAACGCGAAAATATTTTCTATATAATTTTTCACGACTACGTACTTACCCCGATTTAGGATACGTTTCAAAATTTACTTTAAGTACTGCGACCCTCTGTCTTTATTCATCTATACGCATCTGAGATAGATGTGATACTTCAGCAGGACTGCCAGTAAATTTTGCTAATAGCCAGCAGTTCTAAGTCTGATTTTTAATGTTTTATCATACATCCTGATCTATTATTAATTTTTAATGTTACACTTAGTTTATTAATAACTCGTATAAAATTTTATTACTAGGTTCCTTGTGTTTTTTCATTAATGAAAAATTATACCCTAATAGGGTAAAATGCCATATTACCATGTAATGAGGACCTCGTAATTGTATGAAACTTTTAGCAAATTACGCAACGCAGTATGGTAACGACAATTGAACATCATGTCCAGGAACACGGCGTGAATATCACTTAATTCTTACGCCCTCATATTGAGGCCATTGTCGTGTTTTATTCAACGATTTTAATGTAACGCTAATAAATATTTCGCATGCGAATTGCTCCCGTTGCTTTCAGTTTCTTTACTTAAATTTATTCGGCTCACAATTAACGCTAGTTCATCTACTCACTCTTATTTATTTCAAGACAATCTTTTGTACTTGTCTTACGTTACATTTCCAAAGTCGCGGTAAGTGCAGTAACTACTAGCGCGGGGTTCATCAAATAATCGTTTAGTATTATGCACCATTTCATTTTGTACAGTAAAATAATTAGGATTTAATAGTAGGTCTAATCAAGAACACAGAGTATAATGAGAGGATTATATTTATTCCAAACAGTTATGAAGATATATTTGCTATAACGTGATGGTATTCAAAACGGAACGTTCATACTGAGAGCTATTTTTGAAGATTACAATTAAAACTGTAGCAGGTGTTAAAAATATGCATATTTTTGTTTTGCTTTTATAAAGACCTATTGTTGAACGAATTACATTATACTGAAGCCAACTGCGGAACACGTTATGATTGTGATAATTGTTAAAAATATCATCGAAGTCTTTAGGAGTTGTATATTTCCAATTGTAAAAAAAAAAAACGTTGAATACAGTACAATTTGGCACTTGTAACTAGATAGCGAAAGCCACGATTTTTTATCTCTTAAAGTAGCGTCGGATAATGAAATACCCTAATTTATGCAAATAATATACATTTACTATATTCTATATTGCCTTCACATCATTTTCATTTTGTGATAATAGTATACTAAAATCTGGTTAGAAATCAGAGATTTTAACAGTGGTATACAATATTAAATAAGTTGTAATATCAACTAGGTCTGAGAAGGGACTTGTACAAAAGTGATGATGTTTAATATGAAACATAATGGAATGATTCATATTATTATTGCAATATAAAAATTTAATTTATTTCAGTGCAGTCTCCGTAGTTCTCGTTGTGTTTCAAGGAATTTCTTAACTAAACGATCCTCTACTCAACTAAAATTAGACGGGGCTTCAGGATAAGATAAAAGAGATTATAAAGCGTAATACGTTTGCCCGTTCAAAAGAGTTGCGTATATCAGTGCGCGCATCGTATCTACAGGTAGAGGATGCTCTCTCCTTGGGTGTTTGCAATGTTTTCGGAAAGGCAGAGAACTTTATAATCTCTTAATGACGGAGATTGCAGTGTATAAATACGAAATCAATGACTTGTTTAATGATTGCTTCAAGAATCTATACTTTCTTTCTCTTTACCAAAGCACAGCTGAAATAAAACTATTCTCTAAGAGAGAAACAGGTAAGACTCCACTTTATAAATAATTAAACTAATCAAATTCTGTTTCTGGTACGTGATGCTTGAAATATTCGGTGATTACGATAAATGTTAATAAATAATATGATTGTATATGTTCTGCAGCTATAGCGCTGTACTCGACGCTATACGATTCAAATTAATAAATAATTATAATCTAAATATATTCAATAAATAATGTATTTTTTTATTTAGCTTGTCTGATTTGATTAGTCTTCTTAGATTTGGCTTCGATCCTGTCTTCAAGTTTGTGAATCAGGTCGTCCAGTTCGTGCTGTTTAAAAACAGAAATCACATAGTAACAATCTATTTCAATAACAATTTTTTAATTTATACGGAACCGATATACTAACCTCACTGTAGGTGTACATAAGTGTGCAATGCTTGAGAACTTGTTTCTTTCTGATAAGCAAGTGAAGTGCATGCGGGAGACAGTATACACTGTCATCTTGCGAATTGTTCACCAAAGAAACAAACAAGTTGGTCCGACAAGTTTCACATTCAAAGTCACCATCGTCGTCATTCACCTTTTTTCCCTTTTTTCGTTTTCCACTATCAGGCAGTGGTAGTTTCTCAGTATTGGTCAGACCCAAGTACTCTAATTGCTTACGATAGTCTATTTCTCGATCACGAATTTTTATGACGCTTGGTAAAATCTATAAATTATTTCCAAACGGATGATACACTCGTTGATAATAAAATTTTGTATCACTACATATGATTACTTAAAAATTTACCTGTTTAAGTACATCGATATGAGATCTAGAATCATTGATAATACTGAACAGTAGTCTTTCGAAGGAGAATATTGTTGGTTCACAACTATCTTGTATGTCCTAAAACATTAAAAATAATTTATAAAATGGTACAAGCTCATACAAAACAGTATACGTTACGGAAGGTGTTACCTTGAACACTTGTTCGGCAGTTTCCAGCCAGGAAGACTGCGCGAAATACACACTCTCTGAGACCACATAACCAGTACAAATGCTCGAAGTAAATGCTTTAGGAAATACAATTATAAATTGACCAGGTTCCTGTACTGTCTGACACAGAGGTACGCCATTCTTGACTAACGTTTCTGGTGGTACCATGGCAGTATCAGATGGCAACCAAATAGTTTTATTCTTGCAGTACCTAGGTACCATCTTCGAGAGTGCTTCCCTAAAGTTATTATTGTGCTCGTCAGGTATCCCATACCAAATTTTTTTAGCGCCTGTATGCAAATATTCTATCCAAGGTAAGCCATGTGGATCTCGATACCAACAGCAGGCACTGAACAGCATCCCAACGTGGAGCGTTGGTACAGTTACACCTGAAAGTAAATGAATTTGCAGAAGAACATTATTAGTAATGAATTTCTGTTCTACGTCATCGTGCATTTCCAAAAAGGTGGAAAACGATCGCGTACCCATTAGTGGTCCCAAAGCTCTGAGCACCGACCCAGCATTGTTAGTAAGCACTTTAAGATTCCAAGGGTGCCTGGCAAAGGGGCTGTTCTTAGCAACAGAGAATCCAAAGCCACGACCACTGGAGTCTATGCTGGCCGCGTGGACGCAGACGTGACGCTTCCTTTCGGCAACGTGTTTCCAAAATGCGTTTTCCACTTCATCTGCCGAAGCACCCTCTGCTTCACTTCCGGAGCGCTGATTCTCACCGAACCACATACGTTGCGTGTTGCGTGCAATTCGGTAAAAAGCGTTGAGCGGCATGTTTCTACCCTTGTTAATTATACAAATGAGAGTTACTTTTTGTGGACAAAATATAAAAGCATTGCTGTTTTCCTTATCGGTGAAGCGACATTGCTAAGCCAGATTTTATACAATTCTTTTTTAATTTCAAAAGTGCACAACGTGATATATTTACCATTTTTGAATTTCTGTGATAATGTAAAATTAATCCGTGGATAATAAACTTACTTTCACGATGCATTCTTCGATTTCGTCAGAGCTGTCCTCCTCTTCCTCCTCATCGTTATCATTGGACTGAGCATCTTGTCTCATTAATGCTTTGCTTTCGTGTTTCGTCCATTCTGTTTCCACTTCATCAAATAATTTTTCTCTTTCCTCTGAAAGTTGTTTATAAAGAAACATCTATGTTGATTCATTCAGCTTATACGTCCAAAGAATCAAAACTATTTTTTTAACATACCCGGTGATAATGTGTCATAGGGCAATAAGTATTTACAATAGATATCATCCAATTTAGTTACGCGATCTTGTGCAGATTTTGGTATTTTCATACCGTCAGCCACTTTCTGCCATTTTTTCTTCTCAATGACTTCCTTTAGTCCACCTAAACTTTGTACTGTCTGATATAAATGTGGTAGATCTACTTCCATGCCACCGATCTAAAAATTAAATCCAAACGGTAAGAGGATAGAAATTCTAAATATTTCGAGAGAGATGAGACCTACCCATGGTGGATGAGTTAAAGTTATGCTTTGTGTAGCCAGATATTTCTTTATAGCCATCATTTCTTTTACATTAGGTCCCCATCTGTGAAGCATACGATGCACGTATTGATTGTACGCTGTAAATCGCATGTCATCGGATACCTTGCATTCCGGCTGCAACATAAAGTAGTTATTGTAATATTGATCGATATTTGCTGACATTTAATTATAGCGAAGCAACTAAAATACACACTTTGAAATTAGGCGGAGGTACCACACGGCAAATACCGAATTTTTCAGCGATCGGTCTTATCTTATCAATGTATTCCAGCGGATCTTGAAAATCTTTTTCAGTTGGATGAAAAGTTGGAGCTTCCACAAGTCGAGCTTCTTTACTTGACTCTAGCGCAATTGGAAATGTAGTGTCGTTAGTAGGTGAGCAGAATTCTGAGATTTTATGCTTGGTTTTCGACTGTGACCTATGTAGAGTTAAAAAATAATTATTAACAAGATCGTCGATTTAAAGTTAATTAAAATATATCATTACCTTTTTCCATTTTTCACCGAATCAACAGAAGCTTTTCTTTCTCTGGTTATTTTTGGGGATTTCGTAACTTTCGACTCAAAAGATGTTACTGTAGTTGTCGTTGTTGTTGTTGCCGTTGCTGTTACAGTAGTTGCCTGTCTACTAGAACTTTGTAGATTAGAAGTAGTCTGTCTAGTTGAAATTTGCACTATAGATGGAGGTTGTTGAAAAGCAGAAGTTGACGGTGTGGATATAACAGACGTTGAAGCAATCGGTTGTTCCACAGTTGTCTGTGCTGAAGAAGTTGGTGGTACACGAGTTGTAGGTTGTACCGTACCAACTGGAGGACACCGTACAACAGATACAGGTGGTTTGGTAACCAATTTAGCACGTAATAGTACTCTTTGATTAGGTCCAGTTGGGCCTTCGGTTCCCAATTTAACAGCAACTCCTTGTATCAATTGTTGACCTTGGACTAAATTTGGTCCATTCCTTGTTACTGCTTGTAATGGAATGTAGAATAATTGTCCATCATTATCATCATCATTGTCATTATTACATTCTGTCTGAGTGGATATCTCAGTGCTCTTTTGTTGACCATTCTCCTCACTCACTACCAGTTGTGGATCCTGGGACTGTTCATCAAGGTTAACCTGGACTGCTATAGAAGCACTACAGTTAACATTGCTCCAACTTGTTGTAAGTTTATCTAATGGCAAAACTTGAACATTAGCTAAGCTAGCAAAGTTCTTTGGCAGTTGAAACTTATTAACACTTATTGTAGTTGAAGCAACAGGATTTTTAATAACTGGTGACTCCTTCTCAGTTTTAACTATTATATCATTAGCTCTTGACGCTTCGTCCTCATTTTTTAATAATTCCTCGTGGGGTTTCACTACTTCCTCCACAGCTTTCATCAACTCATCCTCCGTAGTTGAGCAAACAGAGTTTGCCTTATTACCTTCCTTCAGTTTTCGCCGGAATGGCGTACTTATGGGAGTTTCTGTATCACTCTCAAAAGCATAAACACTACTTTCGTTCTCTGGGGAAAATGCATTAGCATTTGGGGTTATACCCTTGCGCTCCTTGACCTTCGGTAGAAAGGGTTTGCGTAATTGAAAAATTGATTTCTTCTCTGGAGATGATTTTTTCTCGGGTGAACCGTCCACTGAATTCTGATCAGACTTCGACACAGCGTCACTGTCATCTCCTAAAGAAGAATCTTTACTCGTTTTCATATTACGTCCTTTAATAATCTCCTTAATGTCAGCATTAATTTTATTCCTGTTAGTTGGTATGTTTTGTAGTTTGAAAGGAATAGATTGAGTAGCTGTTATAAGCGTTGGTATAATTCTACTTTGTAATGCTATACGATCCTTTGAGTTTGCTTTCTCAGCTAGCTTTGAAAGTGTCACATTAACAGGACGTACTAAATGCTGAATTCTAGTGGGAATTGATAAATGCGTAATGTCTGCCTTGACTTTTTCACCAATGTCATATTTAAAATTCGACACTGTTTCCATTTCAACTTTACTTTCTTCTTTAGCCATTGAACTTTCATTGAGCCATTTTTCAATTTGTTCTGTTGACATGTTAACACGCTCTTTACGTGCCAAAGATGTTGGTAATGGCATATCAATGATGTTAATCGTAGTATCATTTGAATCATGATTACACTTTCTATCTAACTTTGTCACAATTGGTATTTGTAAATTGGTCACTGTTTCGTGATCCAAATTAATAGTTAGTTCTTGTACAGGTTTAACAAAGGGATAACTTGGTATTGTTATTACAGGTGTTAAACTATCATTTTCTATAATCGTATATTTCTTTTCCTTTGAATCCGAATTGCTGGTTTGGGGCGTGTCTTGTGTTTTAAGCACATCCATTTTCCCATCAGCTTCTTCAGATGCAAGGAGATTGGCACTGACGTGAGTATGGCAGGAATTAAGAACTTTTGAAATTGCCTTTTTCGAAAATCCTCTGAAAGACTCCTCATCGTCCGATATCTTAGAAGGGTCAAGCTTGTTGTTCAGTACTTCCGACGGAGGTACATTTTCATTTTTCTCTTCTGTCTTCTTCCGATCTGTACGAGGAGTTTGTGTATCCATTTCCTTAGATTCTTTCTTTCTTTTCAGTTTATCTAATAGCATTCCTAATGTTTCTTCATCTGATTCTATACTATCAGCTTTACTCTTTTGCATCTTTTGCTTAGTTGAATTATTTTTTGGAGGTGGCACTTTGGCAGTATTTTGTTCTCGCTTACGCTTTACCAGGGCTTTGTCTTTGCTTGTATTGCTCTTTGTATTATTTTGAGGCTCAGGTTTCGTCGTAGCATTCCGTGAGGAAGACCTTAGGCTCCTGGAAATTGGTTTTCCTAATTTACTAACACTTCGTCTGGTGATAGGTCGTGTTTGATTAGATTCAACGGAACTTTCTGATTCTTCCTCGCTATCTAATTCGCAATACTTTTGTACTCTCATCAGCCTTTTGCTCTTCGTTACAACTTTTTCTGGTTTACTTTTATCAGCACGTTTGGGATTGTTAGTACAAGTTTCGTTTTTACTTTCTTTATTAGTACTCAGCTTTGTCGTTTGCTTTACTTTCGCTCTGATCTCATTTTCCGTTTGGGCGATTCTACGAGCGTTTGGTAATTCGGGAAAACTGTCCACTGATAGATTATCATCATTCTCTAAGTCAGGACTAATTAACTTTCTTCCAAGGATCTCCATGTAAACGGCAGCAGCTTCTTTTGTTTTTCTAGATGGTCGCCTGGATATAATTTGTGCAGAAATAGTTTCACTGTGCGATCTCGTTATTCTTCGCATTTCCGATTTGCTCCTGGTGCAGATCTTTTTGGGAACTGTGGATTTTAACGGGCGCTTTGGCAGCGTTGGTTTTACGAGAGGCACATCTTCTTCCGACGACGATTCGGTATCTGAAGAACCACTACTCTTATCCTTTGTAATACTTCTTTTTTTTGGTTTCGACGGTACTGGTTTAACTTTTGTTAGATTTGCGCGTTTTGTTTTATCTGCAAGTGCGCTACTTCGTAAACCGTGTCTTTTTGTCTCAACCTTAGGAAGGAATTTACTTGGTGTTAGTTTGCTGGTAGATTTTAAAATTGCCTGCTCAGTCGCCGAGCGCGTTCTCATGACGCACGAGGCTTTGAATTTATTCTTAATCCTTTGTTTGGCAAGACGTTGTTCCTGATACTTTTTCTTCAATGCTTGAACTGTGGATGATGTTGTCTTGTATTTGTTAATATTTTTTTGTATTCTGTTAGGTACCTTTTTCTTTTCAGTTATGCTGCTCTTTATTTTACCTGGAGATTTCTGACACGTTGTCACCTTTGGCACTTCTATTGATGGTGTTGACATCGTTGATGATGATGGACTATTATCTGTTGATGCCTGTTCTGGGTCTGGATCTGAAGAACCTTTCTTAGGTCCAACGTTGAAGAAATTGAGACTTGGCGGTAATATTCGTGTGCCTGAGTACAATAAAAGAAAATATGTAAATCAATAAAACATTCAAATTATTGCATGTGTAATGATGAGCACACAGGTTTATGTACCTCGAAAGCAAAGAAATGTAAGGAAGTCTTCAGTGTTTGGGCGTTTATGTGTGATCAATTCTGTAATCGTAGCAGGCTTCACCTTCTCTTTTTCTTTGATGGGAGTATGTGCAGGATTAAAGACTGTTGCTGCTCCTTGTGCAAACTTTCTTTGCGCATGAACCTTTGTTCTAAAATCAAAATGAAAGCAGCTTGAAAAGTTAATATCTTGAATCAAATTAATTACACAATTTTACATTATTCTCAAATACTATAATTGTACAATTTTCATATCTTATATAATCTTTACATTAATCACACTATTAATCAAGAATTTATTATCCAGCAGTGTATTTACCTATTGGGTGATCCTGATAGTGGATCCATGAGATCCACAAGGTCTCCTTCTTTCCTTTTTCTCTTGTCATTTCGACTTAAGACCATTTTGAAATTTTTCTAAACAAATAACCGATGGTTTCTCATAAATATTTCGAGCGGTCTTGAAAATAATTCTCCTAATTGCGTTACAAATTCCTATCGTATCCCCGCTTTCATTATTGTAACGAAAAATCTAAATCTTTCAATAGTCGAGGGTGTATGTCCAGGAGCAAGTGTATGTGCAATATCGAGGTACGACAATGGCTTACATAGTCTGCAAAAAAACAATAGGACATACTTCTTGAACACGATGTTTTTTTTGCTTTTTAAGGAGCGTTCAATACTTTTTATCGATTACTTTTTTACTTACGTACTAAGCGATATACATTTTACGCCCGCAAGCACCGTTACACCGAATCCGCTTAAACTTCATATCCACTTGTACGATGATTGTTTATTGTTGTAATCGTCAAATTAAATACCACTCCGTTTCCCTGTAAAACCCTATGACTTCAAGTATATAGATATGCAACGTGAAAATATTCTCGATTATTAAGGTCTAGTTTACACTGTAACAATCGTCGACTACTTTATAAAAAACAAAGATTTTAAAGTCGCGAATATCGATTAGAGACAATTTTTAATCCTGATGCATTTAGACTTTTGAAGAAAATTCAATAATATTATATCAACCATTAAAATTTTCACTTTGTAGCAGAAGTTCTGTCATGCAAACGATAGTTAAGAATCGTCTGAATTTTATCTTCACCGGAGCGAAAATTACTCGATAAGCGCCACCTATACCGAGATTCCAAATTTCTCATCGTATTCTAATTTCTGTTTACGACTTCAGTGCGTAGGAAACGTGATTGGAGCATATTTGTGGATCCGTGTTCTTGGCCATATCAATAATTATTACTGTTGGTCGATTTTGTATTCTTTGTTTGGAAAAGGTACGTTGGTATAATATTAATGTATATATGGGATAATTGGCAATCATTTTAATATGCTTATGACGTACACTGTATTAGGTGGAGATGTCTTCAGTGACATATTAAGTTTCGTAATTAGGTCATGTATATTTAGGGACCAGCTACTATTACCTCATGATACTGTTATAAAAATATCATGCTTTGGTTTATGTTTAGTTTCTCTATCAATAATTCTGCTATTACTTAAATTTTGAAGATTTAAACAGATATTCATAATGGAATAAGATGTTCATTGTGGTTTGTCTGACTTATTGGGGTTTCAAATAATACTGGTTTTTTTTGAAGATCTGGCTGTCATTCAATTATATATAAGGAAATTTCAGTAGTGCCATTTATATTGATAAGTAGACTACTTTTACACATTGACATAAATTTTATAAAAGTCTGATGCTAAGCGATACTTTGAACTTGAAGGATCTACATACTTTAAAATTAATTCTTATCTTGCTAATTGATAATTCTTATATATCGTTGTGTTAAATTATCTTATTATAGGTAGAGAGTTAAGTCAACATGTACAAAAATGGTCCCCCACCGCCATATGATCCCCCGCCATGTGCACCTCCTAGTTATTCCCAATGTGTGGGTGGTGTTCCACCAGCCAGCCCATTTACTCCAGCTGAATCATGTAAGTGTGTACAACTGGCTTCCTGTAATGCTACTTTGCATGTCCATTTAAAGACATGGATACCAGGCACATGCCCAATCTCATTTGCCTCACAGCATTTTCAAATGCCAAAAGTTGTAACTGATTAAAAAAACTAATTTTCTATATTTTAAAACATGATTTACACTTTCAAAAAGTATGTACATAATTCAAATATTTCTTTGTTCTTTCTGGAGATGCTGGTGGCCCTACTATAGTCACTACAATAGTTCCTCTGGGACCAGGATCTACTCATACTATATGTCCTCATTGCCATGCAGAAATTGATACTGCAACAAAAACAGAGCCTGGAATGATAGCTTATATTTCAGGAATTGTTATTGCATTGCTGGGGTAAGTTTTAACAAATTTTTTTGTATAGTCCAATTATATTGAGTATATCTATAAATTAATTACAGTGGTAGTGGTACATTATTATATTATCATATAATGAAGCAAATAAATATATTCTACATTTCACAAACATATAATTCTTGTTAAAGATGTTGGTTGGGTTGCTGTCTGATTCCATGCTGCATTGATGAATGCATGGATGTCCATCACACTTGTCCAAATTGCAAAGCTTATCTGGGCCGTCATCGAAGATAAATCTGAGATAGAATTGGCTTGCGACCGTGCTGCATTTGATTAAGGTATATACAGAAACCGTAACACCTTAGTTACGCTGTATAAACAAGGATAGAATGTTTATCTCTAGTTCACACGTGTGAGGGAGATATATTCGGGAATATTTCGGTAGCCGAGCAGTCTGTTCTAGAAGTCTTAGAATATTTTGCAGCTAAAGGTAATAATCTAATCAATTTAATGTTTCTTTAATATTCAGAAAATTAAAATCGCTTAATATTGTCGATCACGATTATTGCTTTTGAAAAGAAAAAAAAAGATTATCATACCTCTTACGAATTTCATAGAAGGTAGGGCAGCTTTTCTTGTTTACATACAATCTAATCAGATTCTACAAAAGGGTAGCTATTACCATTCTTATATCAGTTACACTTGTCATCTCAGTAAATTACTGATATAATCACTCAAAGACAAAGATCAATCTTATTTTACATTCTACACAATGGCTCAGTATAGACATCATCGGTATTGTGTTCAGAGTTTTATCAGTATGAGTATCGATAAGTAATATATTGCTGCATTTTCAGTTATTCGATGAAGATAAATGAAACGATGCAGTATTCATTTATTATATAATGGATACAGTGGTCCAATTATCTTTTAAGTATTCTATTACGTTCTGTTACAAGATGTAGACACTACAGGTGGACAGAATAAATTCTAGTAAAATTCATAAATAGAAATTAAATTTGATATAAACTAATGGTCACATAATTGATCACATATCAAAACGAAAATCGATCAGTCTACAATATTCCGAATAGTATTATCTCTCTTATTCTAGAACTATCCACTATATTCATTATTCACAGATATAATTAACGTTATAACGCGATTCCGTGATTAATTGCCTCACATATACATTTTTACAATTGATAATACAATTATTTAAAAATAAATAGCAATTAAGCAACTCTTTTATATCACTGCATACTGCCAACGTTCAAATAGTCTTGTGATTCTATCACAAAGATAAAGCATGCAAGTAATATTGTCTAAGTCTAAGTGATCTGAATGTCAATTCTGATGAAATGCGCTAAAACAAAGAAGTCACCTCGACTATTTTTCTACCAGTGAAAACAAAATTTGTGCTCGATATTATTTCAGTGAATATTTTTTGTTTTTTGATGACTCATCCGAATGCTGCAATAATAAATTCAATCGGCATATTTAAAAGATGATGTGATTTCAAGATATATTTGGCATATAAAGAAACAATAATTGGCATTGTGTATATATTATAAATTGTATCTTTATCAGAGTTATTAATATTCAAAAATCTTTTGTTTAGTCTATAATATTTGAAAAACAATCTTTCAATTTACATTGGGTTTTACTTCCTAAATTACATGATGAAGCTTAATAACTTATCTAATGAAGAAGTATAAAATTTCTGCAATTTTTAGCATATTTGTGTTTGTCGTCGCCAATAAAAATTAATATTCATATAACAGGGCACTGAGGTTGACATTTATAGCAAGAGATAGTATATTTGAATAATTGTTGCTCGATTCTAATTAATTGGCTATCCTGGGCACGGCAGTATTATTGCTTCCCTTGTCCATTTATTGCCAAACAAATTATTTATAGTACATATGATAAATGGGGAGAAAAGGTTGTATAGCACTAACTTCTTGCCATATTGTTTTAACTAAAATGAGCTTCATTGTTTAGATTGTATTTGTATAAATATAAATGGAAAAGTATATTTTCAATGGGCATTGGAATTATATGTTATTAACTATCTTAAATATAAGCTATCTGCATTAATTATGGGAGAACTATGTATGTTACCGTGCCTTAATCAAGCCGTTTAATAAGAATCAAAATTATCTTTCAGTTGGAGTTACTTCTTATACATTATTTAAGTTTGTCTGCTTACAATATCAATATTGTTAAGTTTATATTACGCTTGATTGATTAGAGGATTAATGCACATTCATGCAAAGTCCTTGTTGATGTTAATCGGTTAATTTAAGTGTTTCAATAAAAAGCATCTTATTAGCGTCTCAGTGCCTTTAAGTGCCAGAGGTGTCGCAATATAAGATTAGTCATATATGTATACAATTTGCAAGCAGTCTAACGGATATAGTACCTTTTTTTAAAATCTATTGAACTCATATTCTTGTATTAATTAAGTTAAATTGATATCTTTTTGTAACGTAGGACAAATGTAATACATAGATATGAAATCTTTAATCTAGAAATAAATCTTTCAATCACTGTGTAAGTCAAAGCTACCAACATACAATGAAGTGTATGTACACCGTTACTAGGTTTTGTAAAGAATATGCGCATAATAAATAACGACATACTAAATTCTTGTGTATATCCTCTACAATATTTCCATTAATTTCATATGAAAAATCTCAAAATAGGTATATTGCTAAATAATTGAACTTCACGTCCACATTTTATAAGCACATGCTTTAGACTGCCACCCGGTATAAATTCATGTGCTTCACGGAGATCACGAATATCACGCGTACTACATCTATATATACTCGATCAATTAAAAATGTGGGTATGGTTGAACGATCCTCCACCCAGGTGACGCGTCGACGCCAAAATAAAATTGGTTTCAGAGACGAATAAAGGAGATCCTTCCTTCCTTCCTTTCCTTATGGCTGCCTCCTCAATGAGGGGATGTGCCAGTGAATAGAGGAGATCCACAACGCTACCGTTTTAGGCAGAGATGAGTAGGGAGATGCACAACGCACGGTTTAAGGCGATACCAAAAACATGGCGCTAAATCGTAGCGGCGAGTCCAGAAGTAGAATTTTGTGATCATCGCCTCCGTCGACAATGTGAATCTCGTCGTAGCCGAGGTAGACGTAAACACGAACGCGTAGCTTGGTGGGCAGAGGTTCTCCGCTACTCACCGCTGGTTCCCACAGCAACTCTTGAAACGAGACCAGGAACTGTAGAGCTTCTCAAGAACTATTGCAAATGCCTATTGTTGAAACATTTTTAAGAAATTTTCAAGAAAATGCGGCCCCAACTTGAGACCCGTGTAGCGCCTCAATTTTTACTAAATATTATTGGATCTTGATTTACTTTGAAAATTTATTCAAAATATAAAACCGAGTCTAAATTAAAATCTCGCAGAATATACGGAGTAGTTGAAAGTTGAATTGAAATTGTAGAATATCGAAAGTAAATTACGTTCAAATTGAAATATTAATAAATTAGGTGTTCGGAACATTAAAATAATTAACAAGATCAATAAAGTAAAATGTTAACACTTAGAAATCGGAAATTCTGGACAAGCATATTTCGGAGTACTGGAAGATGCCTAAAATTGCGTGCGCGAAAATTCGTCGCGCGTGGGAGTGGCAGAAGGCGGAGAGGGGGGGGGGAGCGCTCGAGGCAGAGCGCGGACTCGCAGCGCTCATTCTTCCTCGAGCCGGTCTCCTATACTGGTCTCTTGGAAACGCTCCTCATATCCATTTGCAACCTTATTCTTCTACTATATTTATTTCCTCATTAATTCCTTATTTCTTTATCTTTCATTCTTCACTTTCTTATTTATTACTCTCCTCATTTCTTCTCCACTTTTATAACTCTATTCCTTACTTTTCTACTTCTTCACTTGTTTATTTTTATCTTCATTTCTTTCTTATTTTCACTTACATCATTTCTTTCTTATTCTCTTATTCTCACTTCTTTATTTCTATATCCATTTCCAACCTTCTTCTTCTTTATTTATTTATTTCTTCTTTACTTCCATATTTCTTTAACTTTCATTCTTCACTTTCTTATTTATCTCTCTCCTCATTTCTTCTCCACTTTTATAACTCTATTCCTTACTTTTCTACTTCTTCACTTGTTTATTTTTATCTTCATTTCTTTCTTATTTTCACTTACATCATTTCTTTCTTATTCTCTTATTCTCACTTCTTTATTTCTATATCCATTTCCAACCTTCTTCTTCTTTATTTATTTATTTCTTCTTTACTTCCATATTTCTTTAACTTTCATTCTTCACTTTCTTATTTATCTCTCTCCTCATTTCTTCTCCACTTTTATAACTCTATTCCTTACTTTTCTACTTCTTCACTTGTTTATTTATTTCTTCTTTACTTCCTTATTTCTTTATCTTTCATTTTTTCCTTTGTTATTTATCTCTCTCCTCATTTCTTCTCCACTTTTATAACTCTATTCCTTACTTTTCTACTTCTTCACTTGTTTATTTATTTCTTCTTTACTTCCTTATTTCTTTATCTTTCATTTTTTCCTTTGTTATTTATCTCTCTCCTCATTTCTTCTCCACTTTTATAACTCTATTCCTTACTTTTCTACTTCTTCACTTGTTTATTTCTATCTTCATTTCTTTCTTATTTTCACTTGCATCATTTCTTTCTTATTCTCTTATTCTCACTTCTTTATTTCTATATCCATTTCCAACCTTCTTCTTCTTTATTTATTTATTTCTTCTTTACTTCCATATTTCTTTAACTTTCATTCTTCACTTTCTTATTTATCTCTCTCCTCATTTCTTCTCCACTTTTATAACTCTATTCCTTACTTTTCTACTTCTTCACTTGTTTATTTATATCTTCATTTCTTTCTTCTCGTTTCGCTTTGTTCCTCCTCACTTTCAATTGTATTTGTCTTACTTTCCCTATTCCTTTGGTCGGGT